ATCACTTGCACCTCCAACTCTTCCGCGGCATCCCACCGGCCTTGATTCCAAAAAGTCGACGCCAGATTGGCCATGCTGGTCAGCGTGGAAGGATGTTCTGCGCCAAACTCCTTCTCTTCCATCTCGAGGACCTGGGAATAGGCGACCTCTGCCTCACTCCATCGTCCGTCGGCGTCGAGGCACGTTCCATATCTCCATTGGAGATTAATCCTCTTCTTTGAATCCTTCTGAACGAGGTCAGACTGTAGTACAATGCGCACATGCGGCAGGTATGCCCTCCATATGCTCCTGTTGGTGTGGGTATTGTCGGGAAAAACTTCCTCTAGTCGCACAACTGCTTTCTCTGTCCACTGGACCAGTTGATCGTTCTCTTGAAGCCAGTTACGAGTAGATATATGCACTAACCGATGAAGATCGACCGTAAGACCTGCTGGACGTTTACTAATAAATGAATACGCGTGAAGTGTCCCGATAGCGTCTATCTCCTTCTTGCGAGATGGGCCAGGCGGAAAAAGACTCTGCGGGATATCTTTTGGCTCAATACATGCCATTAAAGATAAGTAGTCTGCTGCCAAAGAATCGTGCTGCTGAATTCGCTCGAACGATATCAGCCATGTAGTAGCTACTGGGTTCTTAATGTTGCGGTATCTGCCGTCATCCTCAAAGTCTTCGCTGAGAAGTTCAATCGTAGACTTATCCTGCTCATTAAGTAAGGAAAGATAGTCCGCAATCGAGGTACCGTTCGCATTGATATACGCTGCCGCCTGAACAATGGCGAGCGGAAGGTTAGTCAGCTGTGTGAGTAAGGCTTCAGTATCTGTTTGGCAGGCCGCCACATCGTGTCCGATCAAGCATGTCTGTAATAACTCCGAAGCCACTTCTAAGTTCATTTCCTGCACTTCTACCAAGCTCTGAGACGCCAGCTTAGTAGCAACCTTCCTATCTCGCGTAGTAAAGAGAATGCTTCCTTGCCTGCTCTTTGGGAGATAGTCAAGGAGACGGATAGGTTGTCTCTCAGGTGGTTTTCCTATCCACATATCCATGTCGTCGGCGTTGTCAAACACCACGAGCCACTGGCCCGCGCTTTCGTTACTAAGGTAGTTCTGAACTAGACGTTTCACGTCTGCTCCTTGCTCGTCTCTTCCGGGTATATCCAACTCTTCGGCGACTGCCGAGTACGCCTGAAGAAGGGTTTCGGGATCGGTCGCGGGAATCCAAAATACTGAGCAGTCCCTCTGTTTCTCCATGGTCCGATAGACCGTCTCAATCGCTAATTGTGTCTTCCCGACGCCTCCAAGTCCGGTAATTGCGACCTTCGCGGTTTGGCCATGTCGAGAAAGTAGCTTTTCAATTCTAGATAGTTCGGATTCGCGACCGGTGAAGCGAAGATTGCGCTCGAAGGGCATAGTACGTGCTAGCTTTTCGTCTGAACAATAGAGTACATTAGCAAATAGAGATACAACAAGAATAACAAAGACCTCACATGACCGCAATTTATGCTCAGAGTTCTTAATCTCTCGTCGCAGCCTTCTCATTGCATTCTCTTGCCCTTCGCCATATATAAGTGGCAAGAAAACGTCGAAAATTCCAAGGAGACAGTATGCCATGTCCTCCTCCTCGGTCGTTTGTCGCCTCTTTACCCATCGAAACTTCTCCTCGATGCTGAAACCATGGAGAGGACGGCCCTGGAGTGCCTCTAGAGCGATTCCTGTTTTCTCGCAGATATGCCGTTCGAGTGACTTTCTATCACCCAGTCGGACGTGATCTCGGGAGTAGAATTCAACTATTTTCGGCGCGAGAAGCTCTTGGAGTGTCCATCCTCGTGTGAACCATCGGCTATTGCGCATAGAAGACTCCCACTCGATATGAGTAGCCTGCCCATCCTGCGTGCGTATAGAAACGTCTAAGAGATAGACGTAGCATCGCGCCGCGTTCTGGTACCAGCGAAACATAGAGTTGATTGCCTTCGTAAGTTCGTGGGTATCCGACTTATCGATGCAGCATGTGTCCACCCAGAAATAGGATAGACTGTCGGACTTGGCTTGGTCTCCGCAGAATACCAGCTTCTGGTATCCAGCCTTATTCTTTCCAGTACCGTCCACGACGTCCTTGAATGTGACTTCATCGCTATCGCTTCCCCATGTATGAGAAAGTATGGCATAAGGAGGGGTCGTGGTTCCAAAGGTCTCCAGGATGAACCCGCCGTTGCCGTTGAGCTTTAAGAGGCGCATCGTTGGCCGCAGTAATCGTCACTATTAAGGAATCATGACGGCTGCTCTGGAATATTCGAACGACATATTAGCTGAATCGTAGACGCATTAAAAAGTACTGCGACGGACAATGTGATCAGGCGCAGGGCTGCATAGGAGCTTTCGGATGCGAAAGGCTGAGCTAGAGTACACCAAGACCATATGATGTCGGCAGAGTTGTGATTTGGCGGCTCAGGTAATTTGCGACACCACTCCATTCTCTCGTGCATGTTTAACACCATCGTAGTTGGCATGCAATGTCTACAAGTTGATGATCCACACGGTTGACATCTGTTAAGGACCGTCTCAGATGGAGGTCATCGAAAAACACGGATGTGCGACCTGTCGTTCAAATTCATATGTTAACTAACTAGTTAGTTATCTGGGACTTAACTACCTTCCAGGTTCCTGCTCTAATTTAGTCCCGTTTATGGAGTACTGCAACCCTCGTTCCTTCACACAGGGACACTCCGCATCACCCAAGAGCATCAGTCTACCAAGGCAATGTAGAGGATTAGAGAGTCTGTTTAGTAGCGGTAATTTACGACAAATACCCGCCGAAAGTGGAAATTTGATCAGCCGCAAGTACCGACCTCCATGGTGGAATGTGTTTGAAATTGCTTCCAACACAACGTATACTTTGGACGAAGGCTTTCTAGCATCATGACCCGTGGGATAACTTGGGCTGATTCTTTTTATGACTTTTCTAAAGGAGAAAACGACGATAGTGGCGTTACCATATAGAATAGAAATATTGTCGTGGTACCCAAGATGCACTTCGTTCGCTCTGCGGAAATCAGCTAACTAGTAGCAAAGCTTATGTGATGTTCAAGATAGGCACAGTTCCGTGTATTGGAAAGTAGCTGAAGAGCACAATGTATTCCGTACATAGAATTATAAGAATTACAAGGTATGTACGTAGTGGAGACTCGAAGTTGGTGTGAAGTCAAAGTAATTACCTCGGATTCGTCCTAGTACACAGTACGATAGATGTCCCATCACGCAGGGGGAGGTTACCAGAGATCTTCAACATTCATGATATTGTTTCTAATCGATGAACCGATAGACTTGCACCTCAAGCGCCAACTGTCCACCACGTCAGCTAGTGTTGATTCTAAAGTGCTCTTAAAACTCTCCTTGAGTCGCCGGTGTAAATGAACGTCATTTCGAAGCTCTGGGACCCTGACGGTTGGTTACCTTACAACGATTCATGCTCTTTCATACCAACTGTAATAGTGGTTCGGGCTGCGGTTCGGACCGGCGTCCTGACTCCTATGATAGGTACCCGACAGGATCCATCTTCCACATGTTGATATCGGACGTAAAGGCGAAGCTTTCTAGATGATGCATGCTCATTGCTAACTATGTGTAGAAACGGACTCTAAACACTAGATCTTGCATTACCTACCCGTAACTACAATTGGGTATCATCCATCTTGAACGCCCTCGCAAGAAACAGGAGATGATGAGACGCGCTCTCCTCCGCCATTTGCATTATCCAAGACAAACTTGCTCCTCTGCTACCGATATCAATTCCTTCAAGTGCCAACATTTGGGTGCACTTCCATCCCCGGATCGTGGGTTCCACTATGCGAGTGCCTTGTCCGCATAACATGAAGGGCCGCCATGACTGTACTTGCAACGAACAGAAGCCTAAGGATCGTTAGGAGACCTTTCGCTGGAAATCCTGGATGACTTACCATTCAATTGCCCCAAACACGCTCGCTGCGATGGCCGCACGGCATGGTCCGTAATGCTTACAGCCCCAGTTGTTCACCATCACGGCCAATGCGATGAATCCCGCAAACCAGAAAATCATGGTGATGGCGTCGGCTGCGAGGATGCCGAACTTGTGGGCGAATTTAGGAAACCGGAGTGGTGCGACGACCAGATAGGCGAGCACCAGGAGCGTCCAGACCGAGGCGAAGACGTTGAAGTTCAAGTCAGATGGCGACCATACTCCATCAGCCCAGTCGGATGCAGCTACGATCACATTAGCTTCCCATCACTGGAACGCAAATCGGTCTCTTCATACCGTATGCTGTCAAACCTAGAAGGAGGAGGGCCAAGACACCTTGAGCGGCGCGCAACGGCAAAATAAAATCGACTGCCATATTTGACGACTTGGAATATGATATGCGCTTGCTTGATTAATGATTTACAATCCGAACCTTAAGTCCTTTTATTCAACCTGACGACGAACAAGATAAGGTTCAAGGCGAATACGAAAGAGGGGGAGGCGTCATCAGACATTTCAAGTCCCAGCCCCAAGCCCCAAGATCCTGATGAGCAGACCTTTTCATGCTCCTTGCGTGTGGGGAGGCAGCAAATTACCAGTCGTCGCGGCTTCATTTCCCGCCAACGGCGCATGATGCAATGACGTCAGCCACATCCGTCGTTGCCGAAGTTCTTCCCCATGTACGATGCTGGTGGCTGGGAGGTCCAGGTCAATTTCCCTGCATCAATCAAAAGAAGTCTCGCTTAAATGCTGCTTTGTTGTTAGCCATGCATGGTCTTCAACACCAATTGAAACAATGGGGGACTTCATTTTGCATACCTCCAGGAATGAGCGCAGCAGCATACATGACCGTATTGATCGGGGTGAGTTCATCTTCGGCATTCATCCCGACCGATACTGCGTTATCCGACCGGACCGGAACCAGACCACCGTGCTCCCAGCTATCAGTGATGGATTTGGCTCGGGATCGCCATGCTGTACCAGTGGTTGAGCATTCGATGCCTAAGCATGTCCCGAAATCTCGAAAGGCAAGTCTCCGTTGCTGTGGCCCTTCAAACCCGCCGAGTTTGAACAGCCGCTTTAGGTCTCGGACCGCGCTCTCCAGAATTCCATCCGCCCATTCCTCTCCAGAGAACCAATGCACCGTCCAAAGCGACATTCCTAGATCGAGGGGATCGGTACTCGAATAGCCCTGCCATTTGGTTCGTACAATCTTCTCGTACTCGCCAATCTCATTGGCTAACATTTGACTGTCACCGCCCGTCGACTGGAGCAGACGAAAGACGACGTATCCATCCATGGGGTCCAGATTACCCTCACTTCGCACAAGAGGCTCCGACAGGTCCATAGACATCTTCCAATACATGCGAGGCCTGTTGCTTCCACGATTATAAACGAACCGCGGGTGGATGGCTTTGGCCAAAGCGATCGCTTGGTTATTGTAGGATCGATCGGTCGTGGCGATCGAAAGCCGATTCAACGCAAACATCCAGAGCGTCAGATAATGATGATACTGACCATCCTCATCCGGGCCGCTCTCTTCCTCCTTACCAATGCGCAATCCACCGCCCATCGGATTGTCGGGACTGGCACCGGGTAGGAAGGACTTCCCATCACGCGTTCGACCAAGGGAGTTATGGACAGCATCTACTAGCGATTTGGCGTACTCGAGATATCTGTCTGACTCAGTCTGGCGGTAGAGGGTCAGAAAGTTGACCACACCAAACGCGTCTCCAATTCGTTAGAAAGGAGGTGAACGTATGGAATTGGGGTCCCAGCATCCGACCAACTCACCAGTCCACAGGTATCGGCCACGATGTCCCGCCGAACAAGGAGGAACGGTCCATGGAGACGAAGAATTCAGATCATACTTGTAGATCTGCTTCATGGCTCGGTCAAACTTCGCCGGAGATGCATCTTGTGATGCCATTCTGGCTGTCGGAAACACCTTGGATGAAAGTTGACTTTTTGAACAGACGACAGCGATTGATCCTCAATCGGAACATGGAGAATTGAGAGTTCTTCCATTGTCAGAGAAGGTTCATGTCCTTTCCGGTAAATTTCCTATTGTTTGATTCTATGACAGGTACATGATTTCATCGATCACGGCGTACGACAAGGGCCCATTCGCGAGAGCTCCGTGCCCAGACAGCCACGCTCCACTCGGCTCCAGGAGCCGGCAGCCCTCTGCAGACACCAACTAGGCTTTTCACCAACTGGTGCATTTGACTTTTGAAATAAATATCCCGAGCAGAACGTTGTATACTTGTCGGGTACTGATACGAGGTCTACAGTCAATTCCTTGTAGAATTTTGAAGACAAAAAATCCATCTCCCTTATCATTTGAGTCCTTTTAAGTTTTAACCTACTATCAATAGTTAACTACTATTCCTTATTAAAAATGATTTAAATATAGAACAATATTAGTAGTGCATCCATGTCAGACTCTTCCCCTAGAAACATCATCAAATCGGATCAGGAGTACATGAACCATGAATTCATGATGGGCTGATCCAACTCTCCATGGTCCTCCCCGCAATACCGGTAGTACGCTGTACATACCTCAAACCCCGCAGTCGTGAGTGATTCCGCGGGATACTTCCGGTCTTCTTATGACAATTCATTTTGCGCCCCTTCAAACCCGAAGTTCCTTGCAAAGTTGACCAATAGGACCCATACTATCGCTCAAGCGCGATGCTGAGTCTCGCTTCGGTCAGTCTGTCCGAACTCCGATCAGAGCGGTGGGGGGAATGATGCTCCGTACCCGGGCCATGTCCTGCTTTCAATGTTGAATCAAACCATGTTCATTGGTTGATTCTTACTAAAGGCCATGTGGATATATCTTGCCTAGGCTGCACATGTGAGAGAGAGCTGAGGTACTTCTCTCCGTCCTATCGCTCCTTTCTTGCCTGTACTCCTTTTCTTTCATCGGGCGGTGACATCGTGACAGTTTCCTGTCACATCCGTTGCACATACCAACATGATCGAACAAATTCTCTCCCAGTTGACAGCAGGGAAGGTCCTTATATTGCTTGGGGCCTTCCTGGTGGTGCGCCATGTCACATTAACCGCGTATGCGGATTACAAGATCCGAAAGTTGGGTCATCGAGCGCCAAGCAGATTTACCTTCGTTCCATTCGGACTGAACTTCATCTACAGTGCCATTAAAGCAGCGCGGGAGCACAAGAATCTCGAACTTTGGCGCGATCTCATGCTCAATTATGGGAACAAAAACAACCCATACACGGTCGAATCGAGTGCAGGAGGGCGACGAATTATCCTGACCGCCGATCCGGACAACATCAAGGCGATTCTAGCCACTCAGTTCGGCGACTACGGTAAGGGAGAACCCTTCCATCAGGAATGGAAGGACTTCCTTGGTGACAGCATCTTCGTCACCGACGGTCAATTATGGCACAACTCAAGGCAACTGATCCGCCCTCAATTCATCAAGGATCGACTGAGCGATATTCATACGTTCGAGACCCATGTCCAGAAGTTGATCCCAAAATTCCGGGGGCGTGCGAACGGTGCTTCGGTCAACGTCTCCGATCTCTTTTTCAAATACACGTTGGATGCTGCGACGGATTTTCTCCTTGGAAAAAGCGTGGACAGTTTGGAAATGGAAGAGAACAAATTCGCAAATGATTTTGCCGAAGTCCAACGGATCCAGAGCATCATCACAAGAGCCGGCAGCCTGAATTGGTTGATTCCTCGGAAAAACTTCTATGCTTGCCTGGGAAGGATGGAGGAATTCCTTCAACCCATCATCGAGCGTACCATAGCTCTGTCACCGGAAGAGCTGGAAAGCAAAGGCAAGACAGAGGAGGGCTATACTTTCCTGCATGCACTTGCAAACTATACGAAAGATAAGAAAGTCCTCCGCGACCAGCTTGTAGCGGTCTTGCTGGCTGGGCGAGATACGACAGCCTGTACTCTGATGTGGACCATCCACGAACTCAGCCACGCACCGAATGTTGTGAAGAAGCTGAGAGAAGAGATCTTGGCCGTCGTCGGACCAACTCGTCAACCTTCGTACGAGGATTTGAAAAGCATGCGTTATCTGCAAGTAAGTTGGCCCTTGGATTTCGATGGCTTGGGGTTTGGAGGAGCTAATCCGGATCATAGCATGTCATCAATGAGATCCTCCGTTTGTATCCGGTGGTTCCCTTCAACGTTCGATTGGCGCTGAAGGATACGACTCTTCCTCGAGGCGGTGGACCGGACGGCAATGAGCCGATTGGGATATTGAAAGATACGCCGATCGGCTACTCAACCCTTTTGATGCAGCGACGACCTGACCTCTACCCTTCGGAATCTTCCGGCTTCCCTCCCGTCAATTCGTTCGTCCCCGAGCGATGGGATGGTTGGACGCCCAAGAGTTGGACGTACATCCCCTTCAACGGAGGGCCAAGAATCTGTATCGGCCAGCAGTTCGCCTTGACGGAGATGGGCTATACCCTCACGAGAGTGTTCCAGACGTATACCCGAGTTGAGGACCGTATGGGAGGGGTTATGCCAAGGATGAGAGCGGATATTGTGCTGCAGCCTGCAGAAGATGTTATGGTTGAGTTCTTCCAGGACAAGGAATAGGGAATCTGATGACGCCTCTCCTACGTTAACAAAGTGTTGGTCGTTGAGTCATCTCGCACTCCATTTTGGTATGAATTTATGTAGTCTGATGTGTGGAGGTTTCGCATTCCAGAATCAAGGCTGTTACGAGTATTAGAATGGGGTCATTCTTATCTTGAACCTGAACAGGATGAACAATATCTATTCTTCAATACAACTTCGCAATGGCCCACCGATGTCGTAGCCGATCATCTTCACATGCACGCGCTACTCGCTACTCGCTACTCGTGCATATACTGCAGTCTCGTTGCACATGACTACTGCAGTACTCAATCCATGAGAGGTATCAGCTGGTTATTGTATGCGCCATTCTCCGTGCCATGTCGCAGATTCATTCATGTCGTCCTCTGGTGCAATTTCAGCGCGAATCACCATCCGTCGAGCGCTTGACCCTCGAGAAACCGAGCAGAAACGTTTCACTAACGTGGTACGACTACGCATGCTGCATTGTTTGAAGCCATGTCCTAAACCGGTGCACTGCAATATTGTCCGACCGGTTTCCGCCAGACGAATCTCGAGCTGCCCTGAAGTTTGATATGAGGCTTGCAGCCATTTCCGAGACTCTGCCCTGGTTTCCCGCTTCGAGTACGGGTGGCACTGACTTCTGCGAATGAAGACTACTAAACTAAAGTCCGCTCGGTGCCGTACCGTACCTTATCCGCTCGGGTTAAGTATCATGATATCTTATTTGGCGGTTTGGCTTAAAAACACACCTCGAATCTGAGGAATATCGCTACCGGTATACAATTTAATCCTTGCGATAGCATGGGCGTCCTAGGGACCGCGAACCATACTGGGCGCTCATTCTTCCTACCAAAGCAGTCGGTTACTCCGCACCTGATCTTATATCCACGGTTCGGAATCGGGATCTTATCCATGGAACCCATTTTGCTCTGATGCTGTTCGACCAATGCACGAACTTGGGAGATGTCCTTTTACCGGAACGGTCGAGAGCTCGAGATGGTCAGGAGGCTTGGAAAACCGGATGTCGCCGCATCAGCTTCAACAGCAGATTGATGATTCATGCGATGATTCATGCATGCATTTCCCACCAGTTGTACTCTGTACCTGGTACCTGTTTCGCTCCAGGATTCCAGGGCCCCTTCCACCCTCCGGCCCCAATCCGCATGCTCGTGAGTTGGAGCCAATTAAGCGGTGGCTGGGGGATTGGAGCAACGCGGAGAGATGCGTCAACCTGCAACTAGGGTCCATTGGCATTGGACAAAGATGTGCAGGTTGCAGGATCCTCTGCGGATGCCACTCTAGCGACTGTCAGTCGCTCCCTGTGTGTCGTGCACTTTGTTCGTGAAGGGCGGGGTTGGCCCTTGCAGAGCAGCTGGCCGACTGCAGGCTTGCGGAAACTGTCCTGCCCCTCTTTCTCCGTCTGGCCGGGATGCCGGTCGGCGATTGACGATGATTGACTACCAGGAGCGCATCAATATGCGTGCGACGCTGTGTCGCGATGTGCCCTCACCTTGATTATTGGCTCTGTCCGTAGGCCAACATCGATAGCACCATTTCGAGATGCTTGAGCTGTTTTCGGCATCCAGCGGCTTAGCACGAGACAATGGATGTTCTTTGGCGTGGTGATCATGGCATTCCGGGCTTCTCCAACTCGTCCACGTCCGTACGGTACGGTCCCCAAGGTACTATCTTTGTACCCTAGTATGTACCTGCGTCTTATGCGACGTATGCTGCGCAAATGTTTCATGGAATCATGACGAAAAATCCTCCGATATTAGTTCGACTAGCCACCCGAGAAGATTCATCCTCACTGACCTCAACACCGGCGCCAGACCCAAGGATTTGAATGGTCTCAGAGTCGGACTCTATCCTCTGGAACGGGATTGCTCAAGGTTCCCTTGCATGTCTCCTTCAAGGTCAAACATACGGTACAGAACGGTACCTAGGTATCAATCCTAGGATCGCAATATATTGCATACCGTACCAGACTCTGCTACAGTAGACGAGACGGCTTCCTGTCAGGGAGAAGCAGGGTAGCGGTATGGTTCGCGAAGTTCAAGAACCACTGTACAATAATATCAATGCTGGTATCCGTAGAAAGGTACTTACTTTCTTAGTCCTTGTATTTAAGGTAGTTATCCGTATATTCTGTTATGTGTCTTTTTCCTTGCTTGTTTTCGTCCCTTATTCGTATTGTTCTCTCCTCCACACCCCGCTTCTGTTGCATCGCTCCGTAGCTACAAAAAAGCAACGCCCCAAGTGCTGCCGGTTCGACTCGCCTTGACTCTGGTGGCGGTTAATCCCGATAGGTCTCTAGAGTCAGGACCGTGACTGTCAAAGTTCTGACCTTTCCCTTGACCACTCTATTCATCAAAACCGCGACCTCCGAGTCGTAGTGCGGAACAACCGCCTCACGTATACTATATCCTGGGTATATCACAAATCCTCGATACTACCCAGGGCGGAATTGACGACCCTAACTCCGAACACCCCGCCGGCTCGTGGAGGGGCATGGACTTTAAGTTCAATTTAGGCGCACATCCTCCACATCCTGGGCCGTTCTGACTGCGCTAAACCGCTGCACCCGGGCTGCCCCTCGCATCGTTGCCGCCCCATTCCCTCCTTCGGTCCTACCAGCCCTTCGAAACCAGCCTATGGGAGCACCTCTGGCGCCATTGTGGTGACGCGCAATACGATAGTTGTGCCTTTGGGGGGCTTGGAGGGTCTTTCATCACCGTCATCCCTCCCAGCGTCCCGCTTCACCTGTGCAGTTCTGTCAGTCGCATCGCATCATCCACATCCCAGATCCCTCGACACGGTGCTCCGCGCATCGAAGTGGTTGACCCTACAGCGATATACAGTCTCCCAACCATCCGAATTTGTACCTTCCGAGTCGCCGCGCTAGTAACACAGCGGGAGAAAAGTGAGCGAGATCGAGAGTGGCGGGGGATCGACTCTTATCGCCTGCACCAAGACCCTGTAACTTAGGACTGACTTTGCTTCCAGTCGTGCATCTGTCATCCTCATCGGCTCCAGGTCATCCACACCAACTCTCCAACAAGAAAACGATCTAGAGGCTCAGACTTTCCGTCGGGTTGGCTGAATCGCCTCCTCTTTGGGTCTGTTCATTCCTCATCGCTTCCTTTCAATATTGACATCCGTGCTTGGACCTTCCCTTCACCATCATTCCTACTCGCTCTGCAGAGCCTCATCGACTTGCCGGAAGAGTTTCTCAAAGTCACGACATCACCCCAGTTCTCCTGGACTCACTTCAGAGTTTAGCCCGTCTGATCTGCCCTGGCGCGGACTGTCCCGCATCCGACTTCCCCTCCGCCTTCTCTCCCCTCTTCGACCCTGTTTCACCTCCACGACAGGACCACTTGACCTGCTCTCTGCTCAATATTCGGTCGCATGCCGATAGCTCCACCGATTTGTTTTAGGTTGATCCCATTTTCTCTCTGGTGCGGTGCTCCCAGCCGTCCGCTGTGATCCCGCCTTGCCACCTGCGCAAAGCCGTTCGAATCCCGACTCGGTGGGGCTGAGACAGACCTGCACTAGAAACCACAGCATCACCACCTTGCCACCGGGCGCAAACCTTGCGATCAATACCTCGACCTGCGCAAAAGAACAATAACGATTGGGAAAAGCGACAGGAGTTGGAAAGCCTATTGTCGCGCCTTCGTGGAAGGCACAGCCTTCTCCCGAATTCATCATGTCTTCCTTTCAAGCCGTCAATACCATCCTCACGGTTCCGGATTCGCTGTCTAGGAAGGATGAGAATACTCCCACGACTCCTCGACCGCCGAAATCCTCGTCAGAGGGACCGACCACGGAGACCCGAACTGACGACACCGCGAAAACACCGACCAGAGACACGTTCAACAACAACGCCGCACAACGACCCTTGACCGCCGATGCAGCTCCATACGGCGAAGCACCAGCCTCGAAGTTGAAACGGAACGTATATGATTACGTCGGACCAGAGCCTGCCCTTATTTCACGGGGCAACTCCCTTACTTCTCACCGGTCTCATCATTCCGAAGGGACTTCCGTTACAGCGCGCAGTGGCAGTCAAGATGTCGATATGGAAGGGCAAACCGGGGATGATCCGGACTTGAAAGAACTCTCGGACGACGACGACGACAAAAGCGTCACCAGTGATACGGCCCGACCGAACAAGAAGAAGAAAGGACAGCGTTTTTTCTGCACCGAATACCCTCCGTGTCAACTGAGCTTCACCAGAAGCGAACATCTCGCTAGACATATCCGGTACGTTTCTTGATGTTGATTAAGCACGGCCCAGTCACTTCGTCTTATGTGTTCCGTGGTCCAATTCAAGACGCTGACGATTTTCGACAGAAAGCATACAGGCGAACGACCTTTCCAATGCCACTGCAGTCGCCGATTCTCGCGCCTCGACAATCTACGTCAACATGCACAAACAGTTCATGTAAATGAAGCTATCCCTGATGATTCATTAGCAGCGACCGGTACTCGATTCCAGCGTCAAATCCGCACCGACCGTGTCCGTCCTGGCCCGGCGGGGAGAAGCAGAGCGAGCACGATGGGTTCAGGGACGCATTCACGTGGCCACTCCCGAAACCTGTCGACGTCGAGCATCGCCTCCACTGCGTCGAGCATGAGCATCAACATTAGTGGGAGAGACGACTCAAGATTACGACCGGCCCCTCTTGCGATGGCGAATCATGGAATACGTCGCGCCCGTCTATCACTTGATACCTTTAATCCGCAGAATATGCCACACTATCCGCCAAACGCCAAACCCAACTATGTCCCGGGTTATGGGGGACATAGCCCCAATGATTACAGCACGCCGACGTCTGCTACGTTTTCTACTGGCGCCAACTCGCCCCGTTTCTCTTCCGGCTTACATTCCCCTGGTTCCCAGATTCCGAGATCAGTCGGTGCGTACGGAGCCAGGACACCCGGTCGACGATTGTCCGTGCCTTCTGCCGGGAACCCTTTCCAAGGAAGTTCGACGTATCCTCCCGCATTCATCAGTCCCGTTCCTTCGTCGGGTGCATCGGGACAGGGTTCGATCTTTGCCAGTCCGACCACTTCGGTTTTCTCTAGCCCCGGAAGAAAGGAGTCGGACGTCGAGGCGGATCTCCGAAGACGAACGTGGCATCCCAACTCATACACTGGTCTGGGCCCAAGGCCGGCAACAAGTGGCGTGCAAATGTATCCAGGAGCACCCCATGAGCCGAGGCCCTTATTCGCCACACAGACTATCGCTGCGCAGCAAGCACCTCTCCCCCAACCCCAGCCATTGCAACCGCTTCAACGAGGACCGCCTCCACCTCTTCAGCCTGCCGTGCAGCTTCCGCAAGGAGCTCGGCAAATCACTCGCCTCCCGGGGATTGAAAGCTTCGACAAAGCGCCACCACAACCAAACTTCACCTTTCCTCCACGACGCCAGGCAAGTTCCCCCACGACATCGTCTCAGCAGTTGCCCTATCGACAGCCCAGCCCCATGCAGATCGATAGTCCACCGCCACGACCAATCCGTCAGAATGCGTCCCCGACGCCGCAGGAACGAGCGGAGGAATATAAGAATCATCGAATCAGCTGGGACTTGTCCAACCAGCTACAGAAAGGCATCGGGCGGCTCGACCTCACCAGCGCCACGCCTCCCATGGAGCCCAAACGGTTCTCCTTCACATCGGCGGTGGAACATCATCGAACACGGTCGGAAGGGCAGCCGAGGGTTAGCTTTGCTCCGAACCCACGACCGGCCTATCCGGCACCGGCGCCAGTGACTCCACGTCATGACCAACCCGGGAGCCCCACGACTCCAACCAGTAAACGTAACAAAAGGATGGGGTGGTACCAAGGCCCGGTGGAAATGCATCAGAATCCATCATATCCATCCCCATCCCAAGGACCTGAACAGAGAAATATATCAATCGCACCGGGTCCAACACCATTTCCAGCTGATACTCAACCCCATGGACCAAACCCTTATGGCCGAGAACCACCACCTCCTCCCCCTCCACCACCTCGGCAGCCGCCACATCAGCAGCAGCTGCCACATCAGCCGCCGCCGCAATCGAATCCCCTGCCTGACTCAGGTCAGGCAGCGCCGCTGACACTGCCGCGGAGTCTTCCATTCAGCAACCAGCAGCATTTAACCGCTCAGCAACATTATCGCACGTCTCCCGGAACGGAGTCGTCATCCTCTGACAATGGGTCGATTCCAACCCCGTCTACCGGGATGGGCGATTGGAACCCGGCGCATTCGAACGGCTTGCTTGAAACGGGGCCTCAGGGACTTGGGATTAAACCCGAGATGTCCAGTAGCCCGCCTCGACCGGACCTTCGTGGATTGCAGGCTCTGGTCGCGGTGGCTACCGGAGAAGGGAGTAAGATACGAGGATAGTGGGATTTACGCGTCGGTGAGGGCATTTATGTTGGGTGGAGAGAGGAGAGCTTGCTTTGAATTGTTATGATTATCGCGTTTTGGAGGGAACGAGGCACGCAGTTATACCCCTTTTACTGATTGATGACTGATGACATGATCCCGAACGGGTTCTTTTATTCGAGATGATACCCCCCGAGTTTTTGGTGGAAACGCGACGGATGGAATTTTACAGGGAGGATTGATGAGGAATGCGAGGAGTTGCACTTAGTTTTGGTGATGTCTTCCTTTACGTTCTCTTTTGGACAATACCTCTGCGTTGCCCATTCATGGGGATTTATCATGTTCACTGATGGTTAGCATATGAAATGGGTACTATCTCCGATCAATTCGAACATTTATCAAGCCAGGAGTTAAGGAGTGTGGAGACGAGACGTTGTTGTGCCCGGCGGACTTCAGCGACCAATACGACGTTCGGTTGCTAGGGTGCTGTACAAACGTAAACATCCACTCAATCGTTCACCTCTGCATAGATCAGATCATTCGGATGCGTCTTGCGTGCATCATCTCGACTCGTCTTGCCTCGATTTTCCCTTTTTCTTTTCCGCGGACGGTTCATACGAAAAGCATTGACTTATTATTCCTCAATTGAAAGAATTGATTCCCCTTCCGTTCCGTCCATCCGCCATCTCCTTCGACTCCTCTGAACGACGCGATCAGACATCTCTAGAACTCGGACGACATGAGTGTGCGCGTGGTCGCGAGAATACGGCCACTTTTGAAACATGAAATTAGCTCCGACACGATCGTACATACGGATTCGACCTCAGGCGAATCGTCCGGGAAATCCGTGCCTAGGCCCAATGTTGTGCGGATACCAAATCCGAGGAATGGCGCCGAATCATTTGCCTTTCAATTCAATTCCGTCTATGACCAAAGCTGCACGCAGCAGGATATATTTGACAGCGAAGGTGCGAGTGGACCATCATAATCGGGGAGCCTCCATTGGAAACGAACCACTCACCGCATGCTTTAGTTGCCCCTACGGTGAAACACCTGTTCTCCGGGTACGATGTTACGCTATTTGCATATGGGGTCACTGGAACCGGCAAAACCCACACGATGCGAGGAGGGAAATCGCTCGCGGAACGTGGAGTCATCCCGCGTCTTCTCAGCTCGATATATCGGCGTTGTAGAAAGATCGAAAAGGATAGCGAAGGGGCTACCGAACTCCACGTGGCCATGAGCTACTACGAAATCTACAATGATCGGGTTTACGATTTGTTTCAGTCCCCTGACAAACGGACCGCTGCTGGTTTACCCATCCGTGACAACGGCGGGAAGACGATCGTCTGCGGATTGACCGAGCGGCCCTGCACGACGCTGAAGGAGTTTGAAAAGCTCTACGATGAAGCTAACATCAATCGAAGCACGTCCGCGACGAAATTGAATGCCCACTCGTCCCGATCTCACGCCATTCTTTGCGTGAAGCTGACGCAAACGACGGGGGATCGTACACTGGTCAGCACAGCGTCCGCGATCGATCTTGCCGGGTCGGAAGACAATCGCCGGACCGACAACAACAAGGAGCGCATGGTGGAATCTGGAAGCATCAACAAGTCTCTCTTCGTGCTGGCACAATGTGTGGAAGCCATCAGCAAAAAGCAATCTCGTATCCCCTACCGGGAATCGAAGATGACGAGGATCCTCTCCCTGGGGCAGAACGACGGGCTGACGGTCATGTTCCTGAATCTCGCTCCAGTCCGAAGCTATCATCTTGACACGCTGAGCTCGCTCAACTTTGCAAATCGAACGAAGAAAATCGAGGTGAACGAGATCGAGAACGAACCGATGTTCCGTACCACGAACACAAAAGCCACCCATTCACTGCCTGGGCCCTCGATCAATCGCCAACCATTGCGCCCGCTTGCCGTCACCCGGGATTTCAACGCTCAGATCCCATCTCACCATGCTCAACCGGAGCCCAAACCCGACAAACCCCCTCGAACATTCTCCGTCTACACCGACAAAAATAAGCCGTCGGCCCGGCCCCTTGCAGCATCTTCGCAGCGCAAGAACTCTCCTTACAAGCGCCCTCTCAATGACAGCTCAAGTAACCTATCCACAAGACCGATTAAGTCCATTCGCTCCAACCTCCCGCGATCGTCGAAACCCTCCGAGATGCAGCTCTCCAAAGCTTCCATCGAGCAGATGGTCGGTCGCCTGGTCGAGGAGAAGCTCGCAGAACGAACGCTAGCAGAGAACAACATGACGGCGGCTGCGGTTCCACTCCCGGACGAAATTCAACGTCGACTGGACGTCTTGGAGGCCCGCGTGACGGAGCGTGAAGATTCCGAAGGATTGCAGTACCTCTTGATGGCACGTCAACATGCGGCCCGCGGCGAGGATCCAAGCGCCCTGCGCATGTACCAGTTGGCGTTGCCGTTCTTCCCCGGGAACCACAAACTGCTGCGGAAGATAGAAGGCGTGAAGGGACGGCTGCGGGCAAAAAATGAGGTTGGGAGACTTCCTGGGGCGAGGGTTGTCAGCGCTCCTTCACCATCCAAAGGCTCATACCATATGCCGGGTCAGAACCAGTCCTCCAAGCCGCACGAGGCGTCTCATGATCAAGACGACGATTTCTACCCTGATGCCGAAGGCGGAAATGACGATTCGTACGATCTAGCGGACGAACTACCGTTGAAGAAGCCGCGACGTAAGCCCGTCACGGCAAACACCAAATTAAAACTATCGGTATTCAACGATGCGGACTCGACACAGCCCCCCACGCCTCGAACAGCGCGTTTGCTGGACGTCATCAACTCCCGCGACGTCGGCCAAATCCGAGCGCTGAAAGGAGTGGGCGCGAAGCGGGCCGAATCCATCGTCAATGCGCTCTGTGAGATGGATGACGAAGATCGGCTCGGTTCAATTCATGACCTGGGTGAACTGGGAGCGTTGAAGGGAGTGGGCGGGAAGATGGTCGAGAAAATGAGGGTGGGGATGGAATTGGAAGGTTTCTGAATGCATTTTATGCGGGTGGTGTCCGTTGAGGACTTGGTGCATAGACCTGTCACATGGTGGATGACTTTTGCATAGCAAGGCGTTTTGGATATTGGGTTCGTGGGAGCGTACGTGGGACAATGGGAGAGTGCGTTAGACCATGGGATGGTAGCATTGTGCATCCGAGTCAGAATCGAGTTGTATATTCTTCCAGTCTGTCTGAGTGAATCCTCATTCGGCAACCGCCGCTTCCAGCTCAATCGATGTCGGCCCACGCTTCACCGGACCTGAGCAGAAGAGGTTCCAGACTTCCAGTGGTTGTTTGAACGGGAGATGAGATGGGTCGACTGTTGGTGGTTGGGGTTCGGGCGTGGACGTGGACGTTTCAGCGGAGAACAATGACCGTCCAATCAGAGCCCCGAACATCCTCTCTCCACCACGAATCTGAAGGGCGAGTCGCCAGTAACACATCAACATCCTCCTTTCATTATGACTTTGTTCAGTGCGTTCCAATTCGTAGCCTGTCTCATGGAGTTTCAGTAAGTCTTTCGTCGGATATGAAACATTGTCTCTATGACAAGCAGAGCCGCCTGGTCCAATTCTTTCCCGTTGTACAAGATGGATCCGACGACGCGTCTCGTCGGGCAGTCAACACTACGAATAATGACTCCACGCATATCTCAAAGTGGTGCGATTCCTCGCACTTCTGTCTCTGTTCCTGTTGTTGTGGTGCCTCTTTTCTTTCAAGTCGATCTCTTCCGTCTTCGCAACTTTGTCCCTCTCTTCTATTTCTGTTGCTTCATCGTTTTGCGATACGCGCAAGTCGTGCCTTGCCCGCTTTTCTGCAACCGCTTGTCAAACCGATTGTTATTCGTGTGAGATATCGAAAGCTATTTACGAGAAATGGCTCGAACTTGTATAATACTTCTGCTGGCAGCCTTAATCCATCATGTTTATTCAAGTCCATTGCACGGTCGAGCCGCTGGTCGGTTGTGAGTCCGTCTCCATTCCTGGCATGCAATCCGCGACTGACATTGGATATCCAGACTCCCTAGATCTGCAAACACCACGTCAATTCCCACTTCATCAGTGAACACGACAAAGATGTCGTCCACGACACAGACGAGTGTAGAATTCTCTTCGCCACCCTCGGTCGTTGCTGTCAACGGAGATATGGAGATCGTGCCCTTGCAGCCCGTATCGATCTTCTCCACGGCTCCAGGGTTCACTTTCGTCGATCCGAGCGGGAACCCGAAACTTACGGTGCCTCCGTCCGTAATTTTCGTCACTACACTCGTTGACGATTTGAGAACCACATCGAGCATAATCTCAAGCCAACCGAGCGCATCTACAACCTCTTCCACCGAGCCGGAGTCGCGCACACCGGTGGTGGATAGCAGCCGCTCCTCGTCCTCGTCCTCGTCATTTTCCTCTTCGTTTGCAGCGCGAGAATCGTCCGGTATTTCAACTACGCCGACTCAGCTGCGAACGAGTGTTTCCGCGACTGTTCCTTCGGCGTCATCTCCACCGTCGAGGTCCCAGAGCGCATTTCATCAGCCTCCTGTCAGGGATAGCACTGGTAGCTCAGATAAAAGTGCCGCTTCTTCGCCTTCCGGAAGGTCACCAACTGGAAGTGCCGCGAGTTCAGCTCCTACTTCGCCAATTCCCAAGTCCTCGCCACAAGCTCCACAAATCCTAAGTCCTTCACAAGTCGGACAGCCGTTGCTCTCGTCCAGCGCGAATGCAAGACCAACTCAGTCTCCCTCAAGGTCATCACAACTATCTCTGGCCAAACCAGCTCCTTTCACCTCACTTCCCGGTGTCGAGTATGTGACGACCACCATGTTTACAACGGTTTCGGCCCTGGCGCCTAACTCGACCTCCGAACCATCCGCACCGCTTGCTGTGTCATCCTCCGCTGTTTCATCATTGCCATTATTCTCACTGCCTGATGTTGTCTATGAGACCACCACTTTGTATACAACGGTTTCGGCCTTGGCGCCTAACTCCACATCCGCCCTGACACCGTCCTTTTCATTGCTCGATGTTGTGTATGAAACGACGACGTTATATACAACTATTCGCACGCCCCGTCCCTCACCGTCCCAGCCTAGCTCAAATTCCACGGTTATCCAACCAGACGCTAAGTCAACTCCGCATCAACGCGTCCCACTCGCGTCAACGTCGATTTCCAGCCAACCTCAACTTACGGAAATCCCGACCGGCTTCCGTACCTTCACGCTCCCGCAGCCGACAGTGGATATCGTACCACCAGCGCTCGTCATCAGGCCCATACCTTCCGAGGAGCTTCAGAGACCACCAGTGGCGTCGAGCGTGTGAGGTGTCCCCTAGGAGCCATACTGGAGAAGTTTCGGAGACCAGCGGTCGCGTCATGTCTGTGGACTCACCTCAGAGGTCAGGTGGGAGAATCTCACAGAACTCGCGAAGTTCCCGTCGCAGGCGGTGCACGAAGTCGTGTGCGTGGATGAGGCGCCTTGGGGTCAAGTTTCCACGTGCTCATAGACACTAGGTTGGCCGGGCATCACAATGCCGGACGGACTTGGATACCCTGCATCCCAGGCACAGGAAAGGACGGAATGACAACTTCACACAGTGCCTTAAAGTCGTACACACGGGCGAAATACCCTTTCGTCAACCTCCCCTAAGAAATGGCGAGATTGAAAACAGTCTACCACGATGAAGACAAGGGAGCCGAACCTCCCGAGTCTACTGGGATTTCAGTGCTGGTATGCGATGTCTAGCTACCTAGGACCGGATGACGGTCGCGCGGATGGATCCCAATAAGATCGACACGACTAAGTTACAAAGACCATGGCCGTGCAGACCATTATCAGGACAGAAATGGTAGTGGAAAAGATGGGGATTGTAACAGCGTGGATAGGAATTAGTGAGAAGTCATAAATCGCGTGACTAAGACTTCCAAGTGCGAGAATATTCGACCATACTTTTTTTCACTTATTAATGAAACGAGATAGATCGGTACATATTGCTTCTGCACGCAGTGAACAGACTTCGATTGATAGTAATTAGATCTTCGCTTTGGCCGGAGCTGTCACCCTCTTCCCGTGCACATAGCTAATGGACCGGAGCTTGTCCAGCGCCTCGCCATAGAGCTCGCTTCGCAACACACTATAGACCCCCATCTTCGACTTACTCTGCCATTTCTCCGCAAGCTTCACCGCCGCCTCCAGCATCTCCTCCGGCTCCGCCACCGCGTCGACGATCCCGTCGGCGTATGCCTCCTTTCCGGTCCACTTGTGCGCTTCCAGGAGCATCTGTCGGGCGATCTGCGGTCGCAGCTTCAGGCGGGGAAGCGCCCCGATGCCCGGGAAGTGAAGCCCGAGGTTGACCGGGGGCATCGAGATGAAGCCGCGCTTGGAGTTCATGATGCGGTAGTCGTGGGACAGGGAGAAGGGGACGGCGCCGCCGAACGTGTGGCCGGTGATGAGGGCGATGGTGGGAAATGGAAAGTCGAGGATCGTGGCGAGAAGCTGCGGCGGATTTGGATGAGCCAAAATATCATTCTGTTTCATCTGGGAATATACATACCGGGAAGAACCCATCGCTGTTTGCGAACGGGTTGGTTTCGGCTTCGTCCAAGTCGAGCCCCGTGCACCAGAATTTGGCATCGCTTCCTCGCGTGATCACGGCGCCTTCGCTGTCGGGTCCCAGTTCTTTTTCGATATCACGGAATGCACGAATAATCTCTTGGGCGAATTCCACGTTGATTCGGTTTTCTGGCTTCTTCTGCATGGTGACGATGAAGACCTGCCCGCGTCGCTCCACGCTGAGGTCCTTGTAGGTTCCGAGCGCCATCGTGAAAGGTGTCGATGAACGATTCTCAAATTTCTGGATGATATTGGCCTTCGTGAGTGATAAATCTGCAATGATCAAAATTATCGTGCAGCGGTACACCAACTGTATGTAACCGCGACAATTGACTACCGGTATGACCACAACGGCCGGGGTAGTTGTTGTGGTGAAGCTTTGCCCGAGGCCGAGTTCCCGTGAACCCTGGACCAGCCCCGCGCGTTGTGGATTTCTGGCTCCAGGAAGCTTTTGTTCAAGTGGGTCCGGTTGTTCTCGGGAGATTTCGGTTCCCCGCAAAACTGGAATGGTTCTGTGGGTCTGCAAGTTACGTGAAGGAACGAGCCGGGAATGACAATTGGCATGTGTTCTCTATTGTGATGCAGCCATGCCCTGGGAGCCCATTTGTATTTGAGTCTGACAATAGTGAACCGACCCCCTGATTTCACCACATCGCCGTCGCATCCCAATCATTGAACAACCAGTTGCCAATGCCGTCGTAATCGAATGTCGTAGGAACGGAGTCAAGCAGTGGTTCCTGGTGGTACATGCCAGACGCCCCATTTGCGGCTTCGTCCGGCGCCATGCCGGTTGGGAGTAACCCACGGCCAGCAGAGACATCATCGGCTGGAGCCGCTCCTTGGGCTTGCGTTTGCAGGTCAGACAGGATTCCAGCGGTCATCAGGTCCCGGGTGGCGACTTGTCGATTGCTTTCGTCCGGCATGTTTCCGTTCCCGCATCGGTGCGACTGGCTGCCATAGAGCACATTCCACTCCCTTGCCAGATCCGGCCCAAAGTCTACAAAAAACTGAGCTTGGTCCTCGGTCAGATTGTTGTCGGGGAAATATGTGCTTTTTTGACGCCCGGATATTTTGCTCCGTACATCAGCCAGCGTTTTGAGAGCTCCGATCGCTGACGGCCAGCGTTTGGCAAGCTCGTTCTGACTTCGAAAGATGACTTCCAGATCCTGCTGCGCAAGATGCCATAACCCTGGATAACGGTAACACGAGAGTTGGGCAATGCCCGCTGAGAGGAGATAGAAGGTGAAGATTGGACCCAAGAATCGGACCTCGTCCCGGGCTAGAAAATCTTCGAATATTCCGACGACGAAGGATGAGGCGAGCACGGATGCTGTCGAGGGAGGTCCACTGGTATTTTGGGCCCGGTTCAGAATTGTCAACACGGTAAAATACTGTAACTTAGAGTTAGTTTATAATCCATCAGTGAGTTGTAGAGATCGGACCTGGACATGAAGTTGTCTTGCTTCAAAATGGTATGATCGAAGAGGTCGTGCTGAAGTATGGTGGCACAGTTGCAGATGCTCAGGAAGGGTCTTGAGCCATCGAAATACCGCATTGTCCATGCAAAGTTTCTGTTCGGGTTGGAATTTGGCTCTTGATAAGAAGACCTGGGTTAAGTCCCCTAGAGACATCAATGAATGTCTTTAAATCAAATTTTAGTCGTTTAGACCGGTATCAAACTTACCCAGGACCAAAGAGATACCTATGTAATGCCGGAATAGCTCTGCTGCTCTCTCGTCTCCATCGAAGTCCTTTGCTGTGGGGGGTAGCACATCGGCTAGCTGTAGGTTTATTGCTCTAGGTCTGCCATGGCCTGCATTGATCAGGCAGTCTCGAACCTGAAGCAGACAGTTAGAAATACCCCAGATGATTCCGAACCAGGCTTTCATACAACAAGGGACCAAAATATCCTTCTCCTGATACCAGAGTCTTCCGATGAATCCCCTGGATCTTTGTGGAGGCCAATCTGATACGCCAGTCCAACACTGATTCTCAGCCAAAACCCACTGGTATCGGTCGAGAAATGCTCTGGCCCCTCTGGATTCCACCAGTTGAGCAAACAAGCTGCAACCGTGATGAGAAGAGGGTCTCGTTCGGATCCTGTCCAGAACAACGTTTTGGCTCTCCGGTAGAAGTCTTCGGGGCCGAAACCTGGGGTAATGTCTTTGTTGGCACTAGTCCCCGAAGTTGGGCTTGGAAATATGGCCGTGCTCACTCGTGAGCCGGCCAGTAACATAGCCTGGAGCAACAGAATACTAGGCGTCCCAGATTCGCCTTCGGGGTCGAACATGGTGTTGGTCATGCCGGCGTTCCTACCCTTCAGCCAACTGCGGTCGACAATCGGCGTCCAAGGCCAGCATCGCTCCCAGAAATGGTCGATCAAACTTTCCCTGATCGCGCGAGGCGGGAGCTCGAATACCCTTTGGATCCCCAAAACCTCGACATCTCGATCGTTGAGGGTTTGGAAATTCTGGGGGATCTCCGGCGCTTCCTCATCGTCGAGTGGAACGTCCACCGCAATGTAAGAACTCCGGCCAAGATACGACGTATTTGGTCCACCGTGCGGGTAGTGCGGTTGCCCTGTTACCGCTCCTGGGGGGGTTGAATTGGAGTGGTTTGCAGCTCCTGCCATCGACTTTGGGGAGACCTCGGTGAGGTTCGTTCCATCAACATCGCTGATCGATCTCTGTGGTTGGTATACTGGATCCATCATGGAAGGATTCGAAAGTGAAGCACGAGGATTTGGTGGCTCCCTTTTTAATCGTCCAGCAGGTCTGCCTCCCGAAGGTGAAGGCGACATAGTAAACCGCTTCCGCTTCCGCTCTCGCGGTATGCATTCATATTCGTCGCGTAGGCAATTGGTGCAGCGCGGACCTGCACATGTCTCGAGATCGCACTTGATCTTCCTCTTATGACAGACAATGCAAGCCCTCTGCGCTCGCGTGCGCGGTTGAGCTGATTTTGGGTCTGCCATGATGCCTGGACCTCCTCTTTCCCCGTCACCGTGCGGCGCATGAATGAGGATTCGGGACGAACCTCAGCGCGAATCCACGTGAGAATTTTCAAACACAACACTTGTAGACTTCAGGTCAACCAAAGACGATCCACAGCACGGCTGATATCGGGCGAACAGGAATCAAAATGAGGCCTCAAGGTCAAGGTCCCGAGATCCAAGACGAGGCGGGAGATTCTCGGGCGGGTAGGAAAGGGACTAAGTCAGCCCGGAGTGGTTGGTTGGTACATGGTCAATGGTCAGCCAAGGCCTAATTAGCATTAAGCTCCACACTTCGCAGGCTCCGTTCCAATGGCGAATTCCCCCGCGTTTTCGCTTCGTATCCCTGTAGATTGTTGTGACAAAGGACATCTGACAGCAATAATACGGAGTATAGAGGCTTAGAGAACTTCAGTAATCAGTTGGACCGTCGCGATGCAGCGTGTTTTCACATTCTCATGCTCACCCGAGACAGGATTTCAGGCTCCAGTACAGAAGTCCGTCATACCGCCATATTGATTCGTACAGAGAAGAGCTGGAAAACCTCTTTGGAACATCTTTTAAACACGCTACCCTTACACGAAAATACTCTGGTTGGCTAGATCGCATACTTCGAAGTTTACAACTTCGCCAAAATATCCTTTCCCCCATCATTGCTGCCTTTGACAATCTCATCGCTTCTCCAATCAACATTGAACGTCACCCTGTTCAATGGGTTCTGTCGGTGTGCGCGGTCATAGAGGTCCTCGTATACCTTTCCATCGTACCTCCCCAGTGCACTGTCGAGGACGTAATCCGGAATGCTCCAAGCGTCGACAACCTTCACAGCATGGGGTCGGATCTGCAACATGAGTTGTTGAATGGTGTCAGGAAGCTGGTCCAGCGATCCAGAAGACGCCGCGTTGCAGGACTGGAAGGTCCTGGCATCGGCGTCCATCGTGGAGAGGGCGAAAAGTCGATACATGTCTCGCATGACCCTTTGAGCGGCTTGGGAAAGGGACGAGTGGACGAGCGCACGATGAAAGTTTGAGACCAGGAAGGATTCGGAATACGCTTGATGTGGTCAGTATGGTCTCTCTTCCACATCAATCTATCATCTGGCTTACCGTTGCTGAGTCGGTGTAATTGCACGAGAAGACTCGTCCAGCCCTTCTTTTGGACAACCCTTGCTTCATAAGCGCGATATGTCTGCAGCATATTAGTATTTAATACATGGATACCGTTAAGGAAGTGAGTTGCTGACCAAATCTGCTGCACGCCACTCGAACGCTTCCATCATGGCCTTGTCGATGTACTGTCCATTGATGACCAGCTCCTTGGGTTTGTATGTATTCCTCGTTTTCAAATATTGTTTGAAAAGTGCATCGGTGCCATCCTTGGCCGGTGCATCGGGCTTTGCCACGACGCTCTCCATCTTTTTGATCAGATATCGAGCAGTTTGCTGAGTGATCATCCAGTTGTCACCTTCAACCGTCGGTTTGGAAAGGTAGTCGTTATTGATGTTGATGAGACCGCTGCCGCCACCAAATCCGTGCCCTCCCAACGCTCTTCGACATGTTTCAATGCCGTTGGCTGCAATGGTGGTGCACAAACTCTTAAGTCCACTACTGACCCCATGTAATTCGGCCAATCCTGAGAAATCTCCCTTTTCAATGTTTGAACGCGTACTGGTATACATGTTGAACATGGCTTCCCCGGTGTAATGAAGCGCAAAAGTGGTCGCGACCAGAGGAAGGATCCGGATTTGCACCGTGGGGTAGTCTAGCACGGTCATCTCCGGTCCGGCTTGCTTGGAATCATCCCTATCATGGAATTGTCGCCGGATCGTAGAGTATCGCACCGCGATCGTCACTGCTCGAGCCAAGATGAGCCTTGCGTGCATGATGATCGTGGCGCGGACATTAGTTAGCGAGCCATATACCACGGCTTGGTGTCCGGTACGAGAGAACGCGCCCGTGTTTGGATCGACATGGGAGTATCGAGCCAACATGGCTGAATGAGGGACCCGGTGGTTATCTAGGAGCATATATCCATTATCCATGGACGTGTAACCATATTTGGGACCAATGTCGCCAACCACGATGCCGTCGAGAGGCAGATGAGTTTCCTTGTTGCGAATCTGGACGACGAACGGATGCGGCCCATGGGACACATAATTCCCGGTCGAATCGGGCAGCATGAGCTGGGCAACGATGATGGCATGCGTTGCCGTTCGGCCCATGGTCCCATTCCACCATTTGGAAGCGGTCAAAGTCGGCGAGTGAATAATGAATTCCTTCGTCGTTGGATCGTACTTGGCCTGACATTCCAGACCTCGTACGTTGCTTCCATGTCCTAGTTCAGTCTGAGCGTAGCAACCGATGATATCGTAATTGAGGATCTGGGGCATCCAATGAGCCTTCTGTTCCTCCGACCCTTGCTCTCGAACCGTGGTAACTAAGGAGCCGTGAGCATTCGCTCCGGAATAAAGGGGATCAACGGCAACGTACCAAACATGGAAAGGTGGAGGTGATACGGTGACATCTCGTCCACCAGGTATTCAGCCATGTCTGCGTCCTCCTTATTCCAGTCATGCTTGAGAGCCAATCTTCGAATCAGTTTCGCTCTTGCCAAGCCAAGGTGATATCGATCCTGCACTTGTCAGTTTATATTCATGTTCTACGGTCTACCGAACTAACCGGACGGGCCAAGTTTAGGAGGTTCTTCTTTGACATCAACGGTTCCTTTTCGACAATCTCAAGGATCCTTGCCTGTCGATTGAGGAAGTCATTTCTGGAAAGCAAGTGTTTCGATAACTCCTGAACAGACAAGGGACTGCCATTCCTTTCCGCCTCCAGAATCTGGGTTCCATCGTGTGCCGGCTTTAGGTTGTCCGTAAAGTCTGGCATCGTGACTGATATCTCAGCGATTAATATTATATATATCCCAAAAAGATGATCAAGCAAAGCTTTGATTAATCGGTATCAGTCCAGAATATAAAGACCACCATCCAATTTATCTGTCGAATTCCAGATGCGATCATGGCTTGCAAAATGAGCCCCGAGGTCTAAGATTTGGGGAGCCCGGCTACAACTGCACAGCTGTACCGGCGATTCTCGGGAGAAGAAAGAGCCTAAAGTTGGAGTCCAGGAAAATATAAGGCAAAATAGTGGATTCTACATGCTTAAACTTCACGATGCGACTTGGCCAGCGCGAGGGGCCGCAATCCAGACGTCAAGGGTTTCGTCAAGGAATCTTCATCAGGAATCGGGAATCGGGAATCGGGAGCCAGAAGTCGAGGTCTAGATGTTCTCGTGGCGTTCCGATATATGGATATTGAGTCTGGACTGCGCAACCACGCCAGGGACCGAGCAACTGTGCCACAAGTGGCACTTCTTTCAAATATGACTCTGGACGCAGGCCGATTGCCGAGCAGGACATGAGTGAGCAGATGTGATTTATTATTATTATTCCCTATCCCCAAACGACTGGTACCGTGGTTCCTCTGACGGCCATTTCAGCTACCGTATGGCGCATACAAGGCAATTTCCTGGAAACTGGATACGGTGGAGAGATCATGACTTGGTTGATAGATCGTCGTTCGCCATTCTCCGGCAATTCCTGACTCGCCTGGTGTGCCGAAGCCCGAAACTCTCATCCGTGAATATCTGGACGATTCTGGAGAGAAATTTAGTAAACAAACCCAATATCCATGCCGGGGGATACCGAACATATCCGGCGCCTCATGTAGTGGCCACAACCAACCCCACTTGAACCTCAAGCTCGGAAGCGACTCACCCAAGCCCGATCTCCAACTTGTGTCCGTTCCGACGAACATGTGGCGGTAGTACTTAGCAGGACATGGATAGAGGGCAATCCAGAGAAAACAATAGCCGAGTGGGTAAGCGTGATAAGGGCAATGGATAGAAAAGGCTTCAGGTCGCCGTGCCCTTTCGCCTTGCACTTGTATGATATGGAGAATTATCCATGATAGTATGGACGATCGCACGCAATTCGTCCCCCGCCATTCCGGACGGAATGTCCTCCCTTGCACAGTGAGTCCAAAGTCCCGCTCCATGTTGGTTGCAACTCCTGACGGATGACAGCCTTTGTTCAGTCGCCTTCTTCGGCTTGCTCATCGATCCTCGAAAGTCGCGATAAGAGATTGTCGAGCAAATGTTACACGGACACATGTTCAATTGCTCTCGGATGTCCTCGCCCTTCGCGAAACCTTGATCAATTCACTAGACCATCGAACTCGTGAGGCCCTCGACAATGGCGAAGATGTCTATATTGCGGTCCTGGCACTTGGAAGCTATGAATATGCCGTCGCGGTACTGGCGGTGCTGGCCGCAGGCGCAGCTGCGGTTCCCCTCACGACGGCGCTCCCAGTCGACGAGGCGGTATACTTTGTCAAGAAATCGGGCTCCGTCGCGATCTTAGCACATTCGAATGCCATGGAGCTTGGACAACGACTGGAAGCAAAGATCGTGCAAGAGGGCGACCCGAAATTCCAATGCATACCGATTCAACCGGCACTGTTCTCGACCACCATCGATCCCTTTGACATCCTCGTTTCGTCCGATCTGTATCTCGATGAAAATGGGCCCGGGATTGTGATTTTCACATCTGGTACGACCGGACCTCCCAAGGGCGCCGTCATGCGGAGGTCATATGTGTTTGACGGGGCGATCGCGGTCGCCGAACACTATGCGTTGACGGAGGCAGATGTCATGCTCCACGTTCTACCCGTACACCACGCCACGGGGGTGGGTATTACCTTCTTTCCCTTCCTCGTTTCCGGCTGCACCATTGAGTTCCGCAGCGGAAGTTTTGACGAAAAATGGTTGTGGGATCGATGGAGAGAAGGGGCTCGGGACCCCCAACGACGGCTCACCTTCTTCTCCGGCGTCCCAACGATATACATGAGGATGAGACGATACTATCAGCGAGTGCTCAGCAAACTGGCTCCTGCACATCTTGCCGAGTATGTTGCTGGGGCTAGACAGTTTCGTGCTTGTCTCTGCGGCACCTCTGCACTGCCGTATCCGATCAATCAGTTTTGGATGGAACTCATGCAGAAGAAAATTGTCCAACGATATGGGGCCACGGAATTCGGCGCTATCTTCAAGGTCCGATTAGGGTCCGCCGACGAAGTACCGGAAGGCTCTGTTGGCGAGAGGGTTCCTGGGATCGATATTAAACTCTCCGATGGAGATGAAGGTGAAGTTCTCGTTAAAAGTCCTGTGAGTGTCGATGATTGTGCATTGTTGGCAGAGACATTAATGCGATATCCTAGCACATGTTTTCCAAATACCTGGGTGATCCGGAAGCGACCGCGAAAGCGCATGACAAGGAAGGCTACTTTCGGACAGGAGACCGTGAGTTTGTGCACCAAAATCGAAGAAATTTGCTAATCTGTTTAGTTGCGAGACGCCAAGGGAAACATTATTTCATCATCGGCCGAGCATCAATGGATATTATAAAATCTGGCGGCTATAAAATCTCCGCTCTTGATATTGAGCGGGAAATCCTGGCCCTACCTTACGTATCCGAAATCATGGTTGTTGGAGTCGAAGATATAGAGTTCGGACAACGCGTTGCGGCCCTGATCGCGCTACAAGAGGAGGAAATTTCGGAAGAATTTTTGAAAACGCATGGTGACGGCAAGAAGGTGGAATTGACGATTGACAATTTGAGACGAGATTTAAGGGATCGGCTGGCAGGATATAAGATGCCGACATTACTTCGAATTGTTAAGGGCGATTTTCCAAAGACCGCATCAGGAAAGGTCTTGAAGAAGCTGCTCGGACCACGCTTCTTCCCTCCAAACTACCTCGAGACTCCTGAGGTGCAAGTGTGGAAATCATCGAAACCTCCAGATAACCTTGCCAAGTTATAGACGTGATGGATAGACAATACACCAACCAATTTACAGGCCCCCATGACTGGAGGTCTCTGTCAGAACCCGAATTCCCACCTGGGCCAACTTTCGAACGGCTTTCGAGTCTGGATCAGACTGGATAATGTCGCTTTTGATGACACTGGTCCGAATGAAGTGTTGCAGTCCTGTCACCATATCCGGCACCTCGAGGGCCTTGGAGAATAGATTCCGAACAGCGGCCGGTTGCTTCGACTCCGAGTGTGCTTTGCAAATTTCCAACAGGGCTGTGACGACCGTGATTTCGACAAAGGTCTTTGCTTTTGGGGAAAGCATCGCAAAGTCTACGTTCTTGAGCGTGGTGATGGGCTCGTCTCCTCGGCCGATCAAAGACCCATACATCTTGCCGAGGTTTACGAGTTCCCGCAGCGAGAGTGTTCCAGTCCCGTCTTCGTTGAGCTTGTCCTCTTCATCATCCGATCCCATACGCTTCAAGTAGTCCCAACAAATGAACTGGAAAGCTTTGCGGAACCGGTGTTCACCGCATAGTTTCCGAGCGATCAACGTATAATACTGGTTGTATGACTGTTCAGAGACAGCACATTGTACCACAATCCGAGGGATTTCCAGTTCCTGGGACTTTTTGAGCCGTAGCTTCAGGAGTCGGAAGTGGGCATCCTGATAGTCGGTCGCTGACATGATGGATTGGAAGATCGCTCGTCGAACATCGGTATTCATTCTCATTTGTTTTGCCAACTCTCGGAGATCGAAGGACAATTCCGTAACGTCCAACTCTGTGGCCATTGGTTCGATATCTTGCACGCCCTCGCCATCTGAAGGTCCCATCCCTTTCCAGCTTGCTCCAACAAGCCACCATTTTCCCTTCTTGTCTGCATTCCGAATGTCGTTCAGTCCAATCCGTAGCGGTTCGCTGGCCCTAATATTTTGTGATTTGAGCTCCGCAAGCGATCTCTTTATTTTCGTTAGATGCTCTGCTGCAATTGAGGCGCTCCCCAACCCGGTCTTCATGCGATTGTTTTTCAGATCACCTATGGTTTCGACCATAAACTTCGTCCGGACCGACATATTGGATTCTCCAACACGCGCGATTTGTCTATGCAGCTCCAGAACAATTTCTTTCAAGGATGATGGGTCCTCATGACGAAGTTGTGGCCCACAACTCTTGATTACCCTTAGGAGAAGTTCGGTATTGAGTTCTGACAAGTCTTTCAAGAAGATGCGAACAAAATCGTAAACGACGATCGATCCCACAACTTGAACCGAGTACAGGTGAGAAAGGAACGACATCAAATTTAGGGTTTGTTTGTCTGAGGCGTTACCCTTATCGTAGCAGGAGTCGAAGGCTACAACAATCCGCTCCACAAGTGTGGCGCCGAATTCCACACCCACTAAACGGTAGATCGCAGCCACGAAACCCGCATATAGGATTAGGTATGTCTCGTTGAGGGCAGTCCGATCTTGAATCGTAGAGAGGATTAAGTCAATTAACGTCGTCGTCACGACCTGCCTTGGATTTGAGGAATAGATCTCCTGAACGTCCCGAACAATGGGTAGGATATTTGACTCGGAAAGCCTGTTCAAGAGCCCTTTCAATTGCCTTGTGAGCTTTCCGGAGACCTCATTGTCCGAGGCTCCCATGCGCATTGAGGGTGGAATATATTTTCCGTTGGCAGATTCTGGTTGAACCGGAGGTTTGTATGGATTCTCCTTGACTCGTTTTGGAGGATTGTCGATAGCCATAGAGTCCTCATCAAATTCATTACTAGACCCGCTGAAACCGCCGAATTCTTCTGCTGAATCGTCCCACATCGTGCTATCCGCTGATGAAAATTTTCCAGGTGGCATCGCATCTTCATCTATGGGACCGGGAGAATCAGAATTGGTATCGCTCGTGTCTTCGATTCCAGAAGAATCATCCTGCTCAGAGTCTTGTCGCACTCTCTTGCTCTTGAGGTAGTCGCCGTACTCTGCTTTCCGTTTCCTCGTAGGTTGCGAATCTATGTCGGAATCTGAAAAGTCTCCCAGTAGATCACCAAGACCGTCGTCCTTGGGAAGATTCTTTTTCCGTCGAAGCCCAAGCTTCTTTTCAAGCGCCGCAATTTTAGCATCGTCGTCCTCAAGTTGAACACGAACTGCTTTTGGGACATGGACTCTATTGGGTTTCTCGGTGGTCTCATCCTTTTTAATCTCTGCGGTAACTTTTTGTTGGAGACCTTTCAGTTCGTGTTTTTGATCTGGGACTGACCGCTGGATCTCAGACGGTTGATCGGCCGAGATTTCATCTTCGTCAAAGGCATCTTCGTCCTCATCTACCCTCTTTCTTTGAGGAAAGCTCTGTTTTTTCGCTACTCGGACATTGCGTGACCCTTTGCTTCTGCGCTCCTCTTTACGCCGTCTCTTTCGATCTTGTACAGCATAACGTTTGCCTGACCCGTTTTGCGGTGCATCTGGTTCCATTAGACATGGCGAGAGTGCCTAGAAATGGAACATACGTACCATCTATTCGATCGAGGAGCACTTGAGGCAATTTCGGGCCCTGAAAATTTGACCCTCGCATCTTTGGCTGATCTGTCAAAGTTTAATGTTCTTGTGAGATTGCGTGGCGACGACTTTGGCAGAAAATTCGCGTTTCGTCAAATCGGATCACCAAGTTGCATGAATGGAGCAACCAAGTGAGAATTGGTCGAATCGTCGAATCGATCAATTATGAGACTTTTGAATGACCAGGATGTGGAATGGTCAACACTGTATGCTGTAAAATTCAAATATAATTTAGTATGGACAGTTCATGTTGAGTTTGTCGCGGGAACTGAATTCCGCGATAAGGCGTCAAGGCACCAATATTCCTCTAATATTGAACCGACTAGACTGAACGAAGATTCAACGTTTGAAAGAAAATAAGCTGTTCTAAAAGGTTTAGAATAAAATAGAGGGGCTGTTATTGAAGCTATGCCTTCTACATGACTGCGAAAGTTGTACGATGGCGAGCGTTTGCCCATTCCCTATTACCTCTTGTACCGTTCCCCTTGTCGCTATCTCGTCCTCTACAACCGCATCTACTCATCTTCGCCGACTTCGTCCTATTCGTCGGTAGAAACCACAGCAGGAGTGACCTCGTGAGAGTATCAGCCGAGGAGAGAGTGCCATATGTGCACGCGGAGAGTTAATGACGACTTCGTTACAGCGATGTTTCCTGTGCTATCCATCATGAACGTCGTGGTTCAAGGGCTCGAGATGCGCGAAAGTTTGATGTGTGAGTGCCGACTCGTTCATATCAAAGGGGAAGCGAAAGTAGTTGTGATCACGCACTGAGATTGCAAGTGGTCGATATCACGGTTGAAGGTGGGAGCAGTCAATGAAAGACCAACGAGGAGTATGGCATTTCACTATTCATGTCCATAGTATACCGTCGGTTTATGAACCATAATACTCATCGAGATTCACTTGAAAACGCTACGATACAATCAAACGCATCATTGGACAACCTAGACAATGTTAGTCTCAGGGAATTCAATGGGCATCACCAGTCTCGCCAAAGAGACGATTCAAAGGCTTTCGCCGGGGGATCGCTTACTTTCTCCCTCAACAGCCCCATCCATTGCATCAAGCTGACACCCTGATCTGCACGATCTTCCACTAGGAGAGTCTGAGCCCACAGCTTGAGGCTCGGCTCCCCATCTTCGCGAACCACATACAGTGGAGGGACCACAATGCTCCCAACTCCTTTTGAGCGGGCATCAGCGCTCTTCTCGACGACCGCTCGTACTCGTTCATTGAATTCGTTCTCGAGCACCGGCAGTTGAGTCTTGCCTTGCTTCAACTGGGTCTTGTCTTCCAGTCCGAAAACATCGTCAATGAGCGCAGGGACCGCTTGCGACCCCACCCAGAGGAATTGAGTTTGCCCATCGTCGATCAAATAGAGTCCATAATTAGCCAACCGCTCAGACGAGAGATTGACCGGCGGAGGTAGCACCATCTCCCCGGAGTCAGGATCGGGAGTGCCGGCATTATCCGGCATATCATGCAGTGAGTACATTCGGGGATAGATGTGCTGCAACATGAGAGGAATTGGGAGGGTCGAGAGTAGACAGAGAGCAGCAGACCGCAAATCGGAGGGGATCTGTGCGGATTTTCGAAGACCAACCTATTCGACTGCTGTAAGTATGACGGTCGAGCGCTCGGAAAGCAGGACAGACTCACATTCTTCATCAGTCCCAAAAAGAGGACCGGCAGGGCTCGTAAATTGGCTGGCAACTGGAGTCCGCCTCCACCCATGTTCCCTCCTGCCAACTCTTTCCGGTACGTCTGGAGGATTTCCACAACCTTTGCTTGAAGAGCGTCTCGGGCGTTCTCAGTGCCACTGCTGAGCGCTCTCTCCACTGCTTTGTGGCTGAAATACGCGGTGATGGCGGATTGATCTGCGCTCGCGTAAACTGCCGACAGATTCTCTGTAGTAGGCAGAGCGAGCGTCAAGACGCGGATGCGGCGCTCTCCGTTGCATGTAGTATGGAGCACTGCTGCCTGCAAGCAGACGTATGGCTTATTTATGGTCTCGTCAATAGCGACTTCTACAACGTATGCTTGGTCGCGTGGGAACGCAGGGAACGCGCACAGATCGGAGGAGCGATTGAAGAAGTTGCCGTAGAAGTAGCTCATCCGCAGGCCGGTGGTGGCACGGACGCGAAGAACGGCTTCTAGCCCGATTTCTGACGATAGGTAATCGGAAAACTCCCGTGCAAACTTGATCGCATCTTCCGGTCGAGCTGCATTCCACCCAGGGTAGAAGTACGTTTGGCCACCGGTATATCGAGGGAGATTCGACAACGTTGCGACATCCTGGTATTGCGCAGAGAAGAGGAACATGTCAATGGACACCTGAACCTTGGAGCATTCGACCGCAAAACTCTTGTAGAAGCTGTTTGCCGTCTGAAGCAACGAACCTTCTTTGGAGGTCCCGAGAAGCTTCTTGTCCTCACGCATCTCTAATTTGCCGTAGCCAATGTTCGGTAGACTCGAGGTCAAGACCACGATCTTGCCTCCCGTGTTGGAGATCAGCCTGTGGCCTGCTCGCAATGCAGAGCCCATCGCACTATAGCCATTCTGCGTTTCCTGGAACATGGACTGAAGTTTCTCGAGGAATTTCTCGATATTGCCCCGACATTCGGAAAGGTTGGTGACGAGATCTTCAGGGGTGGGGAGGAAAGGCTCGTCCAGATCACTGACCACAAGCATCCGAGGCTCCCCGTTCTCGGCATCATCGCGAGGGATCGAGAAGTAATGAAGACTGGAGTCAACGGCGATGAACCCAACTTTCGTTCGACGGTCGGCATTCGGTATCCGATCCAAGCTCTCCAAGATACACCGAGCGCTGGTTGCCAGCAGTCCGTTCGTAACCGCCGCATAACTCACGTCGAACAAGAACAGGTACACCAACGGCTGAGGAGCTCGAACCATATATTCCTGAGGCGCAACAAACTCGACCACGGAGTAGTTGAGTTCCGGACGCTGCCAACGATCCACGGCTTTCTGTTGCGTTGCATCCCAATCGAATGCTTGAGGGACGTCATTTGTAAGGTTGCACATGTTACACCTCCACCGATGGCCTTGGTCCAAGAAAGTGACGAAAGAGTTGATGTATGTACGGCACCGACGGCAGCGGGAGATGACCTGATCTGGCACAATCGGGACCGGATCCTCGGCGTCATGAAGAGAGGTATAAGGCTGTATCACCAACGCAAATGGCAACTTCGATTTCTTGAGCAGCGAGCTATTCGTGGGTACTGTGTTGAGCGTCGAGCGAACATACTTGGGCGGGCAGTTGGCAAAAAGTGACGGAGTGACACTTGTCTATGGATATATTAGGATCCGAACCACGCATCAAGCCTGAGGAAGACTCACATTGGGAGGAAGATTGATCGGGGGTGGAGGAAGGTCCAGCTCATGAACGCTAAATGGAGTCTGGAGTAGGTCGGACGGGTATAGTTGATTCATCAACCCTTGAGGCTGGGGAGCTTGCATCTGAGGAGCCATTTGAGGTGGAGGAACAGGTTGTGGACCCAGGTTCATTTGAGACATTTGGGCCGATAGAGGCTCTTGCGGCGCAGGATATCCTACACCCGCTTGTCCTACACCCGCTTGAGGAGCGAGCGGTGCTTGCGCCAGAGGGGGTTGTTGCCCAGCGGCGTTGGCTCCAAACTCGTAGGCCTGCTGAGCATATGCCCTCTTCTTCTTGTGGCCGGCGGCCGACGCCGCCTGAGGATCATATTCCATACTGAACGTACGGTATGAGCGGTTTATGGCGTGGTTATCGGAGAAGAAGTGGTCAAAAGCGAATTGAGGGCCGTAGGAACGACGGTGGAATTGGGGGGTGGTTTGGTGGCTTTGACCGGGTGCGTTGTTATGACGGAGATGCGATTGCGGAAAATTCGTAGGGCTGTAAACTCTTACAGTAGGTGGGATGTGAGTTACACAGGCTCCAACAGGGCAATGGTCGAGATAAGAGATGGCCTCTGGCCACGAATTCAAGGTGCGGCGGATATGGATATTTTGATGCCAGGTTGCAGGCGGAGGATGTTGACCGCGGCGTCAGAGCTATGGAGCTGGGGCTTGTACTTGCCGATGTTGGTCGGGGGGGGGGCGGGGTGGGGCGGAATGCCAAGTATATAGCGTACCACCAAGTCCGGCCCGACGTCCGCTCCACTCCAGTCCTTACGAGGCAAGACAACTGAAGTTGTTAACTGGGACATATCACCATCCAGAAAATCATTTTTCCTCGGCCTAGAGTCCCTTAATCACCTAGGTATGGTAATATGAGCTCTCGATATTGAAACGCCAATCTAGTTGTTCCATAACACGAAGACACATCCGCACAGGTCCTAGCCAGTGAAAGGAGAGTCAACTACATCCACTGAATTATGGTAATTGTGGCCTAGAATCTTTTGGTTCACGCCGAACGCTCAGGCAGATCGTCACGAGACTGTGGAATGGTTTGCTTGTAGCCTTACCTACCACCGACGGCTTGGAATGCATTGCTCTCCCCTTCGGGGTGCGATGTCCCAAAAATGAACACAGTAGTTCGTCTGTCCACCCCCTTATACTTCGTACCGCAATATGTTTACATCGAATCACCTTGATCCTGTTCAAAACAACAGCCAGTTAACCCCTATGACTGCAAATCTCCGGTTTCAACGACAGTATACTACCCTTCCCATCACATAAATGATGTGGTTACGGGAAGTGCTCGGTTAAGACGTGACTGTATGTTGCAGACAACGTTATAAATCCCATGGGGGGCCATGAGTAGATTGTTGCAAGCTCTTGTCGACTTACGAGCTTGGATGACAGAAGAACCAGCCTAGTAAGTCAACAGTACGCTCTCCATCGGGCCAATGTAGCGATGTGCAAAGAACTCAAGTCAAAGTTTACCGGCTGCGATTGCAAACCGGCCTCAGAAGTGGAACAATGCGGACGTGTAGAATGGTCAGGAGCCGAATGCGAACTGTTGGATGATCCTATTGTGATTGAAGATGACGGAAAATGCTTCGATTGTCAAGAGATGGACAGGCAGAATGCCCTCAACGCGGAACAGGAAGAGGGGGAGCGGGTCCTCGAGCTATCACGACTACAATTGGAGGAGGATAACAAGCGTCGTGCTGCTCGCAATACTGGTCAGCTCTCAGACGACGACGACGAGCTGCAAGTGGTCCTCAAGGCATCGGAAGAAGAGTCCCGGAATCCTGGAGAACCTCGCGATGAATTTGATGATGATGAACTCCATGCCGCCATTCAGGCGTCAATGGAAGAGACTCAAAAAGCTCTCACTGACTCGGACGACGAGGAACTAGCCCAGATTATGAAGTTGAGTATGGAAGAGACCCAAAAGCCTCATAATGACTCGGACGGCGAGGATCTCGCCCAGATTATCAAGCTGAGTATGGAATCGACTGCCGAGGACGAAGAAAGACGGAAACAGGCTCAGGCAAGTGTCGGAAAATACCGACTCCATATGAAATACCACGGCTGTGGGTGTGAGGCCGACGTGGGAGAGACGGACATCGAGCACGACCGCGAAGCAGAGGGATTGCCATATCTTGTCGAGGATATCGATGGACAGTGTCCCAACTGCGGCGGCGAGTCGAGCACTGCGGTTCAATTGCCCGCCGAGGGCAGGCTCCCTGGATACTCAGAACCCGACGTTCCTGCATATTCTACTGCCGAACCGAGGTGTGATGGCCTGCTGAGTGATGTCAGAGACGATGACTGGCGGTTTGGCAATGGTCCGGCGAGGGATCAGGAGACGTCCTATGGCAGCGATCACGGAATTGAGGATGTTTTTGACAGTATGATTCGTAGCCAGCCGCCCGTGCCGATTTCGACCGAGCCGTCGGCACGGACCGTTCATGATGATCCAGGAGGCGACCTGCAGCAAAACCGTAAAAATCTCCAAGACCCTACAATATGGCACCCCGACCACCCGGAGGAGCTGGTTGACCGTCCGTTGGTGATCATCCCCGATGAGGACGATGAAGAAGGTTACATGGAAGGAGGTAACAAAGAAGAGTATCGCAAAGAACAAATGCTAGTTGACAATAGCGGCGCAAAACGAGGTGAAATTGCTGACCGTGAGTCTAGGCTTCGGAAGTTACAAATGAAAGTGCACGAAGTGTATGGAAAGCATCCCGACCAACCGGATGAAGATGAGAATGACCTTCCTCCTCCCGGCTATGCGACATATATCGACCTCAACCAGTGTTTGGAGCAGGCAAAGAATGAGCTAGGTATTATTGAGGAAGATGGCGAGGAGAAATACTACTGATGGTGGTGGCCAGCCATCCGTTGGACGCATGGGATGGGAGGGATAGGAAAACCTGACGCATGATCCTGCAATGGCAGTCTGACCATTCGGGAATTCAGTGAAGCACTTGCTAATGGATTAGCACTGATGTACCTTCTGACACATTGAATGACCTTCGTTTCAAGTTGGAGTGCCGCAGCCTATGGCCTTTCCCATCTATAGTCAACTGCTCCTGAGATGGTACATTGCATCGCCTGCATGTTGACTTTGCAACCAATATCCCACCCATAACCCCACATACGCCAGTGAACCGTACGCCCACCGAAAATCACTCAAAATCCTTGTCGTAGCCGTTCTTGTCCCTTCATCTTGAGGAAATCCCATGCGTTGAGTAGTCCTTGTTCCGATAGATCGATATTGCTCGCAGCAGCGGCGTCGTGCACAGGCGGTCGGCTCACTCTTGAGGCCACCACCGTAGCATCCGTCTCCAGAACAATTCCGTCGTCCACAATCTCGTCGATGGCTAACGACACCAAATCATAATTCTCGACTATCGACCGCTTGTCCACCGACCCCCTGTTGACCATGATCAGCGCAAGTTCCGATGCGAAGCAGAACCGGAAAGACTAACTTGAGAAGGGTATACAGTGCCTCTCTTAAGCACGCGATGACGTGGTAAAGGAGGATCTCGTTCTCCTCGGCGGGACCGACCACGTAGAGCATCACATCATTTTCCATCTTGAACACCACCACTCGATTATCGTATAGAATCACATCGCTGGTCTGTTTCGCGGTCTTCTCCAGGAGACCCTTCTCGAACGCCTTTTGATCCTTCGTGTTGGGATACGGGTTTGCCCCGGGAAAATCGGTCGAGTTGGACGAAAGGCCAGCTGGCGGGTGGGGAGCGGAGTAGTACTTCGCAAGCAGTCTGCCGGAGTCTTTGTCGTCTGCCGACATGACCAAGATGGCATTGACGGAGAAGAGGGTCATGTTTGGAGCCATCTTGTCAATCGGGTGGGAGACGAATCGAAGATGCGTGTGGGGGATTATTCGAAGGTCAGAATGTATTATTCGCAGCTTGGATGTTTAGCAATGTTAATGTCCAAGGATGAAGTTCAGACGTCGGTAAATCTTCCTTCCGACGACAACATCCCAGAGTGAACTATCTCGTTCAACGCGACGGCATCTACAGATCAAGCAATGCAATTAAGGCACTCTGCAATACTCGCTAGAATTGCTTCTCGGGCAATATCATACTCAGAAATCCCACTCTGTACCACGTCGTTGCCGAAATTCACACGTGCGGCTTCAACGCGCGCCCGACAGCATGCAAGACCTCAAAAAGACAATCGATCTCACGTCCCTCGCGGCCGGAAACCGAACGTTGAGAATCCGCCCCGGCTGAATCGTGAAAGCGAGGTATAGTATATTACCTACCGATCGAATCGTCGTGCTCACATTGTTTCACAGGAACTTGATGCCGACATCAGTTCGTTCGATTCGATCCCAATCGCAGTCCTTCAGAAGTACTTCCTCGAGTCGATTAAGGCGAAAACTCTGGATGAGACTCTCCTGTTTGCTATTTCGAAATCGCTTCGATATAGAAAGGGCTCTGATGATACCGCCCGACAGGATGCTAGCGGCAGTCCGAAACTTCTGCTGGCGAAAACCATGGTTTCGCACATCAAGCAAACCAAGACGCCTCCCTGGCCCCAGTCATACCATCATCTACTGATGACATTCAAGGAATTGAATGCACCGCAGGAAGGATGGGACTTCTTCCGCTGGCTAACGCGACAGGGTGTGGAATACACCTCTCCCGAAGTGTACGGTGCTGGCATCGAGCTGGTGTCTGCTCTGAGCGGCACCGAGAACGATGCAATTCGGACGACAATTGCCGAACTGCTGGACTCCGCCATTGAACGATTCCCCGACGGTTTCGTGAAATATCATTTTCAGCCCAACGCCCTCTTAACGGATCGATCGGCTATCGCGAAGCAGGACCAAGAGTCCCTTCTTCTCCTCGCACGCGCGACACGATGCCTTCTTCACCATGGACTCATTCAAGACGGTTATCTAGGCCTTGATACGTCGCTTCGGCTATGCCCCACGTCGACCCCATTGATCGTCGTCAGTGAAATCATCAACCGAAGGAACGTGGTCGAGGCATATAAGGTCCTGATGCTGAGATATCGCAACGGCACGGGATTGCGGCACACTTCTCCCACTCCCCTCATCTCGAAAATCAATGGCATCCTCCGCACGGATGACCGTTTGCGAGAACTCCCGGCGGAACTACGAGTGGATCTCATCATCGCATGCGTGTCGTTGGCTCGTGCTTGCCTTGCCTCAGGGGGCTCGTTCAATGCGCAAATGTGCAGCTCCGTGATCAAGTCATTATCCTACATAGTCGGGTTTGAGGGCGCGGATGACGCTCTTGAGAACAGCATCTTCCCTCTAGCACAGAGGATGGTGTTTCATTACCTGGAACATGAACTCCCATCCAAGCGGTCGGTGACTCCGATCAATGCCTTACTGACTATGGCTGCAAGGATGGAAAACAAGAACCCCTTCGCCCAGCTTTGCAACTGGCTCCAGGATTCCGGAGTGGACGCCGATAGTTCTACGTATATGATCATGATGAGTCATGCAGTGGGGCAACAGAATCTGAATGCTTTCCAGCTTGCCTGGGAAGGATTACGCGATATCAGTGAGCGATCTGGTAAGCCGCTGTTGCAACGTCACTGGGTTTGGTTTGTGTCCAAGCGTTCTTCGTTCGGGAGCGAGGGGCGCGAATTCGTGGCATCGCAATTCCAGGAAAACAGATCCACTATCCCAGACCAGGGACAAATACAACGTATCTTGAATTCAACAGAAGATCACTCGACAATAGACTCGGATATCGGTGCTCCCGGAGATGGTTCCCCTTTAACGTCTGTGCAGGAAAGCCAAGGACAGACTTCGACGGCCGAGGTTCTGGTCCGGTTGAACGGACACGCCGACCAACTTCTCACGGAGATGGTCAATCCCGTCCGCGGCAATTTTGCGGATCACAGCTTCCCAATGTCGATTTCTCCGCGCCTGGAGCCACCCATATGCTCCGATGACGATCTAAGGATCATCTATGACCGACTTACGTCCGTACCAAAGACGGCAGGGAGTTGGGTAGCGGAGAACAAGGAACCGTCGCTTCATAGGAACGGTTACACCATCGAGAATCTTCGTTTCCAGAATTGGAAAACACTAACGGAGCTACTACGGTTCTCAAGCATCTTCCCAAAGCAAAGCGGCCCGGAAGACACCCCTGATGGCTCACTCAGAGCAATCACCGAAACTCTGCGCCAACTCGAGAGCTCTCTGCCCACAGATCAAGAAATCCAGAAACCAGCCAGCCGATTGGACGGCTTGCAGGCGAGAATCGAGCAATGGAGAGACATCTCACAAGAAGAGCTGGAGGACTAATGATTAAAACATATTGTCTGGAATAAAATAGCGGTATATCGCATCTGCTCTTCTTACAATAAATATCGAACTAAATTCGCGCATGTCACGCACGCGACACATCGTCTCGTGCCAACGACATTGAATATTCACACAGTCAGACCGGCTGTGCCTCCCCGAGGATTCCCTCACTTTTAAGACACCCGAGAAACCCAGCTCTGAATATGTCAGCGCCTGGTGGGTATGTGCCTTGATCTCATAAGAACGCCCCAATATCTCAGATGTTCATCCAGGTCGCTAAAACGACCGTGAACCAGACCGAAAGAAACCCCTATCCAGCGACGCCGGGCCCGAGAAAAGAAATAGCAGACAATCTCCGCGTCGTATGTCACGAGTTTCGCGATTTGTTGGTGTCCGTGAATCCAAAGTCCACTGGCGACGGTGGAGGAGCCGGTGTTTCGGCTACGCTGACGCCGATCGTCCGAATGGATATCGGTTGGCTTGCTTTGAATGCGGCCGCGATGTCATGAGAGAGAGTCGGATGTGTTGAGATGGAGAGGCGGACGCGCGGGTGGGAGCTTTGAGCGGCAGGCATTTTGAGGACTGCGAACGAGTGTAATGAGGTTTGATATCTCAGGATTCCGACACTGTGGATAATGTATTCGTGGCCGATAGTCGTCGAACGTTAAGGGCGGCTGGATTCTGTAAGGGAGAGGTGCGAGCAAGTCACTGGTCGATGATGGAATGGGTTGTTCGGGAATTATATAAAGGTCGGTTACGGAGACTTCTTAAGACGTCGACCAAAATGACGACAAGCGGACCTCGGCGGAAGGAGAACGATTCGAGCGGGAAAACTCTGTGTTGTCAAGGCCAGACTGGCTTGAGATTTTGAGTGCTCCTGAGTCACGGCACGGAGCGTCCACTGGTCAACAAAGAAATCCTATTTGTCTGAGTCAGAATCAATACATCTCTGGTAAGTCGTGTGCGAACAGAAGCCCAATATGCACCAGGGTTGCATAATGATGCTGTGAAATGGCCAATTGGCCCTCCTCTCATTTCTCGGATATCAACCATTAAGAATCATTTCTGACCTCGGCACGGATCACCATGGCTTTTCAGCGCAGGAGGTCCGATCAACCACCGAGAAAAAAAATTGAAAAGTATGTTGTATGACAAGTGTCCGACAAGTGTGCAAAGACCAAGGTGGTCGGGCGAATGGTGCGGGCTGAAATATGGTCTGTGTCTGATGGAGTGACGTGGAATGTTGGAAGTAAGACGGACACGGAGTCCCGAAACGCTTGACTGGCCAAGGAATGAAATAGGAGGGTTACCTGGGTTGCCGTGCGACCAATTCTTGCATATGCCAGATTGTAGAAAATAAATCCAAGACACGTCGGTCGAATTCTAGAGCAGCGAGTGCTTGGCCCAAACGTGATATAAATCCTTTGAAATGGATTGGAGAGGAGGCGGCCAACTCTGCTACGCAACGTTGACTTAATAAGTTGATATTGAGTAGTACACTGAAGGGGACGGTAGGACGACGACGACTCAGGCTGGTGAAGAAGGATTGAATGCAGGAATTTGGATTCGGATTCTTTCCATCGTGGAAAAACGAAGGGCTTCGGAGGCTTTTTGAACCCCTTCAGTCCTCACCGACACTTCCGGCCATTCAATCTGAATGATTCTTCCATCTTTCTCCCTGCGTATCATTTGCGCTGGATTCAGGATCTCTGGTTTGATGTGCCCAGTGCAGCACTGCATGGCTGCAACTACCATATTACCCCCACACTGGTTTTAGCTTGCTACTTGCTAGATGTCAGACAGCGGGCGGAAGGCTGAAGGCAGGCATGAGGCAAGGGAATGAAGGGATGTCGACTGTCGTATTATTGGACTCTGGAGATTTAGGGATGCTTTCGGCAGCTTTCCCCATTCTAAAATTCCATTCTTCCATGCTAAGCATGCTTCCATCGCTCCAGTCTTCCCCGTTCCCTGTTCTCCACTTCCCCGACTGCCCCGTTTCGGCGGAGACACGGGGTGGAGAAACCGCTCAAAAGCAAGCCTGGATTATGGGAAGGCTTTCGGGAGCCAAGGGTGAAAGGAGGGAACTCGTCGGATTCTGATTCGCGCATTGAGATTGAGACAATCCCACACTTGGCTGCTGCATTTAATGATGCTCGCAAGCTAGCGCCTAGCCTGGCATGTCGCATGCAATATGCATGATGCAGCCCTTTGATGCCCGCTGCACGAATCTAGGGAGCGTGTTATGTGACAGATCCACTGCCAGCGCTCAGCAGCAATCCGTTTCGCTCGGAGAGTTGGGTTGTGTCGTTCTGCGGTTTAAGGCTGGGTTTGGCAGAAAAAAGGAAACGAAATTACGAAGGATGGTTGTCGGATTCCTCATTCGCCCAGTGTGAGTTTGACACTCAATTCTTTTGTATGCCTAGTGTCCTATTTTGCTCTCAGTGACTTGGCTCATTGCGTGCTTGCATTTCTTTTGACTGACATCGATAGTGCTATCTATCCCTAGGAACGTGGGATGATGCATCAAGCAACCTAAGCAAGCTGTCAGCGAGCAACCGATTTCCGCTGAGAACACACCGGGTCCATTCAAGATTCGCCGCTTGATCCAAACCTCGTGCCCTCATTTTGCGCTCACTGCCTGTTGGACGAATCCAGTGGGCAGTGTTACGCGCACAAGGGCATACAGTGGCTTTTACGACAGCATTGCGAGCCGATATGAGCACGATAATTCTCCGATGCCGATATTGGAGAACATGGCATTCAGAAAGGCTTCTTTGTGCTTTCAATTCGCCCAATGAGCAGGGCATAGGAGGATGGAGCCAAATGCTTAGCCCGTAGCGGTGCAGGAGGAAGGTTGGACAGTTGAATCAGTAGACTAACAGTAGGAAACCAGACGTTTTCCTCGGACACAAAGCCACGACAGGGCAAGTTGACGCCGCAATCAAGAGTCTAGTCGGGGTTACCAGAATATCCTGGAGGAGCATCTCGATCTCTCTCGTCATCAATGCCTGTCTTGTCTGTCGTCACCTTGGGAGTCAGACTCTAGGTCTAGCGCGTAACCCTAGCACACCAACTGAGGATAGCTCTTCTTGAAGGATAGTGAAGCTATTCCGAACGCATAAAATATAAGAACAGTAACCAGATATAATGTATGTACATAGGTTGTATATTACAATGGAATATACCATTTCGGACACTTTGACAGCGCATTCTAGAGCAAAATTGGATACCGTGTGGTCGATGAGAGTCTGGGGAGAGCTCGTTCAATGACATCACCACCGTATCATACCAGTAGTCACACTATACAGGGCCTCCATATATATTGATCCGACAAAACATCACCAGCCGCTTCATGATGCTAGATTTCGAAACTCAAACATACCAGTACATTCCAAACTTCGAGTCGAGCCGTTCTGATCAGTCAAAGACTTTCAAACCTCATCATGGCTTCCAGCAACACCACCACCGGCAACAAGCTGTCAGATCCCTATACTGCCAAAAACGTCGATGAACCCGATCTCAAGACCAAGGTGGAGGACCTTGCTGCATTTGTCGAGAGCCATATGTTCTGTATGATGACCACACATGTCCCGAATTCCCCGCTCCTGGCGTCTCGATGCATGGCTGTGGCCGGGAAGGTCAGTTTCCGGAGCATCTCGACCGTCTCATGGCCGTCGTCTGACCAGATCCGCAGGAATCCAACGGTCTCGACCTTATCTTCCACGCCAATTCGGAATCGGGGAAGACCGATGACCTCCACTCCGACTGCGACGTGAATCTCGGGTTCGTCACCCCGATTGGCGAATGGGCCTCGATTGCGGGCAAGGCGACCATTGAGACCGACCGCGAAGAGATCAAAAGATACTACTCCGAGGGTCTACGTGCGTGGCTGGGGGACTTGGGAGACGTAAGTGCCCGGTGCCGTCGCCGTGGTTCGCGTGACACTGATCGATACAGGGCGTTCGCGACGGCGGACCCGATGACCCGCGCATCTGCTTGATTCGGGTCAAGACTGTGACAGCTCAATACTGCGTCACCAAGAAGGGGATTATCGCCAGTGCCATTGAGATTGCCAAGTCCGTGGCCCAAGGGTCCGTGCCGAATATCAACAAGATCCGACATATCAGTGAGGAGGAAGCGAACCAGTGGAGGTCGAAGTATCGGGAGTAGGGCACGACAACTCACGAAGACGAGAATGAATAAATGTCGCATCCGGAGCAAAATCGTACATTAAATGTGCCTGCATATGAATCATGACGCTAGGCAACGTATCAGTAAACAATGAGATTGCGGATACTGGATACGCCTCCCAATCATGAGAACGATTATTACGCTGCCGCGGCGGTAGTCTTGTCGTGAAACTCCAACGTCATCGCGGCGAGAAAACACGGAATCTCCTTCCGTTCCTCCACCCAGAACTCCACCAGCGGCCGAATTTCGCGAGCAAACTCACTCCTCGGCCCGCCACTCACTTTCATCGTCCCATTCTCCCCATCGAACACGATGCTATTCTCCTGCCCCTGCTCCTCGTCCCCCGGATAGAACATGCTCGTCGCCTTGACCCGCCCGTTCGGCATGAAGTCTAGCTTCCATCCAAGCAGCGACGCGACCGCTTCGCGGAACTCCCCCGCTTTTGCCGTGTAGATCTGCATGCGGCGGAGGTTGCGCTTCTCCTTTTGCGCGACTTCGGCGGTGACGGCGGAGAGCTCGTCGCGGATCGAGTCGACGCTCGCTTGGGGGACCAGTTTTGGCGCGTCCGCAGCGTTGGCATCGAATCGCGCTTCCAATGCGGAGAGCAGCGCCTTGTTCTCGACTCGGAGGGTTCGGAGGGTACTCATTTTTACGGCCTCGGCTTGGGCTGTGGGGTTGTCGCAGAGTTCGAGAACCCGGGTGCGAGAAGACTGTCGGAGCCCCGAGAGCTGTTTGTTCTGTGCCTTCATTTCGGATTCGAGAACGGCGTTGCGAGAGTGCAGTTTAGAGATCTCGTCTTGGAGGTTGTGGTTCTTGCGGTAGAGCTCGCCTAATCGCTCGTCATCCTCGGGTTCGCGATGTCTTTTCGATCCGGTGGAAGGGGATTGGGGGACGGCGCGGTCCTCAAGGCTGGCGAGCTCTTTGCGGATATTGTCGACCTCTGCACGGTATTCGTCAACCAGACCTTCCAGCGTCTGGATTTGGGCTGTTTTTTCTCCATCGTATTTGTCCGGCTCGTTCTCCGCTTGTTCGGCATCCAGCGCTTTTAACTGCGCGCGGAGATACTCTACCTCTTTCACGGCCAGGTTCTTTTGCCTCTCCAATCGTGCCCGGGCCTTGCTATCGCCTCCGGGGGCCACGGGACCCCCCGATTTCTTCAACGTTTCGATTTCCGCGACCAACTTCGCTTTGGATTCCTCGAGCGATCCGATGGCGTCATCCTTCGTCCTCAGTTCCGGTTGTATCGCGCCTAGCCGTTCCGTTAAGGACGCGTTTTCGAGTCTTGCGCGCATGAATACGCGGGCCATTTCTTCGGGACTATCGAATTGAAGTTCGCCTTGTGATTCGTCCTGGCTCTCGAGGTACGACGCCCATGAGGTCCGCTCGTCCTCCAGGATTTGTCGACGCAGTTGCGCTTCGCTCAGCTGCCGCCGCAAATCATCCATCATCCGCACCCGGCCCTCCAATACGCGCTTCTCCTCCTCGACCACTTGGATCGCTTTCTGGCGTTCTCGGAATCGCTTGAGCTCCGCGAGTTGCTCTCGGTTGGATACCTCCAGCTTCTTCATGTTCGCCACTTGCTCGGAAAACTCCCGCTTCATCACCGCCACTTCGTTCGAATCGCCCGACTGCGATCGAAGTTGAAACACTTCATTCTGCAGCTCGCTGGCATCGGCCTCTTGCTTGGCCAATTTCTGTTGGGTAGATTGTAGTAATGACGCCCTCGACTCGAGGTCATCGCGCAATTGATCGAAGGATTGTTGTAAGGACCCGTACTTGGACTCAATTTCCTCGACTCGATGTTGGCAATCCCTGTCTTGCGTCGCGACCTGGTCACGAGAGTCTTCGACTTCTTCCTGAAGCTCGCGATTTTGCTCCGAGAGATCCCTGATCTTCCGCTCCAGATCCCGTTTCTCATTAACGCTGTTCTCTTGCACTTCTTGTAGCTCCCTCGATAACGAATCGTACTTGCTCGTGGCCGTGTTACATTTGGACTCGGCGATCTGTTCGAGCCTTAGCAACCTCCCAATCACTCATTCGTATTGCGAACATACTTGAGCCCGCTTGAAGTCTGCCTCTGCTCTATTCTCCAACTCCCGCAGCTCCTTCTGATGCTCCAACGCCGCGAGTTCGCGCTCCTGCTTGATGGACTCGAGCTCATAATGGAGCGTGTTGATTTGCGCCCGCAAATCCTCGTTGCCGGAATCTAGGAACGGTGAGCGCAATCCTAAGGTCATCACGTCCTAGCCGCCTCACCTGCTCGTATCTGCGATTGTCGCAAAGTTTGGCGCAATTGTTGTGGGGGGTGTTCGACGGGCGCACCTGTCAGCAGGTCGTACGTCGGTTGGTTTCGAGCAGCCGCCATTGCAGAGCAAGATGCGCGTTCATCGCATGCCCGGTCTTGTACGTAGATCGCGTTTAACGAAGGAGTCGGAATGACCCGTAGGAAATGCGGGCAATGCAAATCGAAAGTTTACAGTTTCGTTTGTTATCAACCGACGCGCTGGAGACGCGCGGATCACGTGGTCCAAACATCACCATCTATCTACCATCGTTGATTCACGTTTCGACGTTTGACAACATCTAAACGGAATATTACTCATCACTCATATATATCATATGCTGCGTGGTACAAGTTAAAGGTTATGTTCTAAGAACTATTCTATGTAAGGCCTTTCCAAGGCGAATTTAGTCCATCATACTCTTTTCCTTTACAAAGTATAAATAAAAATCGCCAGTGGTCTATTTTCGTTGCCGATAAGACAGTTGGCATGCTGATTCATTACGCATTGCCTCCAACGCCGGATCCCATGCTTACTCCTTGCGCCTCGTGGGATTGAAACGGCATGTCTTCATGCACTCGCCGTATGTTCGGACTCGTTGGCGTTGGCATCGGAATCGGCGTTCTCCGATCGTTTCCGAATGTTGAGCCTCTGCTCTGCTTGCGTCGAAACCCGGTTGAGCTCCGATACGAACTGCTTGCCCCACCAAGCGCTGCAATGGTCAGTGAGTCGCCCTTCGCGGTACCGGCCAGGAGTTCGTACCTTGTATATTTGTTGATATACCGGGCGAGCTTCTCGTAATTGGCCGCCCGATGCTCGTCACTCATCGTGACAGCATCGTGAATGGCATCGGCTAGCTCCTCGGTGTTCCAGGGGTTAACGACGATGCTTCCATTCAGGCTCTGGGCCGCACCGGTGAACTCCGAGAGGATCATGACACCATGTCGATTTTGCTGGGCGGCAATGTATTCGTAGGAGACCAAGTTCATGCCGTCGCGGGTGGAAGAGACAAGGCAGACATCGGAAACGGCGTACAGGGCGATGAGTTCATCGAACGAAACGGATTTATGCATGAAATGTATGGGCATGAATTCGATCGTGCCTGTCGTCGTATTAGCCGTGTTGGTAGCACGCAAGCTATGAGGAGTCGAACCGAATTTGCCGTTGATTCTTCCAACCAGTTCGTTCACCACGGCTCGTAGGTTCTGATATTCTTCGACATCTTGCCGACTCGGAACCGCTACCTGGACAAGGACGACTTTGCCGATCCATTCCGGATGCTCGGTCAGGAACACCTCGAGAGCATGGAGCTTTTGTGGTACGCCTTTGATATAATCCAAGCGATCGACGCCGACGATGAGTTTGACGCCTTGGAATTTGCGTTCCAGCGTTGCGATTCGCTCTTGTACTTTGGGCTTCTTGAGGCCTTCCTCAAACTTCTCCGGATCGATGCCGATGGGGAATGCGCCGATGGTGACCACTCGCCCATCGAATTCCACCCCATTTGGAGTGGTCGGTAGCCCACTGCCAACTAGGTTAGACCATCTCACCAAAGGGCGACACGCCGACACGACTTACAGGATTCTCGAGCAGCTGCTAAGGAAATGGCGAGCGTATTCGTAGGTATGAAAGCCGATCAGGTCGCAATGGAGAACGCCTAGGAGGATTTCGTTTCGAACGGGCAGGATGCGGTAGATTTCGCTACTGGGGAATGGCGTATGCAAGAAGAAGCCGATTTTCACGTTCTTCTTGGTGTCGCCGATCTCCTCGCGCAGCATTGCTGGTAAGAGCATTAGGTGGTAGTCATGCACCCAGACCAGGTCGTTATCATTGACGTCCTTTGCAATGGCTTTCGCGAAGAGGCGGTTGGCTTCGCTATAGGCATTCCAAGCATCCTCGTCGAAGGTCATTTCTCCGGGATGATAGTGGAAGAGGGGCCATAGGATCGAATCTGGAGTGGAATTAGCATCCATGTAGGGGTTAGAGGGGGTTACGCACTTGAAAAGCCATTATAGTGTCGGTCGGCCAGTTCATCTTCGAGCATGATCGGGATGGCGCCGTACTCCTCCTTCAACCGCTGCGAGAGGGCCCCGATTTCATTCTCCGGCACTTCCAATCCCGGCCATCCATACCATTGGAAGGTGGTCGTCTTGGATAGTCCGCTCAGACCGCTGACTAGGCCTCCGCTTGACATGGAGGTGTCATATTTCCCGTCCTCCGAACGCTTAATGGTGACGGGGAGGCGATTGGAGACGAGAAGGAGCCGGCCCTCTTTGCTTTTGTCTGCTTCGGGAGGGGAAGACATGTTTGATCAATGGAGGATGTCTGCTAGATCGTGTGGTCTCGATGGAAGGAAAAGCTCGAAGGAAAACGGTGGTACCAGGGAGAGGGAAGGCAGAAGTGGATCAATGGATCTTGATGCGGCGATGTGGGGGAATGTAGCAAGCGAAGGAACATGACCAGTGGACAGAAGAAAAATGAGAATGTTTAGGATAATTGGCGGAAATCTGCACGTGAAATAAAGGTGCACATTGCGGTAGGGTAGGGCATAGGGGAATAGGGATCACGATGCTCAATCACGATGATCGATCACGATGTTGATTCTGTTGGCACCGAATTCTTGCTTTGAGATCACAGTTGGGGATGTGATTGCAGAGGTATGATGACATCGGAGCAACGTGAATGGGCGCCTGGTGGCCTGAATGAGAGGATCCTCCGGGGGGGACGAAATTGAGTTACGTTTCTTGGCATTCCCCCAACCATCACCACCATCACCACCGTCATAGGGAGGCCCGATTCGCTCAAAAATAGCGTAATATCAAAAGTATACTCTTTTCCTAACTAGGTGACTACTAGAAGTCTGTTTTGGTGAATTCTCCGCCGTGTTCTAGTTAAGGTCGTGGGAGTTGTGGTTGGGGGAATGCCAAGAAACGTAACTCAATTTCGTCCCCACCGGAGGGATCTGGGATCTGGATGCACGTGGGCACGGGCTGGGACTCGAGATTGTAAGGCATCAAGGCGAGAGCGAGGCATCAATCGCCACTCACGACCAGATTTGATTGACTGGACTCACTAGCAACACTTGACTGTCCACGCTGTCTTAACTCTTAACCCCATGGCTACCTGCCTGCAAGTGTTGTAGTCAATTCACCACACCATCATTCACTCTCTGCGGTTCTAGGAAAAAATGAAAATTCAGAGTCACTGATAAACTATTAAGCTATCCGCTTACTCATTTCAATTATTTCCAAACCACGATTAGTCGTCGCTGACCAATCAACCTTGCCATCAATTCCATCCCTGCAACCAAACTTCAGGGTCAGGAATCACGCGTCGCGTCGCCCGCGACTGTACTGGCCCTCCAGGACCACCGGTCCAGCTGGTCGCGAGAGACATCTCTCAATTCGACAGCATGAGTTCTCCGTCGGGAACAGAGGAGGGGAAAAAGGAAATCGACGACCTGCTCATCAGACTGGTGGACGAACAATGCCGCGAACAGGGCACCGATAACACCGTGTCGGTCAATGGCATTCGTACCGCCGCCGAGAAGGAGAGAGGCCTCATCACAGGATTTCTGAGGGGCAATCGGTATTGGAATTCTCGGAGCAAAGAGGTCATCACGGCTGCATGGGTAAGTTCATGGGACACGGGACTAAGGCGCCACTCATTCACGCCGACCATCTAACAGGAACGGAACAACCCCGATCCAGATCAAGTTGAGCCAGATCCAAAATCATCAAAAAAGAAAAGGAAGTCATCGGAACACGATGACCATCCCAGGAAGAAGCGGAAAGAGCCAGTGGGTGAGTTTGATTTCGTCGTTCAGCTTGACGATGAAGGCGCTTCGTCGACCAAGACCAAGAGTGAGGTGACGTCCAAAGTCAGACGTCGTCCTACCGTCATCTCCTCCGATGTTGAGAGTGACGACACAGGGAAGGATGAGGAAGAGACGAAAGAATCCCCACCAAAAGAGCTAGCGTCCACCTCGCATTCCTCACCGGAGCCCGCCCCGGCCCTGGAATCCGACAGCGACATGTCCGTCCTCATCGATGATGGGCCGCCCCGGAAGAAGACTAAGGCCGCAAAGTCCGGCGCGAAGGCCAAAGCAAAAGCGACGAAACCCAAAGCGCCCAAAGCAGCCCAATCGAAATCCGACGGCTCCACGTCGCAGGAGTCAGAGATCAAACGGCTGCAGGGCTGGCTCATCAAGTGCGGCATCCGCAAGCTGTGGCACAGGGAGCTGGCGCCGTACGCCACGCCAGGGGAGAAGATCGGGCATTTGAAAGAGATGCTTCGCGATGCGGGGATGGAGGGCCGGTACTCCGCTGAGAAGGCTAGGCAAATCAAGGAGCAGCGAGAGTTGGCCGCCGACCTGGAGGCGGTGACGGAGGGGAACAAGGTGTGGGGCAAGAAGAAAGAGGCTGAACAAGACGAGACCAAAGAGACCAAAGAGAAGCGCGGGAGGACGTTGGCGAAAGGGTTCAAAGACTTGGCGTTCCTGGAAGACGACGATGAAGAGTCCGATTGAGCGGCGTGTCATGAAAGTTGCGTGCCGTGGATTGTTGGACGGCCTGCAATCGGAAGGGAACCATTCGACCACAAGAGGCGCAGTTGCATGGGGGGTATTTCAAGGCTGAAGGAAAGTTTGCGACGGACGTCGTTTGTGCCCGAGCATCAAGCCCGATTAGGCACGGTGAATATAGGCGTCGCTTGTTGGTCAACGACGTTCCACATGCGGAAATCAGTTCGGTGTATAAAGATAGGACGTCAATCGTTGCGAGGGAAGGTTCGTAGACATCGTTTGCTCGGTCCTTTCGCAGAGTCAAAGGCCGCGATGGATGCCTTTGTGCAGCATATATACTCTGGCAGGCGGACTTCGGTGTATAAGGTAGAACGATATTCCCAACCCCGCCCTCCACGAAGCCCGTTCCCTCCCTTCGTCGCGCCATCATGTGTTACATCATCTTCCGTGGCTACCAGTGTGGCTGCACGCCCATCCCTCAAGGCGTGCGATACTGCCAACGCGCTTATCAAACTCGCCGGGCGTGCCCTCGGGAACTCAGCCGAGACATCCTGATGCCGGTCTGGCCGTCGCAATGTTGGGTTTGCTCGGGCTGCCCCGACGCGCCGAGACGCCGGTCTGGAACCCGTCGACCATTCCCAATTCGACCCGTCAGGTGGTCCAACTTACGATAGCATCGACCGACATGCACGGCTTCTTTAATTCTTTTACCCCGCCACCGACCCCGTCACGTCAGGCGGCCTAGCCCCCGCGTCGGGGTCATCCTTTGAGCGACGATGCTGACGACCGCCACGGACGACATGAAGAGAACAAGATTGTAGAACTATTTCCACAACATTCAGCAATTTCTAGCATGACGATGTTCGGTGGGTGGGGTCAGCGTACAGCGTTTCTCGAATATTCGCTCTCCTCCGCATCGCTCCGCGCATCCACAAACAATCGGCGTAGATTGGGGAGATTGAGAGCCTGTACACGGTTATGAGGGCATTCAGACGACGGACATTGCGGCTCATACCATTGGGCTAGTATTGACGGATGATTTAGATCAAAGGATTGTGGGATGGGCTGGGCGGGAGAGTGCAGCAAACAATGAGTAGACGGGAATCCGAAAATAGGAGGTCAAACCGATGGCTTGGGGATGAATGGGAATATTATGGACAATGAGGAGATGCTTTTCGGTTTTCAGGGAGGGGGAAAGAGGACCAAGGCTGTAGACTGTAGAAGATGTACGCGACGTACCAAACATGTACGATATTCAGCGCAAGATTCCTTTATTTATTGAGAAATACTGAGGATGTGATCTGAGATTAGGGATGTGGTTGACGTCCAGTCAATACAAGGATTCCCCTCAATCCCTGTCCTATGCCAAGCATTATCGTTGTTCGCAACACTTGACACTTGACAGGACACAGTGGGACAGTTGACACCATCCACTTTGATACTCCACCAGTTTGAAGCCTGGACCGCGAAGGAATTCCTGTTCCAATCCATTTCCCTCCTCCTCTATCGTCCATACTTTAGCATATGCCTCTATCCGCTTGGCTAACGTGCCCGTGACATCCATCCCTCCGCCTGGACGCCTGTCGACGTTTTGCCGCACTGAATCTACCCTACAGTCCAGCCGCTTTGCGGCGCATGGTTCAACCGACAGAAGCTATTCTCCCGAAATCGATCGTTGGGTACTGTGAGCTTCGGGCAACATTAGCATCATGGCTGTAAATCGCATACGAGGGGCGTTTCAAGTCCCCAAAAAGGGCGAAACGTTCGAACTAAGGGCGGGCCTAGTGTAAGCAAGCCGAGTATCGGTGTGGATGGACGCATGCTGATGGAGTTGCAGATCTCAGTATGCCCACGAGAGGTTTGTGATTTCTTCCTAGAATGAGGCATGCGGCAGTCTAATCCCAGATAGAAAGGAAGCTATTCAGAAAACTATCATGGCAATGACGTTGGGGAAGGACGTATCTGCTCTGTTTCCTGATGTGCTAAAGAACATTGCTACCGGCGACCTCGATCAGAAGAAGCTGGTGTACCTATATCTCATGTAAGGTTGAACATCAAATGCCATCGTCAAGGCTGACACGTTATAGGAACTACGCCAAATCTCACCCCGACCTCTGCATTCTCGCCGTCAATACGTTCGTCCAAGACTCCGAAGATCCGAACCCATTGGTCAGAGCGCTCGCCGTCCGGACAATGGGATGCATCCGTGTGGACAAAATGGTGGATTACATGGAAGAACCCCTCCGAAAAACCCTACGGGACGAGTCCCCATACGTTCGGAAGACGGCGGTGATCTGTGTCGCGAAACTGTTCGACCTCAACCCTCCCATGTGCATCGAAAACGGATTCATCGAAACCGTGCAGGATCTGGTGGGCGATCCGAACCCCATGGTCGTGGCCAATTCGGTCACCGCGCTCGCCGAGATCCACGAGCAATCGCCGGAAACCAAAGCGTTGATCATCACGCCTGCCACGTTGAAGAAAATGCTGATGGCCCTCAACGAGTGTACCGAGTGGGGCCGCATATCGATCTTGTCGAGCCTGGCGGAGTATCGAGCCGCGGACGTCAAGGAGGCGGAGCACATCTGCGAACGGGTGGTCCCGCAGTTCCAGCATGCGAATCCGAGCGTGGTGCTCTCGGCCGTGAAGGTGGTCTTCCTGCACATGCGATACATCGGTCAAGAGGCTGCACGGTCGTACTTGAAGAAGATGGCCCCGCCATTAGGTGAGCGAGAATATGCGTTTCTTCCCCCCACGGTCTAACGAATCGCAGTTACCCTGGTATCGTCGGAACCCGAGGTTCAATATGTTGCTCTACGCAACATCGATCTCCTCCTCCAAAGCCAACCTGGCATCCTCAGCAAAGAGATGCGTGTCTTTTTCTGCAAATACAATGACCCGCCATACCTCAAGTTGGAGAAGCTCGAGATCATGGTTCGAATCGCGAACGACAAAAACGTGGAGCAGCTGCTTGCCGAATTGAAGGAATATGCCATGGAAGTCGACATGGATTTCTGTCGAAGGGCCGTCAAGGCCATCGGTCAGGTTGCCATCAAGATCGCCAGCGCGACAGAAAAGTGCGTGAACGTACTACTGGACCTGATCGCTATGAAAGTCGGCTATGTGGTTCAAGAAGCCATCGTGGTCATCAAGGATATATTCAGAAAGTATCCTGGATACGAAGGCATCATCCCAACGCTGTGTCAGCACATCGATGACTTGGACGAACCGAACGCGAGGAGCTCATTGATCTGGATCATCGGAGAGTATGCTGAGAAAATCAATAATGCAGGCGACATATTGTCCAACTTCGTGGACGGTTTCGGCGAGGAGTTTCCTCAGGTAACGCTCTTCCATATCCTCGGAACGATTTTCCTAACATTGCCAGACACAACTTCAAATATTAACGGCGGTTGTCAAACTGTTTTTGAAGAAGCCGGACCAAAGCCAAGGACTGGTCCAGAAAGTTCTCCAGCGAGCAACCGCCGAGAACGACAATCCTGACATTCGCGATCGAGCTTACGTATACTGGAGATTGCTATCGAGCGATCCGGAAATCGCAAAGAACGTCGTCCTGTCCGAACGGCCACCCATCCCTTCGACCATCCAATCGTTACCACAACCGTTACTCGAGCAACTTCTCACCGAACTCTCAACCCTCGCATCCGTCTACCATAAGCCTCCATCCGCGTTTCTTGGCCAAGGCCGTTTCGGGGCCGAAGCCATGCAGAAGGCCGCTATCGAGTACGATTTGTCCATCCATTTTAACATAAGCAATGCTAACAGGACGACAGGGAACAACAGCAACTCGAACGCGAAAACCCCATCGCCGCAGCCGCGGTCGCCTCCGTCACCGGCGGCCAACTACCCCAGACCAACGCCGAAAACCTCCTTGACATCGACTTCGACGGCGCCGCCCCGGCCTCGCTGCAGAAAGAACCGCACACCGGCTCCTCTGGGCTGGAAGGCCTGGCCGGCACGCCGCAGCGGGTGGGGTCACCTTCCGGCGCACCGTCCACGGCGCCGCAGAATGCGATGGACGACTTGATGGGGTTGTTCGGCAACGGGACGGGAGGGGCAGCACCCACGTCGGCACCGGCCGCGGGAACGGGTGATTTAATGAATGGGTTCGGGGGGCTGGATCTGAGCGGTGGGCAGCCGACGACGTCGCCGCCTCCGGCATCATCGTCGGCGCAGAAGAAGACATCGGAAGATATCCTAGGGCTGTTTTAGGGGGCTTGTTTCCTCGCCCGCGAGGATGGGAGGTCGAGTATGCGATGGCATGTACGACGGGAAATAGGTTATCCATTAGCGATTTAGCAGGTCATGGTACACCGCAAAAAGCTTTATTTTGGTCGGCATGCGCCGCGTATGGATTAACGGGGTGGAGCAGTAGAATCCTCGAAGCAAAATATACCTTTTGGACTTTATCAAGCTCTCGCAAGCCCGGTTGATGGGCTCGTCTCACAATTCATGATCGATGGCGTGCCCTTTCTGTCAGAGCCAACATCATTGCTTTCTCACAACCTGACCGAACGGCGGCCTAGGAACGTATCCAATCAACCATTCCTTACGTTTCACCCATCTGACCTGTGACATGAGCCATTTCTACGAGTGTGGAAAGGGGGGGGGGGTTCCTTTTCCAGACCGTGTACCTCGAATCAGCATAGGCAAATGGGTACTAACGCCAGGTACTCGGAGTCCATTCAACCGTAGACGCATGTGGACCACCTACCGTTCATCAGAATTCCGGCACTCCATGTCAGGGAATCGTATATCTAAAAGTCTGGAGCGTGGAGTTCATATCAAAGATTATGGAGGTACGGTATGCATGGCCCATGTGGGAAATCCCGATTCCCCCGTCGCCAAGCTCCGTGGCGTTTCGTTCGAATCCGCAGGTTCCATCACTGAGGTAAGTGATAATGCCATTGTGAAGCGATGGCCCAGACCGCATGCAAGTGAGGAGGTGAACTTGGCCTGGCTCATTTGCAACCGAGTGGGCGGGGTTCGAGGTCATCCGGACACACGCACGGAACGCTGCACGATGGGAGAGCGGGGAAGGATGAGGGATGGTTTGTACCAATTGTATTGTATTATGCGCGTTTCCGCACGGGTGGTTACTGGAGGTGACGAGGTGGCGAGATGGTTTACCATCAATTCCTGGTTGGACCCGAGCATGGCAGGATGGCGACGCTTCCTAATCACCTGAGGTGGACTGCTTCTTCCTACTCGGTATTTTCCGCTCAGTTGATGGATGGAAGGGAATTGGAGAATGGGGTCGCTATCGTCGAATTGGAACCGATGGAAGAGACGAGACGTTCAGAGCGACATGAGTGCGAGGATGGATTGGCTACAAGGCACTCCGATCTCGGGAACGATCGTACGCGACGCGATCGGGGGGACCATCCACGGTACACGATCCAGATGATGTGGAAGAGGGGGAAGAAGGCGAGGGGCGGAACAGCCGTTGAAAATGGGCAAAAGTGGCACGTTTCTCCGCCGGCACGGTTCAGGCACGGCTGCTCCGATGCCATGGGTGGGTTGATACTGGATAACGAGGAAGATCTCGGACTGGCGACTGCAAGTGGCTGGCAGCATGGGGGATCTCATGATAGTTCTAAAGATATCGGCCGACATTCGGCCCAAAGGCGCCTGGTATCAGATATCAAATCCACGATACATGAGGCAATTTAATGCAAGGGAAATTAGTGTGTGCTCTTCAATCGATACACACTAATTAACATAGGAATTATGACGGTAAGCGAGGGGAGGTCAGGTCAAGTTGATGTGTCAGCGACACGGGGCACTAAAGCCTGTTTGTCATGGGCGCCGATAGACGTCAGAGACTCCGACCGTACTCCGCAATAGAAAGTCCAGCTCCTGCCCGCGAAATGTGAAGGTGAGCAGGAGTCAAGTCGTGATAGGCTCATGAGATCGACGCATTAGTATTCAGATTTCAGCGCCAACCCCATCTGCGGGGATCGATTTCCGGGTATCCAAAAGGTCGCGAGCCAGAAAAGGTTAAACCCATCTTCAGGCTTATCGCCTATCGGGAGGAACGACGACCAATGACTGGCAACGTGGCCGAACGGCATGCGAATTGCGAGGGAATAGACAATGATGGGGAAGTGGGAGGATGCGCCCAATCTGCACTTCCACTCTTCCAGAATCCAGAGATCAGAGGCAAAGGACGGGCAATCGGATAGATTGGGATACCCGCACTTAGCCCTCCACATTCCACCGGAAATTCTGGAGACTTCGATGCTCGGTGCTGAGGTGATGGGGGTGATGGACGAATGAACGACCATCATGTCAAGGTGTGGGTGGTGGAGCTGTGGAGGTGACGAGTTGGAAAGTGGGCGGGCAGCCCACTTGGCAGTGTCCAGCTCCAGATGACCCGGGGGCCAGGACAGATGACAGCAGACAGCAGGTGGTGTGCTCTGTTCTATGCGCCGGAAATCGGGATTCGGGAGTACCGATTACATTGATGTGATTACATTGATGTACAGTATTACCGTCAATGAGGGAATAACTGAATAATACGGATATTGGAGGGTGATTTGAATAGGAGGCGTCGTCATTTGGGGGTGAAAGAGTGAAAGAGAGAGAGACAAGAGGGTGTGTGTCACCTGAATCTGCCAATCACATCGCACCTGCTATTTCGATCGTACATCTTGTCGCTCCTGCCCTCCCCAAATATCCTGAACCCTTCCCTCGCCCCTTCCCATCTTGCAAATCATCCACCTTTATGATCATCAACAAACACCAAAGCACAACTCCGAGATATTCTCTCTTCACCAAATTTCACTTTGAAAGGGATTGGTTTCTTTTTCTTAACGTTCTAACACTTCAGACGACTTTTTGCTCGTCTTGTTCACTTGTCGGTCCTGCTCTCATCCAGTTGGCACTTCAGTACCTCCTCACCCATCGTCGCATTCCCCATTCACTTCCACCCTGCCTACACAATCTCCATCCTTCTCCTCACCCTCACTTCAACTCCTTCTATACCACCACGGTTTGAATCGCTTAACATTGCAATATTGTCTTGACAATTTTTGCGACGTAACTTTCGCCTTGGAACCTCCTGTGACGAGTCTACACAAGCCGTCGTTTGGTTCTGGTTTGAGTTGTTTCTCAACACGTTAGCCCTGGCATCCGCTTCTGGACAAAACGAACGACAACGACAACGACGGCATCAAACATTCACTCGGTCGCCTCTCGAAAACCGCAATCATGGCCAGTGTTCCAGTCAAACCCATGTCGAACATTTCCATGGCCTTTGCTGCCAAAGCTGCCGCCGCTAGTGACCTCACTATGCGCAACTACGGCAAGCTCGATGCGACCGATGGCAACCCGACCGCGGGAGTCAAGTATCATACCGGAATGCTCCCGACTCCTCCCAATTCCATTTCTCCTACTCTCCCTCCTCACAAAGGTCGTACCAACCCTCCCCCAGGCTCCGACCACCCTCCTGCGATCCGGTTGGATTCGGACTCCGGGAACGCCTCCGAGACTCCTGCCGAGCCCCCTCAGGCTCTGTCGAGCGCCGCGCTGTCCGGCCTCGAGGCCGCAGGAGCCATCTCTCCGTCGATGCTGGCGACCCATCATCTCCCGGACATCCTTCTCAACAACGGTCCGGTCGCTATCCGACATGTGCTGAGTCATCTGACTCAGACCGTCCCCGGCTTTTCGCGCATCGCCCCTCCAAAAGCCCGTCGCATCGTCGTCGCGGCACTCGAAGGTCGCGCCGGTGGCGGACATCATGGCGAAGTCGTCTTCGAGAAGGTCGGGTGGGGTCGTTGGGATGCGCGCTACCGTGACCAACCGCCGAAGGAGCGTCGCGATCTCGACCATCACGGCTCACACCATTTGAGCGGTTTCGATGGAGCCTTGGGTGCTTCGCCTCCCGCGAGTACGTCCGGGTCCTATGCCATGTCCAATGCTGGCGGATTGCAAATCCCAAAGGCGCGTTGGGGATTCAACGGTCGAGGCGTCGGCAGCTGGGGAGCGGACGACAGCGTTCTTTCGTACCATGAGGAGGAAATGTTGGACATGCATATGGCCGAGCACGAAGCCGATAAGATGTCGCTGGACGGCTCGGTTCATGATGGTTCGTCTGTGGAGCCGGACGACGATCTGCCGATCATGGATGATGATCTGGGCGAAGAAACGGACGAGGAAGACTGGGCCGGCATCGGAGCGGAAGCCCTCTATGAGCGCTCCAACATGAGCACGAGTGGCTATCGCAACTACAACCAGCTCTCGCGATCCTGCACCGCCCGTGTCAAACCAAGCGTCGGCTACCCTGGCACTCGCCGCCCATCCTGCATCTCCAAGGCGTCGTCCGGCCGCGTTCACCTCTTTCATTCTTCTCGTCACGCATCTCGTGTACCGTCGGGTTCCCATCCCGGAAATAAGGCCACCGCCGCACACAGCGCGAGCCCGAACCCTCCCCCGGCGACGAATGCGACGGTCTCCAACTCTCAAGAGCGCGCCGCAATTGAGGCGCTCCTCTCTCTTGGGAGTATGTAATATACCCTCATCCCCCACCACTCAATTTGGCACGGAGTTTTCTTTCGACGGAATTGCGATTTCCCCAGGCAAGGCGTTATTTGATTAACGGAATGGAATCCGATGCACTGGGGCTTGCCAAGCACGACGGGCCGAGCGTGATCGGCACGAGTTCTGGATGCTCGGAAGCTTTTACTCGATATCGATCCCTACCTATTGGTATCGAGCCATAGCCACTATTCCAGGCAAACTTCCACGTGCTGGATACCTTTGCATGCGGCTTCTATCCCGCGCTATCCGTTTTCCACGGACCTATTCTACGGACCTATTCTAGGCCCCTACTTCCTTGACGGAATTTTTACCCTCCTTTGGACCACGCTCCTTTCACGACACGACATCAGACGAAAACTCGTCACTCCTGCTTCCGAACGTCAAGTGCTGACACTCAAGGAACGAGCAGATCTGGTGTTCACTGCTGGGGTTCCGTGGTTTACCCCTTTCCCTTTGTTACACAACATCGACTTCCATCGATTCGGTCGATTCGAAGTCGAGATTATATCCCATCATACGCGGGGAACCTTGGGCACCAGGCACGAGACTGTATGGAGCGCTTAAGTGCGACTTCCTGGTCTCACCGCCTCACCGCCTCCGGGTTCCCTCACCATACCTCCTACGCGGAGATGTATTTGTTTAGCTTCGAAATCTCAACTTTTCCCTTTAATCGAATTGCGAGTGTGAACGTGGACATGGTGCGAGGAATGGAGGGTGGCCCACACGCCGGTGGGCATTCTCGGGGCAGATGCATGTTGGTCCAGGTGACGACGGCTTTCTCCTTCTAGTGAACAACGACAATGACTCCCTTGGGTTTTCATAGCTCTCGTGTCATGGTTCGACGGTAACATCAGATAGTGACAATTGAACATCTGCGGCAAGACCTTCTCCCTACGAGCTTATCATGATGATGTGAACGACTTGTAATGTCTAGCTGACTGTCGAGTCGAGTGCGACGACGACGTCTAAACCGGGTAGTCCAACCAACCCCTTCAGACTTCAATGAACATGGTGAAACACTATTCTTTTGTAAGGCATCCCTTTGCATCTTTGCATCCTTTGTCACTTCCAGACTTGACAAACGGTGACAGGAGTCCACGTGCAATGGGGACTCATCAAAACGTGATGAAGTTAGTGGGCCGTCAGATTCGCGGCGCATCCTGACTATTCTTGCCCAAATTCAGCATCAGTTGCTTCGGCATGATCCGCCAGCTCCACATCGTTCAGGTCTGCTGGGCACGGCTTGATATGCCTGAGGGATGGTTTCCCTATTGTCTATTCACATCGCTGCTGTATTCTCTCGAGTTGTGTGTTCTGCCTGGTCGAGGTACGTAATAGGTATCGACATGGTGAGCCGACACACCGTGGCCATTGTGGCCTGAAAGCAGTTTCAGCAATTCACTCGAATATCTCAACGTCAGTGGATCTTCTCCGAGACGATGTTTCACCGAGTCCGCGCTGTCATCACTTCGCTCGCTAAGTCGTTGCAACTTTTCGGTTGTGTTACACCAGCTATCACCGCAACGATCACAGAGCTGTGGGGTCGGCGCATGGCGGTCCTATTTTAAATCCCAATTCTCAGTGAGTATGATCCTAGAATTCGGAGCTCGCTTACTTACATCACAAGCCATGGCAATCATAGATGAAAATCCACGGACTCTCCGAGACTACGTCGACAATGCAAGTTATGGCACCCTCATGGACTTCCAGCATGATGCAATCCCCGCATTGGAACGAGGTCGCTTCAATTGCATCCTGCGTTTTCCCGGCTCGTTCAACCCCCCTCATCTCGGCCATCTCGAGCTACTCAATCGCTGCTTCGAGGTGGGTAAAGCCTGCTTCAACGTCGTCGGGGCATTCATCGAACTGCGCCCGGATCATGAGGTCGCTCGGAAGCTGGCGCATTACCGCCAGACGGGCGTCATCGCAGAGGCGGACCGGGTACTATTGTGGCGCGCACACCCTGAATTCCCACCGTGGGCCTTCGTGGTCGGCTCGAACTCGTCCCCGGTATGGTATCGAGATCTCGCGAATGGTCTGTCCGCTGATGGGTTTGCGTACCGGTGGCTGAGCATCCGAGGACCGGACTGTTTGGAATACGGAGAAGCGCGGGGTTTGAAGTTGTACCATGACACGCTGGTGAGCAACGTCGCGAGGGAGTCGAACTTTGTTCTTCCAGTTGGATTGCGAAAGATCGCAGGATATGGCGAGTGGGAGGCGTTAACTTGGAAGGACACCAGTCTGGGGGATCTCCCTCGGATGGTGCGCGAACTCCAGGACAGTATCGGCGATATCAGTCATCTGCGGAGGGCCGTCAAGGTGTGTCATCCGATCAAGCAAGGCCGGGGTGTCATATATTACGTGCGACCCGCGTATAAGCTCGGCACGATCAGTTCGACTATGGTTCGTGAGGTGATGATAAAGCACGCCGGGGACGAGCTCATTCGAGAATTGAGGAAGATCACCTTGAGTCCTAAGATGCTGCTATCATTTCATCACCTATTCTCCTCGTTGCCCTCGAAGAGGGTGGCCGTATTGCGGAATGGCAATAACCTCGCTACGGAAGATGAAGATATCAACATGGAGGATGGGACACCGGACCTGGCCAGGCTGCAGAGATTGGTGGAGGAAGCGCACCTACGCAACGAACAAAACCTTGCGAAGCAAGGGAAGGCATCCAAAACATCCGTCTGCCTTGGATGGAGGAAGGAAAGGAGTACATCGCAATCAAAAACACTAGGCAAGACACGAACAAACGGGATTTCGAAGAGCAAGCAGCATCGAGCAAAGATTCCCGAACCGAAGAGCGACTCCGAGCTACTGTCAGGGCTATAAATCATACTAAACGGTTCCAGAGCCTGGTAATCTGAGTCCTATCGAGTATCAAGCATGCTAGAGTGTTAGCCTACATGGCCATGATGGACAACGTTTCGTCATTTGTGCTTCCTAGGGTGCTGAGAGGGAGGGACTGGATGACGGAGGAAGAGGGAAAGGAAATAGCATGATGTTCGACAGAAAGCATACAAGCAGAAGATAAATGATGACGCATAAAAGCCTAACAAAGGGTGATCTATAGCAGGGGTAATCCAAAGCAAAGGTGATCTAACAGGGCATGTCAACGGACGAGATGGAGGAAACCGCGATAATGAAAAGCCTGTTCGTATCATACATTCAAACATATCCTTATATCTATAATACGCGCGACGACTAAGCGATGAGATGCGGAAAATGGGATTTAATGTGTACTTAAGATGACAATGGATTGGACATACCGATACAGTGGTATCGTTGAAGTTGATATGTGAGCGCTGAGCGCCGAGCGACGATGGCAATAGGGCACCGAGATAACGAATAGCGCTGTCACATGATCCGATCCAACCCCTGCACGCCAAGCCACCCACCTTATCTCCGACGCCAGCTCCGATTCGACATCACCTGTGACCTGCTCACGCCTCACCTGCTGCCGCGAATGGTTGTGACGAACTGACCATCCAACCTTCCAACCTGGATTGGAAAACAGGGCCGTTCTATTCCATCATCATTTTTGGCACATTATGGCGTTTAGGCGACACGGTCTCTATACTGTGGATGTTGCAGGTATCTGGATTCTAATCGATAACTGGTTGCCTTGACCTTGAGACCTCTCTCAGACCTTGGACAGCCGCCGAGAAAGGCTGTAACCGTCCACGAGCATCTTCACCCGTTCATCATGGTTTCTCCTGCTGCTGGTCTATCCCCCGCGTCCTCGGGAGCGGGGAGTGTTTGGGGCAAGCAGCAACCGAGTCTGGAGAGACTCGTCACCCATTATGTCGCCGCCAAACGATCGCTGACCTCGACGAACCTGGTCTATCGGGCGACCGAACTGGTGGGGTCTGCAAGGGAAGCTTTGAAAGAAAATGCGGTCTTGAGTGCGAAAAGTGCATTTGTGAAGAGATCGCTTGAGGACCATCTGAACTCTTTAAAGGCGGTTCACCAGGGAATAGAGCAGGTGCGCGGAGATGTCCAGGACGAGTTCAATGTAAGGCTATCATCGGTGTTATTTGTCGGATGTTAAAGCGACTTCACTTTCGCCGACCCAAGACCTCTAGACTATCAATGCTGACACCCTATATAGTCCAGCGTCCATGCCCTCGACGATGCCTCTTCTCAGCTCCGCTTAAACCTCGACCATCTCCGCAACATCCTCGTTGACCCGGCATTTCGACCTGCAAACGATCCGCCGAGATACTTGTTCGATTTTGTCGATGAGGCTGGAGTAAACGGTCTGAACGAAAATGTCCGACGGTCCATCGACCGGTTCAACGATGCTCATGAGAAGCTCCTGACAACCCTCGAAGACTTCGAGTCCGACCTCAGCCAAGTCCGTCGAACGCTAGATGGTGCAGAGCAGACGATGGGCAGGCATGCCTCTCGACATAACGAAGGCGATGTGGGCTCATCAGGAAGCTCGCATGCGGCCTCTCCCGTCCCCCGGATCTATCGGGAGCTAGAACATCACGCAACCGAGACGGCCACCTGCCTCTCCAGCCTGGTCAACCACTACGACCTGTGTTTGAGTGCTCTTCGCCATACCTCGGGCGGTGCGGAAGCGGTCGAACGGATGGTGCAATCGTCTCAAGACGAATCCCACGCCGATCTTCCCGCCGGTCTCGGGTTGGAACTAGGATCACCAGAGTCCACCAAGGCGGAGCAGTCCCTCTCGGAGTCGGAACGCAACCACATCCTATCGCTGGTGGAGAAGGATTCGCACGAGGTGGACGGCGTGGTCACGGAGATGCGCGAACGCGTCGCCACTATGCAGAACCTCTCCACCCAAGTCGATTCGCACCTCACCGACATGCGCACCGCGTCCGAGATGCTGCACAGCGCGCTCGACCGCCTCCGCACGCTCTCCGACTCCGTCCACACCCACGTGTCTGGTACTGCGGTGTTCCTCTCCGCCTGGGACGCCGAGAAAGAGACGCTCGCCACGCAGCTCGAGGAGCTCGACGGCCTGGTGCAGATCTACCAGGGGTTCGAGGAGGCGTACGACAACATGATCATGGAGACGGTGCGACGGGAGCGCGTGCGCGCGCACATCGACAAGGTGCTGTCGTCTGCGCTGTCGAAGGTTGAGAAACTCGTCGGTCAGGATGCGAAGGCGCGGGAGGAATTCCGGGCGGAAGTGGGAGAGTTCCTGCCGGGGGATATATGGGCGGGGTTGATGGATCCGCCGAGCCGGTGGGAGGTCAGGCAGGTTGAGGGTTCGGTGGCCGACATGCCGAATCTCAGCGAGCGGACGTTGGAGGATGCGGATCGGAGAGTTAGGAGAAGAGCGGAGCAGGCGGACTAGATCATATTGACAGAACTTCCAACTATGGCTGGACTTTGCGCTGGTGGAATCTCACATCACTTTACTTCGGTAGATAGATTATTTGGACGAGGCGCATGACAAATGGACCATCACAGGAAATGGACATTAGTTCTATGTGTATAGTGTCGAGGGTATACTTGTACTATTTCTTTCCCTTCGAAGACCGATTTACAATGCGTTTCTTAACGTCCTTCGGTATCTTGGTCTTCCGCTTCTCCCGCTTTTCCTCCTTCACCTGGTGTTTATGGGCGCGCTTCTCATCCTTATCGACAAACCGCTTGCCTCGTGGCTGTTTCTCTTCGTCTTCGAACCAACTCCTTTCGCTCCCTTCCTCGTCACTGTCTTCCTCTCCCTCCGAGGGACCTTTCTCGCCATTGCCTCGCGGCAACGGCACCCCCCCCTCCGCATCATCGGCCAGGAGATTCCGGTAGACCAGATCGCTTCCTTCCCCGTGTCCGACCTTCTCGGCATCGCGCTCGACATCGAACACCTGCTCCAAATTCTGCGGGATGAACTGCTGCCGCCACACCTCGTCGTCTTCGTCGTCCTCGCCCTTTTCCCGCAGCGCATCCCGCACGGCGAACTGCGCTTCGAGCTCGTCCTTCATCGCGTCCATCTTCGTGGTGCCGCCCGGCTTCGTCACCCATTCGAACACCCGCTTTTCCGAGAGCGTGTCGACGCCGTTCCGCTGGAAGTAGCTCGTCACGTTCTTCAGATCCATGCGCAGGAACTCCAGGGACTTGGGGTGGTTCATCTCGACGCTCTGACTCACGTCGATGACCCACAGCTTCCCGTCGAAGTACAGCAGATTGTACTCGCTGAGATCCGCGTGCACCAGCTTGCACGACCCCCAGAGGATGCGCACGTAGCTGAACAGGTCCATGTACAGCCGCCGCAACGTCGTCCCGATGTCCTCGATCCCCTCGCTCGCCCAATCGACGTCTTTTAAGCGCGGCGCCGGCCATCCTCGCGAGTTCCCCACGAAGCTCATCACCAGCACGTGGCTCTTCAGCATGATCGGATCCGGCGCCGGCACCCCCCCGGCAATCAACCGCTTCAGATTCCGCAGCTCCTTCTCCGCCCACAAGCGCACCATAGCCCGGTGGTTTTTCTTCGGATGCGATTTCTGCAGCCGGAAATCCCCCGTCACGTACCGCTCCCGGTCCTTGAACACGAGGATCGCTGTCTTGTACACCTTGATCGCGCGGTGGATCGGCTGCGGTTCGGAGGCGCCGTCGCTCCCGCTGGGGTACAGCACGGCATGGTAGACGTTCGCTTCCTTCCCCGTGCTCACGCAGCCATTGATCTCCGAGACGATGCCGCGGTTAATCAGCTGGAGCAGGATCATACGGGTGCGCGGGTCCAGGGCCTGTTCGACGGTGGCGCGGTCGGCGCGGTCGGCGCCCGTGTGGGCAGCACGGAGGTTGTTGTAGAGGTGGTTGACGTTGAGTTTCGGGGAGAGGTGGGAGAGCGAGGAGATGTGGTCGTTGAGGTTGGCGGTGGGTCGCTGGGGGTTGGCGGAGGGGCGGTTATACGCCTTGGTGAAGTCGGCGGGGTCGGTGGAGGATAGGTCTTCAGCGGTGATTTCTGGCTCCGAGTCGTAGTCGTAATCTTCCTCTTCCTCGTCCACCGATGGATCTAGGAGACGGTCTTGTATGGTGTCGGCGCGGGCGTCCAGATCCTGATAGCCTTCGTTCGGCGCATACTGGTGGGGGGGCTGGAGCGCCGCGGCGGGAGATGGGTCGGCCATTTTCCTTTGAACGGAAGACTCCCTGGCGATTGAGGAACTGGTCGTCAGAAGGTGGGATACAGTCGAAGTGTTCACTTGTTCTGATCAGGGAATCGTATCGCCAGGATCAGACAGGAATATTCCGTATGTCACAGCGAATTTCCATGGTGGGGTTCTAGAATTTCGACAGGGTTTGGCCATGGGGTTGTGATGCCTGACAGCCTAACGGCCTTAAAACTGAAACAGAAATGCGACATTTTCCACGTGATCACTCATGGGGTTGGAAGGATGCCTTGGTGCCTTGATACCTGCGTCTGCGTCTGCGTCTCACGTCTACATCCACAGCGTGGGAGCGTCTCCTAGAAATTCAACTTGTTCAGCTCATCTTTCCAATTTGAATTTATACCATTTCTTGTCCCTCCGAACATCTCAACAAACAGCCAACCCAACCGTCGTCAGCCGTCAGCACAAGGGTGACAAGACGCACCAGCCGATTGTTGTCAGACCGTTGTGCCTTGCGTGGGTGGTGCGCGATGTCAGGGTATGTGGCTAATAGACGCTTGTGCGTGCCAGATGCCCCCATCGCCCACCGTTAGCCCATCCTTGTCCTCCTGGTTCATTTCAGCTTTAATTCAGCACCTGGGGAGTGGGGAGCGTGTGCCAGAGTCGTGACTCGTGAGGCTGCTGGTCGACTTTTGCAATTTAGACAGTCGGGCAGTCGATTTCCAGGTTGGTTTCTAGATGGGTTGCAATTGTTTGGGACCGGTATGGTAAGAGAACCGCTCTCCAACAAACGCCAGACGCGTCCAATGTAATTAAGTAAGGCGTGGGATCCAAACAAACCACCCGTTCCCGCGAGCATTAAATCAATACCGTCGTACTACGTACATAGCAATGCATTTCTGATGATTCCTGCACGGTGATCATTGGCCGTGGTTGGCGATAGCAAATATTGCAGCTAAAAGCAATAAGGGGGTGTCCCTGGCTCCGACCATCTAGCCAATCACTCGCCCCAACCATTGCTCCTCACTTGACAAGTTGACAGCCGTCTCAGCATCCTCGTGCTTCATCCTTCCTTCATCGTCTCCTCTCCGTGATTGTTCGTTTCTCCTCACATCGCTGTCATTGCCCCGACCACTGTCACTCATTGCCTCCTGGCTTTCATCTGTTTATACCATATGCAATTGTGAGCGTGTCTTCCACCACAAAAATCCTCTTCATCCTCGTCGTCTCACCCTCCAACCGCCAAACACCGCGCTCCACCACTTTTTTGGTCCCTGACTTCCTTTGTCCTTCTTCGCCGTTACACAATCCATTTCGACCACTTATGACCTGAGCACGAGCAACTTTACCCTTTCTGGACCCAGTCGCTCTCCATGCTGTTGTCATAAGAATTATTCCAGGATCAGGGCATTGAAGAGCGAAGATTCCCTGAACCAAACCGTCCTGGTCCTTCTTTTCGACCCGTCCGCGCCGCCGATCTGAATTAATATGAGAGTGGACGCGCTCCCTCTCTAATTCATATCAGACCTTCCGGTACTGGGTCTTTTGCTCGCGAGAAACACGCGATGACGACCGTTTCTGCGCAACCGATTCCTGTTCACACTACTATTTCGAGTCAATCATCCTGGGATTACGCTGTTCCCGTGGAACGTGAGGTAAGCAGTGGGACATATTATCTTCACCAGGGCAATTCCTACCCAGAGCGCTCAATCCTGTCACGGTGCAATTGTTGCTGCACTGCATCGCGTCTAAACATTTGGCATTTTGGGCCGCACTAGGTCACATAGCCAGCCCCATTTGACATTGCTAACGCTACAAGTAGAACATCGATTCGGGTGATACCAACCCGTCCGAAACACCCATAGCGAATGGTGCACCGCGTCAACCTCTCATGCAACACACCGGAACCAACGAACAAAGGCCAAACAGGTCCGATACCCTCGAATCAAATCTCTCTACAAGTACGACAAACGGAAAGCACCTCGCTCAACACGCCCCTCGATCGAACCCCGTTTCCAAGAAACACAGCAAATCAAGCATGGGAAGTGACCCCGACGGTTTTGGGGATCTTTATAAGGCTCCCTCGGCGGAGGCACGAAACCTTCCGCACTCGGCCGATCATGGAGGGAAACGAAAGCTATCGAGCAGCTCAAAAGGCATGTCGCCGAATTTATCGCAATCCAGCTCTGCCCCGATCCCTGGCGGGCTCGGAGCCGCCTTTGATCACGACTTCTGGATCCATCGGGATAAGTTGGCCCAGATTGAAAGCCGGGAGCTGGAGGAGGCGGGATTCCGCTTGCCGGCGAGCCGCTCTGGAAGCCGGTCGGCAAGCAGTTCGCGGAACCGATTTCATGACCATGGGGATGAGATAAACGGAGAGCCAGGGCATGGTCGTGAACGGGAGGAAAAGAAGCAAAGAAGGATCTCACCCATCCCTGCGGAAGACGAAGCGGAAGATGGGGCAATCGACTTCGAACTACGCACGCCAGAAGAGGTAGCTGCCGATATGGTCGAACCGGAATCCTGGGGAAGTTCTCCCTATCCGAGCCGAATCCTCCGACCAAGCACATCTAGAATCCCCATTGCAAAGATGTCTCCCGTCCCAGTGTCTTCGGATATGGTCGATCGAGACTCTCCGCTTTCGCGCAGTCGCAATGGATCCGGAGCCTGGGGATCGATGGACGGCGGCGTCGCATTCCCTAGGAACGGCCATAGCCGTGCTCGGAGCCGGAGTGCCGGAAGTCAAGTTCTCCTGGACGATGCTGAATTGCAGACGCCTACGGACTCTCCCCCGCGGAGGAAGACGACCGTTTCTCCTGGCCAATCCCCTTCCTCCAGCCCACCACGAGCCAATAAGAAAGGGTCCGTGACTAAACGGGGAATTCCTTCCGCATCCAAACCCCGCGTCGTCTCGAACACGAACCGCGGCGCCAAATCCCCCGAAAAACGCCCCGGCACCTCGTCCGGCCGTCCGTCCACCTCGCACGCGGCCCCCGAAGGCGACCCCCCGTGGCTCGCGTCCATGTACAAGCCCGACCCCCGTCTTCCCCCCGATCAGCAAATGCTTCCGACGCACGCCAAACGCATGGCGCAGGAGCGCTGGGAAAGCGAAGGGAAGACCGGGTCCGCGTACGACCGGGATTTCCGCCTACTCAATGCCGCCGACTACGCTCCTCCGGTGCGCAGCAGCGCGGGCAGCGCCGCCGAGATCAAAGGCGCTCACCGGGGTGCCGAGGCCGATGATGACGGGAGGAATATCGACCTGGAGTGGCCGTTGCCGTCGCCTACGTTGCCAAAAGAAGCCAACGGCAGCCCGCGGCCCGGCACGAGCGAGAGCCATGGCGGGTATAAAATCACGCCCAGCCTCCGAGGAGTGGCGGCTACCAGTCCTTCTATTGGGGGGTCGAAACTGAGTGCAGGACAGCCACAAGGATTGGATCTTAACCAAAGACCCGTGCGAGTTCAGGAGCCGGTGGACGATGAGAAAGCCGGGAAGAAAAAGGGCTGTACGTGCTGCGTGGTGATGTAAAGACTTGGGGCGCCGTACGTCCGATTTGTCCATACGCGATATGGCGCGGTCCCTCACCACGCGGATCCGGTCTCCGTTTCCCAACCGAACCTTCTCGACGACGAGAGGCTATTTTCGCTCCCCCCCATCGATGCACGCCATCGAATTTTCATTTTTATGATTCCCAACTGCGACTTTCATTCATGTTGCAGCCATGCCTTCCGAGCGGGTTTATTGGCACCCGGTGTCGCGGAGCGGAGGCGTACAATGGCGTTTGGCTTTCTGATTTCCTCAGTTGTTGTGGTCTGTGGAGCAAGCTCCTTGATTTTACGCGGGTCGCGTCATTTGGGTCGCGGTCGCATCCTTCTCTGCTGGACATAAGATACCAAGAAGATCAATCTACCATGTTAACTTTGCCGTGGTTGTGTGATTACTGATTCCTGCGCCGCGTGTTCTTATTAATCCCATCAATAAGTCGTCTTCATCCTGCGAGATTTCGAAGTTCGGACGGTGATGATGCTTCCGGTCCCGTACCATTTACCAGTCACATTCGGGCTTTATGGGTTACTGCAAGACTTGATATCTCGAATTGCCCTCCTTTGGTTAACGAAAAGATGGTTGCCAAGAGAGTTAGAATCCTTCTTTAATTGGTGCTATTTCAACAGATTAAGTTTAACCAGTTTCTGGATATCGGCAGGTCTTGCGGTATTGAGTTGACGTCGAGATTGGCGTCAGTTGATTGGCCAAGGTGATTCCTCAATATTGACTTGCCAGCCGCCCAAGACTCAATCATATCTACCTACCGGCATGTGCGCGGAGATCAGCCGTCGCGTCTTTTATTACAACATGATTCGATGCGTTGGATACTGAATTCCACAGTTATTTGACCATAATGCACTCTTGAATCCCATGTTATCCTCGAGTTCAGCAAGTGATGAAAAGGTCGATGTATGGACGGCAGAACGATGCGAGGCTCTCCTTCTACGGCTCTTAAGCCGGCTCAAGACCCTACGAGCAGAGAAGTCGAACAGCGATATAAATTCTTCTAAATTGATGCTGAAAAAGGATACGAGAGCAGCGGACACCTTGGACGCGAAACTTGAAGAGCCGGATTGGGTAGAACCCCGACATTTGAAACGAGGATATGGGAACGGCAAACGATCGATTCGTGGCAGCGCCGCTGGCCCCAAAGTATTACCTCCTCCTCGGCGTTCTATTCAGCGCCCTCGTCTTGAGCCTTGCTGTGGCAAGAATGGGACACTAAAGGGACCTGAACAACACAACTCGCAAGCAGTGATCGTTGCATTCGCGGCCATCCTTCGCGAAACATCCGAACATCATGGCAACGATGACACTATCGGCCAGGGCCAAAATAATCAATCCGGAAGGACGAACGAAACCCCCAAGACGGGCGCCAGGTCATTGTTCGCGATTGCTCTTAACCGAATCCCTTACGACGACCATGAATATGAAGGATTCGATGGCCCCTGTGGAATGTACTACTTCCTGGAGGACCAGTTCAGCTCTTCCCACGGATGGCCCGGTCTGAAGGCGGTTTTGCGAGCTCACTCCATCAAATTGATCGAAGAGGCGATTCGGTATGATTTTCCCCCGGCCACTGCCATATCGAGTCTTTCTTCGGTGCTTGGTGATCCAAATAAAAACTCATTACTCAATGAGTATGAAAGTCCGGGAATCAGCTTGGAACTGCTTAGGGCCTCCCATCGAGCCGGCCTCCATGACGTGGGCATGGACACTTTTCAACGCTGTGTCTTTCCCACGAACAATTGGTGTCCAGTGAAAGGGCTTCTAGCCCAGATTTCGCTGGGAGCTTTGGAATCCTTCACAGGTCCCATGTGCGTCGTGTATTGGAAGACATTCCTTAAACCTCTTCTCTGGAAGTCACACGAGCCGTTTGAGGCATGGACCGCATTACGGGCAATATTGAGATTCTCTTGGGATATCCCAAGTTCGTCGGGGGAGTATAAGCTATATGCCCATGAGAGAGACGAGCTTGTGGGATCGTTCCTGGCTGTGGTTAAGCACCGCATGTCGACCCTAGTAGCTGATTCGATGCTCTTCCACGTCAATTGCGAAAAGGAGCGACTCCAGGAAACCCAACAGAACCTCGAGATAACTATCTTAGACTTCGCTGGAGTGGAATGGGATAGCCTATGCGTTCCTGAATGCTGCATGGTCCTTGCTGTGTTTTGTGCAGGTCTCATTCTCCGAATACTTACGCGGCGGCCGCCACCGCATCTCTTCCCTCTCCCCATAGTGGAACTTGTGGGCTTACTCCATCAGCTCAGTAATAGGAACGGTGTACCAATGAATTTCCTGCCATCATTCATCAATGGGATCGCTTACGATATCGACCTATTTACCTCACCTCGATGGCGGATTCCCGGTCACAGGCACCTTGCAACAGGGCTGCTGCACATTGCCGGGATCCAATTGATTGAGCACGGCAAGAACAGCGATGGAGTTACGGACAGTGGTGACTCCGGGTGTACCATTGCGCAATCCGTTTTCCTCTGCAGACTTGCGCTTGATCTCATACTCGCGCGTTCAGTCATACGTTCAAACAAGGGGGATGACCAAGTCCTTCTGGATGTCATGAAACGATCCATACAAATGCACCCAACCATTGCAACGGAGCTTTGGACAAACATGGACACCAGCGAGACACATATCGCGACCCCAAGCACTCTGGAGAGGAGACGAATGGAATTCCTCAGTTATCGGTGGGAGTCGGGCGTTGATGAATGGGTCGCATCGACTCCGACCCGTTCGAGGAAAGATGCTTCCACGAAGACTACCAGAGAACCCCCCCCAGAGCAGCAAGAGCCAGCCCCAATTTCGCCCAAACCGTCAGATATAGGGCTAAGTCGACCAATTCCAGGTCTCGGTCGCGCTCGCCGTGGTAGCGTCCATGACTTCAAAGCAGCAGACGATATTCAGTCACCACTGCGAAAGAGACCCAAGTATCATGATGAGGAGGGGTTCGAGTTCAGATACGGACGTCGATCCAGTGTACAGGACACGAAAGAGCTATAAGATTCAGCACCCGTAGCTTCAACCGTTCAGGGTCAACGATGACATATTCCGGCACTCCTATACCTTTTCTTTAACCCAATTTAAAACCAAGGCCTCAATTCACTGGTCATAAACGGTGCGACTGGACCCAGATCTATGTGTCAAGGTTGCATTTTCTATAAGTACACCTAAATGCTTATACGTTGAGGCTATAACCACTGGCCGTCCGACTCGCCGCGTTCCAACGTTTATAAGCCTTGCGGCCCTCGTCCGCCCAGAAAACCAGGCTAGCAACGAGGAGCAGCCGGATCCAATCCAGGATCCCAATGGCCTCCGTCTGAAAAATGCTCTGCAGCGGCGGGAAATAGATGACTGCGCACTGCCCCACCAACGAGCCCGTCACCGCGTAGTTAAACATCTTGTTGCTCCCCTTCCCAACGATCGGCAGCTCACCGCGCAGCACGCTCTTCGCCTCGGAGCGGCACGTCAGCGCGTTGAACATGTCGAAGAGCACGAAACAAGTGAAGGTCATGGTGGTGTCCCGCGCGGTGACGACCTGTCCGTCGGCCATCTCGAGGATGTAGGTGGAGAGTGTGCCGAGCATAATGATGAGGGAGGACTGAATCACGCGGCGGAGGAGTTGGGGGGTAAGGACGCGCGCGTGTCGGGAGCGGGGGGGGAGTTTCATGACGGCGGGGTCTACGGGTTCGACGCCGAGAGATTGCGCTGGGGGACCGTCCATTAGGATGTCTACAGTCGTGGTTAGTGGACGTCTCCAACAAAGACGTCAGCGAGACGTACTTATCCATAGGATTTGCATGGCGTTCAACGGATTTTTGAAGCCCGCGACCGTGCTAACCATGACCAGGCCAAGGGCCGCCGCGCTGGTGCTCAGCTGGAATGTGAGGAAATTTTGAATGTTGTAGAAGATCCCTTTGCCCTCCTCTATGGCGTTCAAGATCGTAGAGAAATCGTCATCCGTCAATATCATGTCCGCGGCCTCCTTGGCCACGTCGGTGCCTAGACGGCCCATGCTCACGCCGATGTCCGCCTTTTTCAGCGCCGGAGCGTCATTCACGCCATCGCCGGTCATGGCAACGACGTCTCCTCGAGCCTGGAGCGCCCGGACGATCTTCATCTTGTGCTCCGGGCTCGTGCGGGCGAAGATCGTGGTCGTGCCGATAGCCTGGCTGAGCTCTTCTTCGCTCATCTGATCCAGTTGGTCGCCTCGAAGCACGGACGGACCAATGGCCGAGTTGAAGTTTAACGGTATGCCCAGTTTCTTGGCAATGGCTACGGCGGTATGCTCTGCATCACCGGTGATCATGATGACTCGGACTCCTCCTGCGAGAAGTCGCCGAATGGATCGGTCAACGTTGGGGCGCGGAGGATCATTCATACCAACAAGCCCGGAAAAAGCGAGACCCTTATACAGGTCTTCGTCGCTATGGCTCGCCTGTGTCTTATCCCTGGGGTCGGGCAATAATTGCGGCGTGGAATACCCGCTTAGGTTGGGTCTTTGAGCACTAGAAGGTGAGAGCTTCCCGCTCTTCTTGGGGCCGCTGGCAAATCCTAAAACCCTTAGGCCTTCTTGCGCCATCTTCTCGGCTGCCTTGATCGCTTCCTCTCGCCTTGCTTCATCTAGTATCACTTCCTTTCCGTCCGTAGTGATGTAGGTATCGCATCGTAAGAGGACTTGTTCGAGGGCCCCTTTCGCATACGCAACATCGTAGCCGTTGGGATTGTCGGGGCCAGGGTGGATCACACAACCCATCCATTTCCGCTCAGAACTAAACGGGGTCTCGTCCCGACGTGGGCCGATCCGGTCTCGCACGTCTGCCTCCCCGAACGCGTCGAGGAGATCTAAAAGCGCAACGTCGGTGGGCTGTCCGACCCAGCGACTCTTGGCAGAGGATGGATCACTTGCAGAAGACGACAGGATCGCAGCGGAGGCCGCAGAGGCCGGCGTGCTGGACGATCCGGACATGAGTCGCCCATTATTAACAATATTTCCGATGCGAAGGATGGTTCGCGTGGCAAAGTCGAGGTCGGACGTGGAGAGGGATTGCTGCTTGGCGCTGATGGAAATCGGTTCGGACGTCGCACCAGGCGTGAAATGCCAAATTTTGGTGACGGTCATATGGTTCGTGGTCAACGTCCCCGTCTTATCGCTGCACACGACATTCACGCTCCCGAGCGTCTCGACGCTGGGCAAACGACGGACAATGGCCCCGCGTTTCGACATTCGGAGGACCCCAAGCGCGAGCGTGACCGTCACGATGATGGGAAGGCCTTCTGGAATAGCGGCGACGGCCAAGCTCACGCCGATGGTGAACATCTCAAGAAATTCCCACCCTCGCCACACCCCCAGGAGCATGATGAAGGCGATGACGGCGAAGGACAGATAACTCAGTTCTTTGCCGAGCCGGTCCATGGAGAGCTGCAGAGGGGTCCGAGGAGACTCAATCTCCTGTAAACTGGCAGAGATGGCACCGAACTCGGTCGACCCGCCCGTGGCGATCACAATACCTGACCCATGCCCACTCCGTACCAAGGTCCCCATGAATGCGATGTTCGTTTGATCGTTTAAGCGAATATCGGCGCCGACCGTCCCGGCAGCTGGCGAGGCATATATGGAGGCAGTACCGTTTGGCGAAGGTTCCCGGGATACGGTAGATGATGCGTGGCTTACAAGAGTGGCGGGTGATTTCGAAACCGGCTCGTTTTCTCCGGTCAGATTCGACTCGTCGATGGAGAGGTCGGCACTGTGTGTAATGCGAATGTCGGCAGGGATCCGATCGCCGGTATGGAACAGGACGAGGTCGCCTGGCACGAGTTGAGAGCCGGTAAGCGTGGTGGAGGTGGCCTCGGCGGCTTCGAGCGATTTGGCAGTGTCCTGAATTTCATCGTCTTCTCCTTCTCTTCCTTTTGGCACGCCTGGAGTGGTTCTCGCTGATCGGTCAGGACGAATCGCGCCATCCGCACGAATAACGTGTGCGAAGTGCGGGACCAACTGGTTCAACGCCTCGAGACTCTTCTCGCTTCGATATTCCTGCACGAAACCGACCGAGACGACGATTGTAACTGCGACGGCTATGCTGATGGCATCATCATAGTTTCCCATCAAGAAGCTGATGGCGGCAGATCCAAGGAGTAGCAATATGAGGGTCTCCTTGAATTGCTTGAGGAATCGAAGCCATAGTGGCTCCGGCTCTTCTCGAGGAAGCTCATTCGAGCCATATACATGGAGGCGAGAGACGATTTCGGACGGGGAAAGCCCATGCGTAAGTGAGGTTCGAAGACGTAGGGCTGTCTCTGATGGTGTGAGTATTGAGTAGGATGAGGTAGCAGTCTGGCAATCTGTTAGCCGTGTCGGTTGTGCGGATGCTCTTGATGAGGCTCCTACCGACGGCCTTCTTAGCCTTTCAGCACGCGAACCCGATCTCGACGAAGTCGTAGAGTCTATCTTCGGAGTTGCGACTCGCCCATTAGCAAGGGAGAGATGCTGCAAGGCGATTCCCGGAGTCGCCGTCGCTGACATGGTGGCATCATTCAACCCGCGCCTGGAACGATGAAGGACCAGACAAGCCCTTCAGGTGTGAAGTTCGTAGACAATCGATGGTAGATTCAAAAGGACGGTAGTATTAACATCCAATGGTACGTGCGATCGATCATGACGGACGTGGGTTATTTACAGCGAGAAAAGTAGGGTTATGGACAGTTGTTTAGACTTTAAACTCGACGTCTCTCCACAGTCCACCTACAGCAGTAGTTGTATTGAGACATCCCTGTTAGGTTCAAGGGCAAAGCTGGAGTGAGCTATGAATTCCACAGCTAGACCTAGAACAGCACCGGTATTGGAAAAGGGGACAAGTTTAAACTAGTACGATTGAAACACCTGGAAAATACAGAATACTGTATGGAATTGCTCGGCCTCACGCATCTTGAATCTTGACGACTATCGGAATGAATCCAATCGATAGAGAAGCCGAGTTTTTTTACTGCGTTACGTCGGTTCAGCTGTCGCGGCATGAAGGCTTAAGGCATTAAGGCACCAATATAGATATCGTGATTATGTCAGCAAAGTTGATGCAGTCATGCAGTTCACGTGACACGGCCCAACCTCTCCAATAGATGAATCCACCATTGATCATCCAATTCATCCGCGACATCCTCCCACCCTTCACATTGTCCACCCCATCTCTGGTATCGAACTTCTTCCTCCATTTCCACCCCTCTATCACCATTTTTGCATATTAAACCCCCTGGCCATGCTCTGCGATCCACACTGATCCGATCTTGAGAGCTACAAAACTCCATCCACTTTCTGCGCGTCCTCCCAACTAGGCCCACCTAGCTCGGCGCGTCAGGAATCAAAACAACTGCGCCGAGTCGTCCACCGGGTACAGCACCGCATGCGAGGGCGTTTCCCGCGCAAGACCACCCCAGGAAGACACATACGCGTCTAGTACCACGGGAAACCGACCGCCAACATGTTCTACTCCGAGACCTTGCTGTCCAAAACTGGACCTTTGGCGAGAGTGTGGTTGGCTGCCAACATCGAACGAAAGCTCAACAAGAAGGATGTTTTGAGCGCCGGGATTGAGCGAAGCGTCGACGCGATCGTAGACCAAGGCCAGGCTCCTATGGCCCTTCGACTGAGCGGTCAGTTATTACTTGGCGTGGTTCGGATATACAGCCGGAAAACCAATTACCTTTTCGATGACTGCAATGAGGCCATTACCAAAATCAAGATGGTAACTTTGATCATGAAGCTGGTAAAACTCTTACTGATTGAGGATCATAGGCATTCAAACCAGGAAATGTCGACCTCCCGGTCGATCAATCTCACGCCGTCAATCCGGCCACCCTGACATTACCAGATGTCATCACAGAATTAGATCTCCTCGCTCCTATGCCAGATCCAGATCTCCTTTTTGCTGACCCCCTCCCAACAATAACTGGAGCACAGCGCGATCCGACACTACTAGATTGGGGCGCGAGCCAAGTGCTCACCGAAAGTTTGGACCGATCGCAAATGGCTTTGGAACCTCTACCCCTCGACGACGACGGACTTATTCTGGATATTGGGGATGGTCCGGATGATACCGCTTTCAGCATTGAACGGGGTCGACGGGCTGCTCCCGAGCGTGACCTTTCGGACGAGTTTGGTGACAACGACGCACCAAGACTGTACGACGACGACCTTGATTTGGATATTGGAGACGGACCTTCGAAACTGGGCGGCGATATGTCATTGCTTCCTGGCGATGACGGCGATATTGCAATGGGCGGCCTGGACGATGTTCCGATGCAATTGCCATCCGACGATGCTACACATATGACCCTGCCCGGCCACCGTCGAGATTCTCACTCTCCGCTTTCTTCCATTGGAGCATCCATGGAACGCGAACTCGAGGCCTCGTTCAGACCGTTTGACGATGCCACCCGCCTCTCCTTCGACCCGGACGAAACTGCGCTTTTCGCCCCGAATCGCGCGAAGAAGCGACGCGTGTTGCCTGCCGATGCCACCACTGAGCTTTCAAGCAAATATATCAAGGAGCTACAAAATGATCGCACCCGGATCCTGAAACCCGCGTCATTCCTGCCACGCGATCCGTATCTTCTAGCGCTCATGCAGATGCAGCAGCAAGGCGCGTTTGTGTCCACCGTGCTTGGCGATGGTCGGATGAAGGGTTGGGCGCCGGAACTCCGCGATCTTTTCTCCGCCGATGCGATCCGCAAAAGTGGTGACCTGAAGCGGAAGCGGGATTCCGGCGTCGCCGATCTGGAAGACATGCCGCAGCTTGAAATTCCTTCGGAAGGTAACGAAGACCCATTTGGGCTGGAGCATGCCGACCCGACCCTTCGTCTTGACTCGGATGGTGTGCGACCGTACGACGAGGAGGATCAAGGCCTGGCAGCATTCGGCGGTCAAGAAGACACGTTCGATGACACCACCATGCCCATTCTCCACCCGGCCGATGCCGGCCCTCTCGCCTTGAGCACGACCCACGCCGTCCATCTCCTACGCGACCGCTTCGGATCCTACGACCAATCCGCCTCCCCCTCCAGCCAGAAGAAGCAATCCATCCTCTTCAACGAGCTGGCCCCCGAAAACCGCGCCACTGCCGCAGAGGCCACGAAGATGTTCTTCGAGGTGCTGGTCCTGGCGACGAAAGATGCGATCAAGGTCGAGCAGGTCCACGATGTGCTCGACGGTCCCATTCGCATCCGTAGTAAGCGCGGGCTGTGGGGCGACTGGGCGGAGAAGGGCGCGGGTGGGGAGATGGACGCGCAGGGCCAGCAGGAGGGCGAGGCGGTCGCGTGAATCTGAGGACGGCGGTTTGGTTTCGGATACCCGGCGTCTTTGGAGGAGGTTAAAGAATGGATTATGAGCGTTTCTGGAAAAGACCTGGGAAAGGGTCGAGGAGAACGGGGTCATTTATTTCTTCGTTGGGTTTGAAGGTCGTGAGAGGCATGGCTGCGCTCGTATACCACTTGACCGAGTATTTGTTACTTCCTTTGCGATCTGTTCGCTGCCCGAAACGATCTTCCGGTTGGGCAAAGCGGTTGGTTCATTTCATTCTGTCGGGGCCCGGCTTCGTTTAGGCGGGACTTCGATTTGTATGGTATCCTTAGCCATGCATAATGATTAGACGGTTCCATTCATTTACTACTTACTTAAGAACAATTGCGCGAGACACGTCACGATCGGGCATAGCAGCTAAGGGCCCAGCGCCTGTATACGGTATGTCATCATTCAGCAGTTCGGCAGTGTCGAATTTCTGACTTATTTACTAGCAGATTCAGTAGATTCACCAGTGCCCTATCTTCATATGAATCCTTTCATTCTGTCCTGTAGCTCTTCACTTTACGTATTGCTCGGCAAGTGCTCCTTGTTACTCTCAATTGTCCGATGCTTTGCTCTTCCCAGCTGCCCTGCTCTTTCTAGAACTAAAATCGAAGTTCTCTGGACGAGGAGCTGAAAGCGATGTCCTGTCGTCCTGATGATCTAACCTGAACTCTGCTTCTTAAGTCTCGGGTGGATTGAATGTGAGTTTTTTGGAGAGCGTATCGCAATTTCCTTCACGTCTGGAGCTCGATCGGAAAGTACGGGGCGAAATTTGATGTTCTGAGTTGAAGTCCTTCGGATTCTGTTGCATGAAGTTGATTTCCTTCTCGTTCAGCTCCTTTCCTTTTATCACCTTGTGCCACTCTCTCTCTTCTGACCATGACTCGATTTGCTACGCTCGCCGCCATTGCAGCTTGTGCGGCCGCAAGTTATAGTGGCAATCTTAACTATCTAAGCCCGTCCAAGCGCCACGCTGACCTTGGAATCGATATTCCAAAACTCCATAAGCGCAGCCTCGACAGCACGACGAGCTCATGGGGTCTCAGTGCTCTTACCTTCACTCACGGGGTCGCCTCGGGCGATCCGTACGCGGACTCGCTCATTCTGTGGACTCGCGTTGCGCCGGGGATGGAAAGTGACAGGTCCAATGTGGCCGTATCGGGCTATGCTCCGATGTATAATCACGACACCGAGGAGTATGTGAAAGCTTCCGCGTATCCAATCTGCGTCGAGTACGAAGTCTCGCAAAGCAAGGACATGAGACCAGTTGTTGACCGAGGAAGAGCATATACATCCTCAGATATTGATTACACGGTGAAAGTTGGTACCACCCGTTTCTCCAATAGAAGGGGTTCCTAATTTGGATGATATAAGGTCGAAGCAAAACAGCTTCAGTCATGGACCACATACTACTACCAGTTTGCAATCTGCAATTCGGAAAAGAAGAGTCCCATCGGAAAAGCAAAGACGCTGCCTCGTCCCGATGAGCGACTGCACTCGATCAACATCGGCGTCTTCTCCTGCAGCAACTATCCGAACGGTTACTTCAACCCATATGGGACAGCAGCACGAAACAATCGCCTTGATCTCTTGGTCCACCTCGGCGATTACATCTACGAATATCGCCAGGGAGTGCTTGGTCGTGATCCTCGAGCGACCGATCCCCCCAAGGAGCTCTTCTCCCTGTATGATTATCGACAGCGGATCGGACAATACCGAACGGATCCGGACCTGTTGCTTCTGCATCAGAGCACTGCATGGATTACGACATGGGACGATCATGAGGTGGCGAACAATGGTTACCGGGACGGTTTTTCCCGCATGGATAACATCGAGGACTCGTTTGTGAAGGCCGGTGGTGTTAGCGTCGACCAACGAAAGATGAATGCTGTCCGAGCCTACTTTGAGTGGATGCCAATTCGGTGAGTCTGCTTGGGTCTTGGAAGCTATCTGTATATTTTCCAGGAGCTGTTAGCATGGCCGATGAATAGAAATAACGCGCCCAGCATTCATTGACAGCATTCCAGCCAGGTCGATATGGATGATAACCTGAGGATCTGGCGAAATTTCGCTGGAGGAGACCTCTTCGATCTGATTATGCTCGACACCCGCAACTACGATCGAAGCATCACGACGCTGGGTATGCTGCTTCCATAGTGAGGTGTACTATCTCTAACCCTCCTAACAGATGGGAACGACGACTATATTCATGCCATCAGCAACGATGCTGGGAGAAGTTTGATGGGTTCGGCACAAGAGAACTGGTTTTATAAACAGCTTTCAAACTCCAGCGAGCGGGGTGCGACGTGGCGTATCATCGGTGATCAGATCATCTTCTCGCGTGTGAATATCTCGTCCTCGTTTGGTACCCTCGAAAATCCATATAACGGCGATCAATGGGATGTGAGTATCCCGTCCGTTCTTTGCCAAGCCGCCCCTGTCACTGACAACGCTCAAGGGCTACCAAGCCAACCGCAACCGAACTCTCCATCACCTCTATTCTAATAACATCGGCAACAATGTGTTTCTTGCCGGGGACAGCCATGCCAACTGGGTCAGTGATATCGTGTGGTTGGACGAGAAGCCTTATGACCAGGCCAGTGGCGAGGGTGCCATTGGCGTCGAATTCGCTGTCACGGCCATTTCATCGACCGGATACGGCAGTTCCATAGGGGAGTCCACTCGGCAGGCAAGCACACTGATCCGCGACAATCCGGAATTGTGGTGGACGGAGGGATACTACCGTGGATACGTGGAGCTCCAAATCAGTCATGAGAAAGTCAACGCCAAGTTCTGGGGTTCGCTGAGTGTGGCGACTAGAAACCCATATGAACTGAGCCTTGCGAATTTCACCGTCCAGGCGGGAGTCAATCATCTGGAGCGACCGGTTGGAGGTGGAAGAGTGGAAAGCGGCGTGCTTCGAGGTGGTGAAGCGGTGTCGACGAATTTTTCAAAAGATACGGCAACGGGAGAATGGAGTGTGCAGAATGATTTCACAAAGATGTACATTACGTACACCTCCGCGGCATAATGTCTGAGATGTATCCGTCTTTTCTTACACTCTCACCGAAGGGCAATTTCGTGGCCAGATAGGGCTGAGAGCTTTATCATGCTTGAGACATGGCTTTAATTTGAATATACTATTGTCGGGTTTCCTCTCTTCCTCTCAATAACAACGGCGCCTGTGAGATATCCCCTCTAGCCAAAGGTCCCATTGTGCGACTCATCCACATCCACCTACTCCACCTCCACTGGCTCCCCGTCCCACCGGTATTCGTCACTGCGAAAGTTATCCTGTGCCGCGTCCAACTTTTGTTTCTTCGAGACCGCATTCTTCCTCGGCCTCCCGGCCACCGCGGCCGTTCGGATAATCAAGTTGACCGGCGAATGGCCTCGGACGAACGCGTTCACCAAGTGGGATATTCGCACCGTTCCGGACGCATCGATGAGAGGGACTTCCTCCATGTAGAATTCCGAAGCGTCGATATCGCTGGGTGCGGGGACGCAGACTTTCAATGCCCGTCCCCTCCACGTCTCAAGTCCGCTCGCAACCCGACATCAGTCAACGAGAGAGGCGCCGTCGATGTTAGAGATCTTAAGGATGCTGTTCACTCCACGTCGTTGGAGCTCGTTGACGGTCCACGACTGGAGGAATCGGGCGGTTTCCGAGTACAGGTAAATGCTCGTCATCGACTCGTCGCAGGGGGGAGGGAGGACATGATTAGACAAGGTGGTATTCGACACTAAGCCCATGATGGAGTAGTAGTGACTGGTCTCTAAGGTAATGTATCGGCGTACGTCTTGGGTCTTTGGGAAGTTGAGAAACGTACCAGGTTATGGACGCTTCGTGCGGGACGGACTGCCCAATCCTAGTGATTTCTTGGTTCGTGTCATGGTGAATTAACTTGTCATGGTTTGGCTGTCCTGTATCCAAAGAGAAATTGCGGTTATCCCCAGGAATTGTGCATTGTTCATGGGTGTTGTATGAAACAGGAAATGTACTGTTTGTTTTTACGACTCGAAACAATCTTGTGAATGGATTCGAAGCGGTCGTGTGAACGTGACCAGAATATTCATCATAATGCCCATCGGGCCCCGCTAAGACAGCACTTGGGCCGCGAGAGATAATATCCTAAATTGCCATCTCCCAGCTCCTTTCACCTCAAAGACGGGGCTCGACAAGTGCACTCAGGGCAGTGGTAGCCGTCACTGAACTTGCGGGTTACACCTTGCCATCATAACCGCAGTGTTATCAGTCATCTCGATCCTTTTCCGCAAAAAGAATTTTACCCCCAGAAGATTCTGGACTGCGGACCAATGCAATTCAAATGATAGACGCCGAAACGCTGCCGAAACCAATAACGACATGCCCTGGCGGCTCATTACTCTTTCCCTCTCAACACTTCTTCGAGGATATCTCCTAACTCCTCAATTTTGTCTGAGAGCACTTCAGTCCCCGGTTTCACTTTATCAACAGCAGTTTTGCCAACATCGACGACTCGCTTAGCCACATCGACCGCGTCATCCTTCAATTTTTCTCCGGCCTTTTCCACGGGGAGTCTCCGAAAGATTCGCAAGAGGAAGAAGTACGACTGAATCACCAGGGAGTGAATTCGCGCTTTGGTCGCCATGGTCAGGCCGTGGCCAAGGAAGCTTTTGAGCAGTTCTCCTGAAACACCTTTGTAAAGGCCGGAGGGACCCTCTTCGATGATGATCTCGTATATGGCCGCGAAGACGTTGAGTCCAGGGTACGAGAGGACGCGGAGCAATTGGTTGTACCGCGTGGTCAACTCTGGCGACTTCTCTTTCTTGGGGTCGGCCCGTTTTGAGTCACGAGATAGCCCGAGCTGCGCTCGAGTCTTCGCGAGGGCGACGGGGTACGTCACCAGCGATGCGAGAGCCTTGGCAACCGCTGCGATCAGGAATGTGGCCCTGGCAGGTGGATTCTCACGTTTTGACCTCGGGACGGTTACGCGAAGCAGGAAATTGTGAAGAATGAACGTAAGAGAAGGATTGAGAGTAAGGATTAGACTGTAGGGATATCCGGCCCAGAATGCGGATAATCCCGAGTCTTGCCGTATCTGCTTTGCGGTCTGCAACGTGGACATGTTCGCAGCTATAGAATTCGAATTCTTCGTCGCTTGTTGTCGTGTGACCACGGTCTGCAGAGGGGTGGTGAAGAGGCGGGAGAAAGCCCCAGCCCCCATGCCGATGAGGAGCTGCTCGGCGACGGAGAGCCGCTTGGGGTTCGAGCTCACGCCCTGCGCTACATGCGCTCTTTGGCGGGATTGTTGGAGGAAATTGTAGGCGAGGAAGAAAAGAAACGAATCAAGGACGGTTTTCGCGGTATCTGGCAACAGACTGACATAGAACGCTGAGAAGCCTCCATCTTTGTATATTTTAACGGCCTCGGCTACAATCGAACCGTCTTCTACATCGTCCGTGTCGCCGTTGTCTCCGTCCGGGCTGGATTTCCGGCGTTTGGCTTGTAGCCTAGTAATGATGAGTTCGAGGGGGTAGATGATGACGCGAGAAAGGGCGGCACCGATGGAGCCGGAAACGGCATGGCCTAAAGCTGGAAGCGCGCCTCCAGCATCGGGAATCGAATCTATAGCCTCTTCCTCTTGTTCGAGATGGTAGAGGGTAAAGGCATCCTACAGTTGGTTAGATGGACTTTATAAGCTGAATGGGAGGGACCATACGAGCTCAGGAGTATAGTCGGTCATGGTGAGTGTAGGGATCTCTTTCTGCAATTCGTATAGCTGGCGTTACATGTTATAAAAGGACTTGGAGAGATCAGTTGGTATGCTTGATCATCAAGATGATGATGAGGCCATTTCTCGGACGATGACACTTGCAAGATGATGTCGACGATCCACTTCCCATCGGCTAGACATGTGCTTGAATGGTGGGAAGCAGGGGGTTCCTAGTAATATGAGATGGAGCGGGGTGGAAACAATCAGATGGGATCGAGACTCGCGTAAATGTGATGGCCTGGTTGTTCTACGAGGGACGGTCATTTTTCTAATATTCAGTTACATAAATAAGGAATTTTCCTCTTCCATGATGCTTGTTCTCCTTCAAAATAGGGATAGTATTTTGGAATAGCATCTACATGTCCATAGGATCAGGTGCTCCCAATCGTGACGTGAATGGACAAAGGGTGAGGTGTACATCCACTCTCCATCTTTGCCTCGAGCGTACTATTCCTATATTTACCTACCTGTTGCTGGTTCAAATTCATAAATGATGGAAGATGTGGAAGTTGTGGTGACGGGCTACGGCGTGCGGGGTTCAACCATCTCCTTGCATAAAAACACAGCTGATTGCTAGTGCCAGCCATTTCGCGACCTCCAGGAGAACGCGTCGTTCAAGATCGTCTCCGGGTTGCCCGACAGGATCGAAAGATATGGCGAGCGCATCCGGCTCAGGAAATATCAGAGCCCGATCCCGGTGGCGTATAGTGCGGTTCTCCCGCTCGTTCCGCGGCTCTACCGAATGTATCCCAAGGTGGAATACTTCGTTCATGTGGGCGTCGCCGGCGAGGACGTCGAGTATCGTGTGGAAACCCGGGCAAGAAAAGGCCCATACGAGGCCAAAGACGTCGATGGACGGTATTTCAAGCCTCCTCAGACAAAGGAGTGGGCGGAATTGCCCAAGGAGGTCCATACAAGTATCAATGTTGATCGAATTGTGAAGGCATTGCAGCATCAAAAGTAAGCAGGCTCGACGTTCGAGATGTTCACATGCTGATTCCAGTCATAGGAATCTCAAGATCTATGTATCGGACGATGCGGGCCTCTATTTGTGCGAGTTCATCTTCTACAATTCCTTGGTACATTCACAGAGGCTGAGCAGAGACGGAAGGCATGTCAAAGGCATATTTTTCCATGTCCCGTCGGGTTGCTCAGCAGACTTGATCCGTCAAGGTCAAGATTTGCTCCTGCAGGTAATCGAGGAGATGGTTAGATTGGAGCGAAGGGATAAGAAGACCGGGAAGTCTAGTGGAGCTCGACTCTGAAGTTATGGCGATTATGAAGGCGCTTTGGTTCCTTTCTAGGACCAGCATCTGTTGATATATACGTGAAATTTGAAGAAATATACCCGTGGCAGACGTTGTCAATGTGTCAATGAGTCAACGTCATCGGGATGCATGTTTTATATTCACCCCTGACTGTCAGGAGGGATGAACTAATGATCCTGTAGGCTGTAGCTAATGACCCCGCTAATAAGTAATAATTCCATCTGATCCACTGATTGGGTGGAGTGCAGTGGAATGGAGGCGCCGCTAATTCCCTTAGGTGCTGCAAGCCTTGATGATTGATCGAAAGAATTGAATAGCTGCATGTGTGGTGAACTGTGAACTGTGAACTGTGAACGACAACAATCCCCATCCCTCACGACAATCTCAGCTGGTGCAACCTGAAAGCTGTGAAGCTCCATATGCTGTCGGGTCTGGTGATGGCTTTCTATATTACCTTGCATCATTCCTCCAGCAGCAAAGTACTTGGCCCTCTTTTTTGAACTGCAGATACTTAATTCTAATGCTTGCTCCTTTCCCTGATCCCTCCTTTGTCTATCCCCACCCTATCGACCGCATCTTCTCTGACGGTGCACCTCTGCTTCAAGGACATCCATAATCGTAGCCATGGCTATCGCACATTCATTGCGTTTGTACTTTGTCGCTGTGTTGCTCCTCCTCGTGTGTATGTGATACAATTTGCGATTCCTCTTCTGATAGTCCATTTCGCTAACAAGACCGGCAGCATGGGCAGCCGGCACATCACCCTCCACCGACCTCGACCAGGAGTTAGTTGCGCGCCAAAACAATTCGACCTCCGCAGGCAACCCTTCGTCGACTTTCTACTACTCCCAAGCCCACGATGACGGGTATATCGCATTCACAGTCGCCGCGATCCAAGAGTCTGGCGACCTCTATTTCCGTCTGTCCGCCCCGGCCGTATACAGTTGGTTTGCAATCGGCACGGGAAGCCGGATGAAGGGCAGCCTGATGTTCATCATCTATTCCAGTGCCAATAAGACGGGTATGTAAACCTTGGAATGGGCAAACGTTATATTGACATTTGGGTATAGGAATCACCGTCTCACCACGACGAGCCTACGGCAATAGTGAGCCTATCTATGACAGCTCGATACAGCTCGACATCATTCACCCCGATCCAGGGCAAGCGCATGCGAACGGCATATCCGGGGACCAATATTTCCTTACGGCGCACTGTAAATCGTGCCTGCGAGTCCCCGATCCATGGATTGACTTGACGAAGAAGGACCAGAGCTGGATCTTTGCTTTAGGAGTTCCTGGATCCCGATATGCGATGAATACGGACGATAAATCCGCGCCCCTTCGCCGGCATGATTCGTTTGGTAGTTTCACCATGGACATGGTCGCTGCCTCCACGCAGAGCGACGACGACGTCGATATCCCCCCGTTAGGGACCGCGCCACAAGGGGCTCAAATGGTTGGCTCTCTGCATGAGGATTTTAACCAAGCGAGCTGGGCGCATGGTTCGATCATGTGTGTCGCTTTTCTCATTGTGTTCCCGATGGGGATTATTGCTGTGCGGATCATGGAGCGGGTGAAGCTGCACATGTGGCTGCAGGGCTTTGGTTTATTCCTCTCCCTCTGCGGAATGAGCGTTGGCATCTACTTGACCCCATTGTTCAATCGGGTAGATAAACCTTGGCCCACGATAGACGACCCGGACTGACGTGTCTTTAGAGCAAACATTTCTCAGCCCACCAAATCATCGGCGTGATAGTCATGGCTTTTCTCTTCACCCAGTTCGCCATTGGATTCCTCCATCACCGCAAATTCATGCGCACCGAACAGACCACGCCCCTCATCAAGATCCACAAGCTGGCTCTCGGTCCGGTCACCCTCCTCCTTGGCCTCGCCAACGCCGGTCTCGGCTTCGCCTTCGCGCAAAATTCCTTCTACCTCATCCCGTACATCGTCATCCTGGTGCTCGTCGCGCTCGTCTTCGCAGCCACGACGGGGTGGAAGTTCTTCCGCGGAAAACGAGGACCCAAGGGCGCCAGACCGGGTCCGTACCCCTCCGGACCACAGCCACCTCCCTATGAGACGGGCAATGGAGAGGGCCACGGACGGCCGCCCCAAGAACAGGGGATCTACGGAGGGTCGGGGGCGGGGTTGGCGGCGGGGGCTTCGCCATACGGCGGCGGTTATACCAGCTTCAACGCTACGAGAAGTGACATACAGTTGGGTAATATGCCGAGCCATGCGAGTGTACGAGAGGAAGACATGCAGCCGACTCAGCCAAGACCGATGGTTTGAACCAGGAGATAAGGCTAGCAACGGCCAACACCATGTTTTCTATTGGGTTCGAAGGGCGATATCCATTTGGGTTCTGTGAGTGTTCAAAGGAACGGAGTTGGCGTTCAGGTGGTCTGGATCATGCGTGGTCAATGATATCCTGGACAATTGTACCTATATGATGATTCACCTCTAATCGAGGTTCAGATAATGCGGCAGTGAAGGGTCATTTCCTTTCAAGTCAAGTGCCCTCCATGCGGCTGGCGAATGATGAGCTATAATTATACGTGGATGGGATCGATGAATGGTGTCAGCCAAGGGGCGCGAACATGTCCTCCATTGGGGTTCGAGAAAGATCCAAACTGCCAACCCTCAGACGACCCGTGAGTAGTCCGAGTGGACGATTGCTACGGGAGATCGATGCAAATCGCAGGAGTAATTGTCAACAGGCCGAATGATTGTACATGCTTCTACCTGGTCGCAGTGTGACAAAATTATGTGAGCCTGCCGTGAATTGCTGCAACAAGGAAGGTATTATTAGATTTACAAGTACAGGACGTTCCTGCCGATATATGTATGGAAGGGCGACTAATAACAAGAGCCGAGACTCGATTTGCTTATCTGCTGGACTCGATCATTGACCACCTCCCCTCATGTCGACGTTCCCCGTCTATTAAACTGCTTCCGACCGACTCGCTACACGAGTGCAGCACTATCCGGACGCATCAACCCTATAGCCTCTAGGGCGACAGGCCGGCAATGCAGATCATGTTGCTTAAAAGACGGCGACGGCGACGGCCATGGCAGCAACGAGGCCACCGACCTTATTGGCGGAAGCTGCGCCAGTGTATATTGGCGGAGAGGGGCCGGTGGGCTTAGGGGGAGAGGACCCGGTTGGTTTGGGAGGCTTCGCGCCTCCACTGCCGGATGGATGACCGCTAGGGCTGCCGGTGCCGGTGGGAGAGGTCCTACCGCCCGAGGAGGCACTGGAGGTCTTGGTCGGAGCCGCTGAGGAGCTTTGGGGGGCAGAAGAGCTGCTGCCGCCCTTGCCAGGGGTCTGACCCTCCTGATCAGAATAGGCATCGACGCCGCGCTGGAAAGCTTCGTTGATGCCGGCGGCGAGGGTGGCGGCAATGTCTCGGACGCTTTCCGGAACCTTGGAAGTGATGGCTTCGGTGAGTTGCTGGGCGCCGGTCTGCTGATCCTTGAGCTGTTGGTAGACGATGCCACCGGCGTCGGCGGCGACGAAATCGGGCTTCTTGGCGATGACGGCGTCAACCACGTCGTTCGCGGTGGCGGTGAGTTTTTGAACAGGCGGTTGGAGCTGAAGGGCATCGGTGAGAACAAGCTCGTCGGATTCCTTAATAGTGCTGACGCCATCCGCAATTCCGCTTAGGAGTGCGGAGGCGGCAGCTCCAACAGGGCCGATGTCGCCGGAGAAGGCTTCGACAGTGGAGCCCAGGTCAGCGGCGAGGCCGTCGATGGTAGAGATGATGCTGCTGATAGTAGCAACGTCACGATCAACGAGCGTTGGCTTGTACTGAACCCGCGAAGGGGTTGCGGCCATGGCACCCAGGGCCAAAGCGGCCACAGGAAGAGTGGTGAACTTCATCTTGATTGATATGTACTCGGATGATTAAAGGCTTGAATAGGGAGCTGTCTGAATTCACTCGCAGCTATAAACGAGTGGAAGGTGTGAACTGTGATGCAACTAGCGAGGAAATGGAGTGAACGCGATTATAAGGGGCTTAAGTTCAGGATGGACTCTAAGAAGGCGTTGAAGACATCGCACCTTTATACCACCTATCCGCTATCCAAGTAAACTGTACTTCACATGCTTGGGAGGGCGAGCTAAATCAGCATGAGATCGACACCACAGTTGGTGCCAGGAACTGTTTCTCGCCACTTGGGGGTCATGATGCATTTCAGGACCTTTGGATGGCCGGGGTGAACAGGAATATTCCCTGGACGACCGTGTCTAGCTCCAAAGTGTATGAAGGATGAGAGGGCAAGTCTCCGATAGGTGATGGGTGAATTGCCCTGTTTGCGAGATGGGACGTCGCAAACTCGCAACCGGTTCTAGCCAAACCGGAGAGATTCGAGGGCACATGTGAGCCATGAGGGCATCACGGCATGGATACTAGGCAATAGTATCAAGTCCGGGGACGGGTGCACTGCCGACGTGCTGGGGTAAACCACTGAGATGGAGAATAGCATGGACGTAGGGTAGGCTGGTAGTAGTTTTCTCAGGCACTAGGCATGAAACTGAATACCGTCATCACACCAATGAGGGTGGGATTGATGAATGCCAGCGTTACTGCTAGGCTGACTTTGTCATGGATACCTAACGGTGATGCGATATATCATTCTAAGACTGAACAGGAATGGGGTTGGGCCAGAAGAAACGCAAAAGCCAAGGAAAGACGAAGAAAACATACTAGGAAAAAAGACAACAAACGACGATCTAGGCGCCCAAAGAAGACGACGAGAAAACGTTGAAGCGGAAGGAGACCAGATGGAGCAGGATTGGCAGTGTAAGATACCAAGTGCGGCCGTTCCCGATCTCCACCAAGCGAAATGCCTTTTACCCCGGATTTACAGGGTTAAATGCGGTAAGACAATAGCGCAATGCGAGGACTGGTCACTGGGGAGAACAAGAACGGCCAGAAGAAAGGAGAATCGTCGAATTGGTGCACTTGTGTCGCATCATTGTCGAGGACGAGAGGTAAAGAGTGAGATGAGAGAACTGAGAATGTGATGCAATGGAGCGGCCGAGGCGTTTTCATGTGATGTAGCACGACTGCACAAGTGTCGGTAGGGGATTCCGGACAACGTTAATCCGGAATACAGGCTACGGCTCTTGCCCTTGCACCCTGCATTTAATGGAATCGTAGCCAGCACAGGATTGACTGGAAGATGCTGAATGTTGTATGCGCCATTGCAATTCCATCTGGTTTGCCGGTTGGGGAGAATCCATGTTGCTCGCAAATCGTTCACATCATGATTCACGGTTGTCACAAATTTGTACCCAGGTCGCAATGTGACACCAGCGATTGGCCGAATCCAAGCAAACGATCTTATCCTGTACATATCCTGAAATGATACGATGCATCGGCTTGGTGACACCATAATACCTACCGTCAGGCGTCAACGGTGTACTCCTCTGTAGTCTGTACATCCGGATTTTGAAGGACCCCACTACTCAATACTGCATTTTAAAAAGTCGTGCTCTCAGGGAAGGCAAATTGTTCTGCCTGGTGTGGTACCGCAACAAGGCCCTACGGCTCGAACACCATTGTAGTTCGTAGTACGGCGCGAAGCGTGATGGAATCCTTCATACCACCGAGAGGCGGATGGCTGACACTTGGCAGTGCTTCTGTGTTTAACCTTTCTTGGAGCCCAATGTCCGGTACCATAGTTCGTACTGGTACGTGCCGTGGATATTGGTAGTTGAAACTCATCCGGCTGGGATCTGTTCACTTACCTACGAAGTGCTAGGGAAGTGATCTTTATTCAAACCCAAAGCCAGACTCGGCGGTTCGATTCCCACGTAGCACGCACATGAAAGTGCGATAACGACACAATCAAACTTACTCAGCGGCCTTCAACACCCGTTCTCCTCGTTCTCGTAACGGGACCCTACAAAGTCAGACGAGAGAGTTTGCATGGGGCAAACCGACCTCTTTCCCCAACTGTTTCTGACTTGCATGCCTTGTAATATCTGGACATTTGATGATTAGCCCTAGCTTTCATTCAATTCCCAACGAATGGTTGTTGGCATCGATATCCAGCCTCCTGGATCAGTTCCGTTGGTGGATGGAGAGGCTTGAGGTACCTATGATGCTCAGACAACCTGCCTTCTTCGGACTTTCCAACACGCGAGAGTATTCTGTTGCGTTCCTGAAGGTACATTTATGCCGGGCACTCCAAAGAGTCTCTGAACCCATATCGAAGATGCGCTAGTCGTCATGCTAGGGGCTATCATCTAGAGTCAAATTAGAATTTTGTTCGATTTATCACAAGGAGATCCGACTGTTCTTGACCGTAGCACTTATGAAAGATGATATTGACGTGGAAGAATAATACACTTCGGGTGTGATGACCCGGGACGAAGAGTAACTATTGACAGTTGACCTGAAGTGGCCGCGAAAAAACTCTAAAATTGAGGCTCGGACGAATAAGAAGAACTCTGTCCATAGGGAACCCAGGCCTTTGATGACCCTTGAAACCTCCCAAAAGAATTAAATCGCTAATTTCATACGTGACTCGTAACGGGACGGAAAGCCGCCAATGCAATGAATAGTGCGCTTGAACACAAGAGTCTCAAAAGAAGAATCGAACAGAAACTTGAGGAGGAAGAGAAGTGAACAGCGAGGTTAAAAATACCACTGGATATCGAGCAAAAGAGGCAATTGGACAAAGGGTCGCTGTAGCCCTTCTGCAGAAGAATATTCTCACAGATCCGTACTGCAGATACGTTCGCCGCATCGACATTCCTTCGTCGGTAATGTTTGGTAGAGTCGCGTTCCCCGTGTGTAGAATAGTCGTGATTCATCGCCATGGTGTTCGGCGTGATAAAGGTTCGTTTCATGAAATTGAAAGCCAGATGAAGCTTCTCTGGCTCGGCAGATCACCGCTCTCACGCAGGCGTCATGCCGATAAAAGGCGCGAAAACGGCCGGTGGTTGCCCGTCCGTGGGGCTAGAAGTGTACGAGAAAGCCGGGGTTTGTATGGCACTTGGATAGTCAGAACCGGTCTGGATCGAATGCCATTTTCGGCTGCACTGCTTTGGCGTCCATTTCTCCATCGCACCGAATTCCGCCATCTGAAAAGAAAGAAGACTTAGAAAAAGTAAAGAAGGAAGGAATGAATCCAAACATACCTTGGCGCTGATGATCTCAAACTTGTTCCTCTCCCAGTACTCATATGCCATGCGTAAAGCATGAAGGTCCACGTCAGTCCATAACCGCATCTTTTCACGGAGTCGTTTCAACCGCATTTGTAGAGCCGGAACTTGGTACAGCTTGCCGAATTCGCTATGAAACCGAGCCGCGATGTCTTTCCATGCGAGCCCATCCTCGTCTTTGAGCTTCACAAGCAACCTATCCTCCTCGGTCATGTCTCCGGCCAGTGGGGGAGGAGTTTGCCGCTTGCGCTTCACCGGCGGGGAATCGTACTCGTCGACACTGGCTTTTCGCTTGCGTGCATGGAGCTGCTGCAGACCGTTCGGGTTGGGTGCGATATGAGCATATGCGCGACGCGGTTGTGGGTTGTAGAGTTCGGTAACGGATGAGATTGAACCCGAATGCCGATGTTCTCGGCTCATAGGAGATGATTCGCGTGACACCGGTAAGGTAAATCCAAAGGCGGATCCTTCGCCGGTTGGAAATGTTGGCACACGAGTGAGGGGAGTCTTCGAATACGGAGACTTGGAGGGGTCGCCTTGCCATACAATTTCTTCTTGACTTGGTCCGAAAGTGCTGGGGCTGCTATGGGGTCGGGCCGGTAGAAGCGATTCATACGCTCCGATCGCGTTCAACGGCTGCAGCGGCGGTTCTACGCCTTTGAAAACGTATGCAGGTGGCGCGAACTCAGCTGTCGTCGAAGTATGTGGTGGAAACATGGACATGGAGCTTGTGTAGGTGATGTGGGAATATCCATCCTGCTAAACCAATCAGCATTGTATATGGTTGTGGGGGAGCACCTTGGGTGTCACCGTAAGGCCCACTTACATCGCTGCCTACGGTTTGCAGCCCGCCACTGTACACATCCACCAAGCCTGAAACACCATATTGTAGGTCAGAGGAGTGGGAGGTAGCCAATCCTGGCGTCGGTAGGCCAGAATGCATAGCCTCCATAGTGGTGTGCGCTGAGCTGGGGAGGTAAGGACCTTCAGCCATATTGATTGACCTGTTGCAAAGTTAAGGCGTACCGAGATGAGGAACCAAGGAGCCTTGGCAATTGTCAGAGTCGGAGTTTTGAACGAAAGCCGTGATGTGATTTCCAACATAGCACAGCAACAAGTCGTGGATCGAACCGAATAATAAGTATATGTTGAATGTTTGTTGAAACACGCGATCGCGACCATTCCCCACAGAATGAAAGCCAAATTTGGAGCATGTCTGCGCAGTTTGTGACGGTTCTGAGAATAGAAACAGATCAAGACCTAATAATAGCATCGCGGTAGAGTCGGACGAATGAGCTTCGAGGTGACGATCCCAATCTGCCTTAGCTCCCGCACCGTTGCGCATCCACCAATTAATTCCCCGGCCATCAGCGGGCGCTAAGCTATATTCATATACCCCCTGGTCCGCGAACTTGTCTGAAAATGGCATCGTTGGGCGCTTGGACGTGTGATTTCTGTGCTCCTCATCGTCTTATGCAAGTCGTCGGGAGCAACCGGACCAATGGTTGACATATTTGAATATTCCCCTTCATTCTCGACGTTCTTCGGACCGGGTAGAGCATCCTCCACACAGCCTTAGCGTGAGCATTTAGAACCAAAGGTGTGCGAACTACGATCCCAGGAATGAGGAACGACGTCCGCAGCGCGCAGGGTACTAAGTTTGGGTGTCGCGGGCGCAGGCAGGGCGGAAGACTGAATCCCGCAGACAAGCCGCAACAGTTTTGACAAGGCTAGAATATTACCAATGTGCTGCTGGAAGAAATATAAACGGCCTTTGCCCCCAAACCTTGCAAGACTTCTTTCCCCCGTTTCCACCTTTATATATCGTATAGTGGATAGGCTATAGGTGAAACATGAAGGAGACATGACTTTAATAAATAGTATAGTAGGGAGCAGGTTGAGAGCGGGTTGAGACGTGACGAGTACTCTGACGTGAAGGAATAACTGTTTGTGAAAGACTAGGTAGGTAAGTGACAGCGCGGCACTCAAGATCCCCCAACCGGTTTGAATGAAACGGACTTAAGCTGGTGTCGAGGATCGTTGCTCATATTGCTTATGGAGTCTGTTCTGAGTGTTCAGTATTCACCCTTTCCTTTCACATGTCCCGCAGCTGTGACCAGAAGAACCCAAAAAAGGCCCGACCAACTCTATTCGAATTTCGATGTCTCCAGTAGGCTGTAAAGTGTAGCAGATATATACCGAGGGAGCTTAGGCTGTTTAGCATATCTCCGTGGTCCCAAAGAAGGCAAGGGTCGTGACTTGATAGCCGATCATGCATCCCCCGGGTGCCGTGGCCCGCCGGCGCACTGTAGGAGACTAAATTTAGTGATGCAGGTGGGCTATTCCGCTTGTTTACAGGGTCCACACACCACATGCAAGTGTACAATGGGGTAAACGGTAAGCCGGGATAGGTAGGTACTTTGTGCATTGGATTAAAATTGTCCATGCACTTATATGGACCATGAACTATAGATCTACACCGTAGCGGACGAGACAGATGATGGAATGAGTGAACGAAACATCGATGCAGATTGCAGCAGGTGGAGAGAGACGGTCAATCGATCACGTGCAGGGCGAGTCGTCCATCAGCAGGACTGCAGGAGTGAGCTGACATGGAGTGAGGGCATCTGCATGACTGCATCCATCCATGTCAGCATCTAGGCTAAGGCAACAAGGCCAATAGAGTCACGTGGGAAAAATGCCACTTTCCACGTGACTTGGAAGTTGGAGCCTCAACTGTAGTGAACCAGCAGGAGTCCAGGGTCTAACTGAACCACTCCACGTATAGTTATGAGGCGGCAGTCGAGTCCACAACTCTGCCTGCTAGTATTACTAAATGTGTCCTTTGGAAATTGATATAAACTCCTACCTTCTAGATTACAGGCATTCGTTATCGCTCCGTGCTTGGTAGCGTACCTCAAATCGATCGAGCTTGGTCCGACCATCGGCGCGATACAGGATTGAATGACCTGACACAATCATCTTAGACATCCCCAGCCATTCCATATCACATCATGGCTGAATACCATGTGAACTCCTTTCGGATCCTGGGAGACATCGCCCACGCATTGTCCAAGATCATCTTGATAGGGACCATCCACTGGAATCGAAGCGCTGAAGGTACCGTGTCCAGCGCAACAATCCAATGCTCCACTCGGCTCTAACAGACCAACAGGTGTTTCCTTGATCACACAACTGCTATACCTCCTCGTGTTCTGCACGCGATATCTTGACATATTTTGGACTCCGGTAAATGATGGGATGCTCATCTATCTCTTCGTCTTCAAGGTCGCCTACATCGTGTCCTCGGCATACATCGTGTTTCTGATGTGGTCGATCTTTCCACGGACGAGAGAGCGGGAAAAGGCATGGAGGTTCGGAGCTTATGGACTAGGCGCCGCCCTGATCGGCTGCGTCCCTGTCCTTATCATTTTTGAAAATATAGGGGCTTTGTCTCCTCTGGAAGTGAGTGGACTATCTGCAGGCAGCTGCACCGCACCCGTCAAGACTAACTCGCCACAGGTTCTTTGGGTGTTCAGTATCATCCTCGAGTCGTTGTGTATTCTTCCCCAACTCCTCCTCCTTCGCGAGACGACGGTACCGACTGTCATCGATTCCTTGTACCTCCTAACACTTGGCTCATACCGAGCCTTCTACATTCTGAACTGGATATATCGCGGCGCGACCGAACATGTTTTCGATCCTGTCGCCGCAATATTCGGCGTGATACAAACCGCGTTTTACGTGGATTTTGCATGGGTATACTACAGCCGGCAACGGGTCAAGCTCCGAGGAGGCGGCGTGGTCGACTCGGACGATTTCAGCCGTGGGTGGCTGGTTGGGGGTATTCTGGGTAGAAAGCACTTGGATGATAACGATGCAGATGATGGAGAGGCCGACCATGCACGACCCGCCCAGAAAAACACTCGTTGGGGCGGCCGAGGGATCTCCATTTCCGCTGATGATACCGTACGAGACATCGAAAGAGGGAGCGACGACGGCGCTCGGATGCCACTTACAGACCCAAGCGCATTTGAGGACGACAGTGATGACGAGGCGCCGCCTCCGAATGCAAAACATCGCCCGGAGAGACTGGAAGATGGTGATGAATGGCGGGATGATTAGATATGGATAGCTATTTACAATCCATCCTTTCATTTAGTCTTTCGATACCGTTGGATCCCATGCGCAGGGCGAATATTCTCCCGTGTCCAGTGACTCCATGTCTTCCGCAGACAACTGGAAGTCATACAACTTAATATTTTCCTCAATTCGAGACTTCGTTACCGACTTCGGGAGTGGCACGAACCCCATCTGGAGACTCCATCGAAGTAAGATCTGTGCCGGTGTCTTCCCGTGTTTCTTAGCCAGCTGAATAAGGACTGGCTCTTTCTCCCTCTCCATACGGACTACGGGTGAGTATGCCTATCGATGGTCAATGCTGTCCCAAGGTCAATCGTGATGATTGCTGACCTCCATTATCACCCCTCGTTTCTTGCACCACTCAACAATATCCGGTCGCGCGAGCCACGGATGGAGTTCGACTTGGTTGACACTCAACACACCGCCCTTGCCTTTTCCTTCTGCGGCCTCGGTCTGTCTGATGTACTCATCCAGCTCCTCGAGATGGTGAACTCCGTAATTAGAGACGCCGATCGAGCGCACTTTCCCAGCCTCAACAGCTTCCACGAGCGCTCGCCAAGCACCCAACCTTGCCTCTTTCCCTCCATACGGCGAGTGGATGAGGTAGAGGTCGACATAGCTCAACCCCGTCTCGACCAAAGTCTCGTCGATGCATGCCTTTGTTGTCTTGTAGCTCAAGTCCTTAGGCGGCACTTTCGAGGTAAAGAAGAGCTGTTCTCTAGGAACCTTCGACTTTAACATTCCTATCGCGGTTGGACCTTCGTTGCGGTATGCGACTGCAGAATCAACATGACGATAACCGACTCCGATAGCATGGTCGGTAACTTCTTCAGCCTCAGCGGCAGGGCTATAACTTTCAGTTATATTGGCCAGGCGTGACTTCTTCATATCTTACGTTTTGTAGACCTAAAAACATCGCGGGTGAGCATCGAGTAATATTGACGGGGATCATTGTACTCTTACTCCATATCCAAGAGCCGGGATCTCATATCCCGAGTTCATGGTATATTTCGAGCTAATGTTGAGGTTCGCCATTTTTCGACTGGCTATTCGTTTTGATTGACGAAGAATGACACTCATTCCTGGTCAAGCCAAATGGAGTATGAAGTATTACTTATATTCGGGACTGCAAGATTCATCAGGCCTGACCTCATGCTATGGCATGATAATGTACAGTACATTACGTATTTATTTCATTGCGTACATAGTAGTACGTACCCCTCACTACGTACTTGGTACGGAGGTAACGGACTTGGTACGGAGGTAACGGACTTAGCGTAATACTCATAAAACCAAGATGGGGGGGCGGGGGTCAAAGGGGCCTCCGGGGGGGAAGAAATTGAGTTACCTTTTCTTGGCATTCCCGCAACCACCACCACCATTACAGGCAGGCCCAATTCGCTCAAAAACAACATAATACCAAAAAGTATACTCTTTTCCTAATTAAGCAACTACTAGAGGCCTGTTTTGGTGAATTCTCCGCCGCGTTCTGGTTACGATCGTGGGAACTGTGCTTAGGGGAATGCCAAGAAAGGTAACTCAATTTCTTCCCCCCCCGGAGGGGGCGGTTTCTTTGTAATACCAGTAACAAAATGATGAAACTCGTTCGGAGTTAGGTTTCGTCGCTTAATTGATTTTTGTACCGTTCCTTCGACTCGTTCAGTTGTCAGAACATCCATCTAATGTCAAACCACGTCGGAATGTAGATTGAGAGGCCTTGACCCGTTGTAAACTTCCGGTTGCGACCATTGGAACGATGACTGACATCACCGTCATTCCGAATCAGCTCTTCTCCCATTGATGTTGCATTCCAAGGAACAAAGCTTTCCCTCCTCGATGTTGCATAAGGTATTTGAAAGGCGATACCGGTTGACTATACATTCATTCTCTCGGATACGATTGCGCTTGACACCAATTTTGGAGGACTTTCGGGATGCATGGCATGGAAAACAAACATGTCTATATTACTCTCGTTTGAGGCCCACTTTCCCTATATTCCGCAATCCCCACAAGCTGATGGCAACACACAGAAGGGATAGTCCAAGAGTATACCAAAATGTCGCCCGGTAACCTTCCATCAATGCCTTGTCGCCATTCTTATCCGGAAAGGAAGATTTGGCTGTCACACTCCCGGCAATCACAGCCGATGTAGCCAGTCCCACGGATTTTCCGACCTGGGCAATGGTGTTGAAAACCCCTCCAGCAAGGGCTTGCGTTTTCGACGGGAAGGCGGAAGAAATAACGAGGTTTGATATGGTAAATAGCGTATCGGCACCAACTGCATTCAAAAAGACAGCTGGAGCCACAGCTGCCCAATACGACCATGAGGGATCCTGGATGGCGAGAAGCAACGGTGTCACGCTGGAGATGGCCAACGCCACAATCACGAGCCAGTCGGCGCGTACTCGATGAACAATGAGTCCGATGAGAATGTTCGCCAACGCTCCGCCTATCGGAGCGGGAAGGAATCGCAACGAAGCCTGGCTTCCCGAGAGGTGTTGAACATACTCGAAGAAGAAAGCTAGGAGGTTCTCAATCGCGTTGAAGACGCCCCAGATGAGGAAGACGTCGATACATATAGAAGTGAAATGCTTGTTGCGCCAGAGAGAATTCGGGATAATGGCCGGACGTCCCAGACGTTCTTGGCGTGACATCCATATGATAAATGTTGGAACCAACGCCAAAGAAATGCAAAAGAGTGTGATTATGACTGGATCTCGGATGCTTGAAGCGCTTCCGGTTATTGCACTACAAATACGTCAGCCAGCATTCTCTACGGACTGGGGATGCACTCACGCAAATATGTAACTTATCAAAGCCAGAGAAGTACTGGCGATAAGAGCACCGACCCAATCAATCTCTGATTTTAGGCGGCTCCAAGTTACCGATTCATTTTCGTTTGGGGGTTTCGGCAAGGTGAAAATAGCGATGGCTACGATCGCAGTATTGAGGATGGCAGCAATGTAAAAGCACCATCGCCTAGGAGGCTTTGATCAGCTGCTGGGAACCGAAATCTCAGAGTACTGATGGTACTAGAAAGAAGGCTCTTACCATCCGATGGAGTCACTGAAGACACCACCTAAAGCCAGCCCAATAGAAAATCCTACGGGTTGACCAGCGCCCATGGAGGCGAACGAGATGTTCCGCCTTCGACCCGGGGGAAAGGTGTTCGTGATAATGCTGACGGCGGATGGCAGGCAGAATGAGATGGCAATTCCGGCCAAGGCACGAAAGCCGATCAGTTCTGGGCCATCCCGCGCCAGCCCACACGCCATGGTAAAAATGCTTTGGAGGACACAGCCTGTGAGATACATCACTCGGCTCCCAACCACGTCTGCAATGGACCCCAGGACGAGCAGAGTGCAACCGCATGTCAGTGCATACACAGAGGCAGGCCTATCTGAATAAGTCGTCGTTCGAACAGGAACTTCAATATGCTTACCAGAGCAGCAAATTCGACGGGATGGCCAAATCTTTGGCTATCATAGGCATGGCCACCGTGACGATTCCCGCCAAAAGACTCGAGATGCCGGTAATACAGGTCACGGAAGTAATCACAGCCGCTGTTACTCCTTTGGACACATCTTCCTCATTCAATGACCTCGACTCGTGGCAGTTCTCATATCGGGATGCGTTGGACGGCACATGAGCCAACGTTGTCGTGGACCTCAGAGACGGATTGGTTACCGCGCTGGAGGGATACGTTATCGGCACGAGTTCGATCGATGGCCGAGACATCCCGGAGGCCGGAGGGTTTTCAGCAATGGACGTCGTCGTAAGCATGGTTGGAATTCAAAATCGCGGATACTGGAACGATCAATTAAATGGAGGATGTCGTCGATGAGCGGATATGAGTTGTGACAAGGAATGATCATGAAAACACTACGGAAAACATTGAGAACCACTCCTAGCCATGCTGACAGAACCCCCTGATACCGATATCGATAGGAGAAAGATTTTCTCACAACTGCCGAATAGGAGGAAATTTTACTTCGAAGGTTGGCGTCGGTGTTTCGCGGCTCCTTTAATGCCGCTGACATCACCAGCTCTTGAACGTTGTTTTCGTGACTAATAAATGAATGTAGGAAGACTCATAAGGTTCAACAATTTAACAAAACATAGTCATTAAGGTAGGTTGACCTCTTCCCCTGTTGCCAGTCAATTCAAGCGCTGAGAGACTTTTACTGATGGTGACGGGCCATCAGTTCAGGGAATCTAACATAGACTCAGATCTCGTAGTAGGACGGTAATTGCAAAGCCAATCGCAGACCCGGCAAATGGATTTCTTTCTTTTACGTTGTATTAAAGGAGGGCACGGATACTCCGTGCATGGATCTGGAATCTGGGTCCATAATATTGTCCCGATTGTGGCGGGTGTCGGACCGAACAGAAGAAGGAATATCTTCCGTCCCTCGGGATGTGATCTGTCACTGCAAAGGTGGCAGGGAAGAGAAAATGATTCAGCAAAGCTGAACGCGCCATAATGTATAAGGATGAATCCGTTCGGTTCATTCAAGCTAGCAATTAAGTGATCAATCTTGGTTGAAGTTCTGATTTGATGTCTTGCGACTGAGTAAGCCGTGGTGCATCGTTAGTCTAACTCGGCACATATCTGCATCTGTTCCACGAATGATTTGATACGTCGGTTACCTAGACTGATCCCTTGTGACTATTGAGAGAACAAAATGCTCTGCAAGGTGCGACGCCGAAAAGGTTTAGCCTAAGAAGCGCCCGAGGATGAAATATGGCGTAGGCAACACTTACTTTATAGAGGCGCTCCGCTATGGTTATAGTATGGCGTTGTCGAGTACCAGTGATTCTAATGTGCCAGCCCTACGCACTCTACTGAGCCTTGTGAGAGATGACACATCAATGCGAATGCCGTTAAAACTCGCGCTGCGCCGCCTACCGATGAACGCACCGCAGTCCTTCTAAGACTTCACTTCGAGAACTCGAGTCCTTTATGGACGGTGGGTGAACTCGCATATCTGGTCGTCGTACCACCCTGGACCCATTCTTGCGATGCTACACCCCCAGGAACCGCAGGTGTTTAAAAACGGGCATCTTACCCCTCCCACGAAATGGGTGATAGCAATACAAAGCATCCTCGTCGCTCTGGCGACCTGCTTTGTCTGTTGGCGAATGTATGCGAGAATCAGTCTGAAAAAGCGCATCGCTGCAGATGACATTTTCATAGTCCTTGGTCTGGTAAGCCCAGCACCCGTCTTCAGTGGGAAAAGTAGATTCTGACGGATGGAAGGGTTTGGCCATTGGACGAGCTGTGGCAGCATCGTTGAGCTCCCAGATTGGATGGGCGTCGCGGATGGGACCCCAAGAGCAGTACCAGGTGGCCTTCTATCAGGTACGTACACCATACCTAAGCATTTCAGGAAGCAAGCTCATCGATGCAGCGGTACTTCGAACGGCGATTGTGGTACGCTCTCAGCGCAATGTTCACCCGCTTGGGAGTCCTCACATATTATCTTCGGTTATTTCCCACTGCCCTGCGAGGCCTTCGTATAGGATCATGGGTGCTCATTATTGGGACTTTCATGCAGTGTCTCCAACTTGTCTTGACACTAGCGATACTGTGCAGGTGTGTATTTCATCCCGGCGCAGTCAAAAGACACACTGACCCGATGCTTTAGTGATATTGACGACTTATATCGAGGCGCTCTGAACGAATACCACAATCCTCGTTGTAGCAATGCGCGAGAGTTCACATACTCAGGGGCACTGGTCGACGCAGTTCTCGATGCGTTGATCTACGCCCTCCCCATCCCTTATATCTGGGGGTTACGACAAATCCGTCTCGGGCAACGCGTTGGTTTGGCCATTATTTTTGGGATTGGTCTGATTGCATGCGTTTTCGCGTTGCTGCAGATCCCATTCATCATCGCGAACTATAGGACCGATGCGGAAGGACAGCAGTGGTTCGGTTCGGAAGTGAGTTTGTTCATCGCCATCGAGCTCGCCTTGGGGTTAGTCGCAAGTAGTCTCCCTGATCTACGGGGATTGATTGCCAGAAGTTGGCCGAACATGATGGGACCCTTCAGACACGCCGTGGAATCCTCTGAACCGTCCGTCGAGTCGAATCGGCGCTCGGCTGGGCAGAACGCTCCACCGACCATTGGAGGACACGTTCAGGCGAACGTTGAAGAAAGACGACGTGGAATCCCAGGAGCTGCTGCAATGGCGTCAAGGAGGAAGGTTCCGGATTGGCTTCGGAGCACTTTGGCAAGTTCCGTAATGCGAGATACGGTGGGACGGAGCCCCCAGACGACCGCCGAGGTTGCTTCTCAAGTTCGTATCGATGTTGAAGGTGCGGGGGACCACATCGATCTCGAAGAAGGACGGCAGAAACGTTCAAAAGAGCGCGTCACCGCGATATCGGAGGCTGCTGTCAACAGGATCAGTCTGTCAAGTAGCTCTAGCTCTAGTCAAAAACCAAAATGAATTCTTATGCGATATCCCATACTATACTCGCGAAACTTTCTATTCGCGCCTTAGGATGGACTGTTCGTTGCACAATGGACCATATTCGCGGATATCGAAAACGCTCGATTCCTCCGTATTACACGTCTTGTGTCTAGAGAGGCATCGTAACGGGTCTATCCGATACCGGGTATTACGTCCAGATGCAAACAGATTCATTAACAAGACAGAGTACCAGCCCCTTTGGGTTTAGCGCATATGATAATCACGTGCTTTGTGCATCATGCATGTGTTGAGCCTTCATTTTAGTAAGGAGCTCCCTTGGACCCTCACCAACATGCTCAACGTCACCGCCTTCAAACCCTTAAAAATAAGTCGGACCTGCACTCAATGACTCGACGTGGCCGGATGGTCCTTCCAAACCGGTGCATTCTCCATATCGTATGGCGCCAGCAATGTCAATATTTATCTGCAGCGGATGGGAGAACTGCAGCTGTCGACTTTCTGTAGGTCTACGGGGTCCCTTTACTTCACCAGGTCGTCGGCTCGGACAATGCCGTTGTCATCACGCGAATCGGACGGAACACCATCATTTTCTCGATTCGTGTGGCTCGAGAGAGCAACCAAACTAACCGGATAACGCATAAATACTCGGAACTTCTATTTGAGTATAAAAGGAGCTGGCAATTGCAATCGATGGTCGTGTGTACCTATGAAGGATGCACGCCCAAGTCCCAGGGAACCTTGGGGAAGAACAAAGAGTCGGTGTCCGTTCGCTCTCCCACATAATTTGCATGAGGCATTGCGTGCTCACAGTCAGTAAGCATGAAATACTTTGTTTAGTGAAGGCTCAACTGCCAGTAAATTGCACCATGGACATATATGAAGTTTGCCATCCTCCTTTGAGTCATTCCTGTACATTTTTATTTCCTCATCGTTCTCTTCGTCCAACTCATAGTACATACGTCAAATTTGAATCCTCGCTCTACATTCCGATCTACTGAAGGGGGAGAAAACAAAGGACGCACCGTCAATGGCACTGGTGGAAGCGGATATCGCGCTAAGTCGCCCAAAAGAATCCCAAGAGTACGGACAGGGAGTTCATTTGTATACATGGTATAGATGGACAATGGCTGACTGGACCAGTGAGGGAGCGGATTCCCAAAGCTATCACATCGTGCTGAGCTCCACGAGTTTGCCGAAACGATTGATCGCCAGCTCCCCATACACCGACGAAGCCCATCTCTTGGATCTCGACCGCCTAGAGCTTCCTTCCCGCGCACTGGCGCTCGCACTTCAATCCATGGAGGCAACCAGTGAGAGCTACGCGACCACCCCCTACCTCGAAGCGTTCAACTGGCCCGCCGTGTTCCAGCGCGTCCAGCAAGAGACGCTCAACGAATCCACCGCAGCTGAGAAGAACCTGTGGGATTGGTCCTTCTACGTCGTCGTGTTCCGCTCCATCATTTCCCCCACTGTCGACCGCGACCTCATGTTCCTCCTCGACAAAGAGTCCCATCGCGAAGCCTCGGAGAGCGGCGGGTTGCTCAAGTATTGGTACGGGAGCCCGAATGCCGAGTCGCGGAACCTGGCTACCTGCTTGTGGAGGAGCGCGGAGGATGCGAGGGAGGGAGGGAAAGGCCCGTTGCATCGGATGGCGCGGGCGGAGGCGAAGAACTTCTATAAGACGATCACATTCGAGACGTGGAAGCTGGACGTGAAGAGGGCAGGGGAGGAGTGGAGCTTGGAGAAAATCAGCTGATGAGTGGATGGATACGGCGTTCGCTGATATCATGGGTCTTCCAACGCACCTAGATTTGTAATACCTAGTTACCTAAGTTAGCACGAGCATAGCATGAGCATAGCATGGATATAGCGGGCGCTAATGGGCGCACCGGACTAAAATTGAATCCCTATTCCGGGAACGATATCTATTCACATTCGAATCGAATGAAACCTGACCAGTCCGAATGCATGAACAACTGGCTTCATTAATCATTCACAGGGAACTTTCATTTAGGATGGGACCCCGAAAGGTTCTATCATACGAAATGCTTCTAGGTTGGCCCAGGAAACATGACTGAATCTAGCCTTCGCTCAATATCTGTGAGAGCTTTGGACATTGTTGCTCGCGAAATATGCGCATGGAGCTACGACTCAGGAAACCCCATCCACAGTCCAAGCCTTCACCGTAGCATCGCCGCCCGTACTAAGGACCTTGCTCGTCCCCTCAACCCACGCCACCCCATTGACCCCATCCTTATGCGCATTCAACGCCTTGATCCTCTTCCCCGGGTCCTGCAAACTCCAGACCATGACATTAGTATCGAGACTCCCGCTCACAGCACAGCTACTATCCGAATTCCAAGCAATCGACGTGATCCGCGCGGTATGCGCGCTCCACCGGTCCGTCTTCACCGACCAGTTGCTCGTGTCATACACCATGATCTTCCCGCCCGTCGTCCCCGCGGCAAGGAGGGATCCGGAGGGAGAGAACGAGAGGGTGGAGATGGGGGCGGTGGGCTTCCGCGGTTCGGCGGAGATGGGGGTCAGGTCCGTCGACGCGAGAGTGTAGAGTCGAAGGGACTTGTCGTCCGCGCCGATGGCGATGGTGGAGGCGTGGGCGGCGAGGGCGGTGGGGGTGAACGGGACGGAATGCGAGGCGATCTTCTGGCCGGAAGAGTAGAGATCCAGGGAATCGGAGGTGGCGACGAGGACGATCGGCCCTGATGGCGCGGCGATGGTGACGCTTAGTGCTTTGGGTTGCGATCCGAGAGACGACGTGCTGCCGGTGAATGTTTTGGCGGATATGGAACGAAGGGTGTCGTCCCAGCTAGCGACGTAGATCGATCCCGGCTCCTTAGATGCGTCTAGCGGTACCGCCGACATCCCGGCAATATAGTTACTCGGTCCATTGCCGTCGATCTTCTCCGCCAGGCCTGTCGCGATGTCCCATGCACGCACGCGACCGTCGAAACTTCCGGTGTAGAAGGTTTGGTCGCTGAGGACCGATGAGGTGATGTTCTTCTGGTGGCCCGTCACCACCTTCGACGGCTTGGGATTACCTTCCACGAGGTAGTTGAGGTTCCCATCCAAGTCACAGCTAATAATCAGACCGTCACTGCGCCCATGCGGCCAAGCGACTCCGACCTGCTGGTCGGGCACGTTCGGAATGCCTTCCTCGCCCATTCGCCAGGTTTGGACCGCTTTTCCTGCTTCGACGTCCCATATTCGGATGGTTTGATCGGCGCTAGCGGTAACCAACCTCTTGGAGTCTTGCGCCCACGAAACAGCAAAAATACTTCCAGTGTGGACCCCCTCTCCGATCTGGGTCTTCGATTCGCCGGACTTGCCGTCATAAAGCCATATGCGACGGTCTGCGCCGACGGTGACGATATTGGCACCGTCAGGACTGAATCCGCAGCCTAAGACGAACTTGTTGTGCTGGTTCCGCAAGCTGGTCTGGAACTTGAACGGTGCGCCATGATAAAACACTAGATTGGTATCGTCGCTGCCCGTCATTGCGCGGAGCGGTCGCTGTTGTCGAATCGAGACGGAATTGATCGAGGATGAATGGCCGGAGATCTCGCCCACGCTGTTTCCGCTGTCTGCAGTGATGCAATGACCGTATCGCTCCTTGCCATTCCCGACGGCGATAATCCGCTGGGAATCGCCATCCCATGCGATGTCGTTGATCGGGCCGGCGATGATATGATACTCCCCTGGATGACGTTAACAGGAGGTTCAGTGCTGCAGAACGGAAACAACCTTTGGTAGCCCCCTCGCCAACACAGTCCCACACCCTTACGGTGCCGGACACATCGCCGCTGGCAACATAAAAGCCCGAAGGCGCAAACCGGGCGACGGTCGTTTGCGCAACGTGCGAGGTATATTGCTTGCTGACGCCAGGATTGTCGATGTTCCTGACGAATACCGATTTACCCGACTGCTCCGTTGTTATTCGACCGGTGACTTATAATAGAGCGCAACAAACGTACAGCATATGCTAGCCGTTCTCCTTTGGAATCGGTGGAGAGTTGAGTGGGCTGGCCTCGAGTGGTGGTGGGTGCGGCGGCCCAGATTGACTCTGCAGACGTGTAAGTGCCTATATGTAGCAATGGATGGAAGCACTTACCTGAGACTATGGACATAATGCCGATCTCGAATTCCTCGGCGCGATCAATGCTAAGAAGGGAAGTCGTTACGCTTAGTCGGCGATGTTAGAACGACTGAACGAGGGAGCTGATTTGCCGGCGATCGATCACTACAAAGTGCACATCCAACCATGTGATATTCAAGTCCAGGCACGTGTTTCCCACTCAGGATAGACACAAGCGTTGTGATATGGATAACGGAAGGACATGGACGGCGAAGTAAGTAATTAAGGTAAACAATCCATCAATGTGGTGTGCCTAGTCTTTGTGCGGTCATCGTCCCTGTCATCGTCCCCGCCATTTAGCGTCCAGGCCCCTGACGGAAGTCGTCACCGTTGGTTGACTGTTCACAGTTGTGATTCCCCTCATTCTCTCTTTCGGACGTCCCTTGATGCTTGACTTACTCTTTCTTCCTCCTTATTTATCTCCTAGACCATCCAAATGCACCTTTTGGCCTGCCCATGCTGCAAGTGAGCAATCCAGTGGTCTCCCCGGCATGCGATCAACAACCCAACGCGTCCACGACTCCATCGCGTCGACAACCACATCAGGCAATCCCAACACGGATTCTCCACTAGCGCAATGGAAGACGATGATTGCAATTACGTTTGGGTAGAGGATGCATATTTCGATGCAGTGAGTAGCATTCTATTTCTCCCAATTTCTTCCCCTGGCGAACCGCATGTCATGCGCCTGTCCATCATCAAGCTGACAGGGAATGAATCGCAACAGGACGACTTGGCCGAGCATGCGATCGCATCTCCGGTGCCATACGATGGCTATGATTCCTGGGATGAATTAGATCGCTTCGAATACTTCGTCGACATCGAGTACGACACCGACGGGTATCACGACACGCCCTCCCAGAAATCGAAGAGCGCGACGACCCGGCCGAAGAGGAAAGCGGCTGAGGCGGGTCTGTCTGCGCAGAAAAGGCGGAAGGGTCGCGATGGGAGTATACAGGCATCCGTGGACGAATCCGGTCCACGAATCGCGCCGATTTGCTGGGTATCACAGAGGGAACAACTGGCATTGCCGGACATTCGCCGGTTTTCAGAAGAGGAGTCCGCCCCGTTCGCACTGTTGAAGGACTATCGGGTCCGTTTCAAGCACGTTGATGGATTCAAGATCCAACTGCCTCCATCCGATCCGCTCCAGGAGAATGTGACGCCGGTTGTCGCTAGGCCTGGAGGACAGGACGATATACATGCGGTAGCCGGGGAGGATGACTCCGGAGATGAGGATGGGGAAGAGAGAGAGGAGGAGGAGGACGATGATGATGATGAGGAAGGCATACGCGGAACCGCCATCGACCAGGAATCCTTGAAGGCAGCACTATCCCAGAACCTCTCCCGGTTGAACGTCGGCGCTAACCAGGACGACCAACAAATGCTCCTGGAACTGGCCACGCGGATGCTGAATGGCGAAGCATCGAGCGAGGAGTTGGCCGGCGAGCTGGCCACGACCCTGCTCGGCGACGGCACGCAATCTGAAAAGGAAGGTGCGGCTACCGGACTTTCGGAGTGGATCCAGCAACAGATCGGGCCGAAAGCGATGGAAGGCGAGGAGGATGAGGATATGGAGGGAGTCGAAGAGAGTGGGCCGGAAGATGCTGTACGTGCTAGACCTTCACCACCTACACGCGGGGAGAAATCTACGACAGAGGAAGAACGGGAGGAGCACAATACACGTCTAGCCCCTGGAGAGACGCGGGCAGGAGTGACACCATCAGCGATTGGGACACGAAAACGCAAGGCGGTTGACAGCTACCCCTCTGATTCTGTTCAGCAGGACCCGACTTCTCGCCACGAAACCGATACGAATGTCCCGGCAAAGAAGAAGACGAGAACCTATAATGCCCCGACCGTGGCGAGCCAGTCGAAAATGATGTCGAAGAGTGAGGCGGTACGATCAGCTGCGGTTCCAAAAGGAAACCCGAGGGGCAAAGCTTAGGACGCCTGTTCGAGATACCTACGTGAAAGAAGCTTGTCAGTTGTGAATAGCGAGCAGCTTGGCGTGTACGGATAATCAATATTGATCCCAGTAGACAAAAGTCATTTCCGTATGTGAGACTGGGTCTCCTTCCCATTTGAAGCTATAGCAGCCGCTGTTGTACAAACAATGAATTCGAGATGCCAGATATGCTATCAATTAAACCAATGAACATGTATGTCCCGCCTCTTTCCGCAGTCGGCGTTACTTGCTGCCTCCACCCACACTACTCCCGGCGCTCGGTCTGCCAGATATATGAGTCGGATCTGCTCCTTTCAACAATCTCTCGTTTTCATTCGCGTCATCCTCGTCTTCCTCCGTCATCTGGATGCCCATCTCATCCCGATCGTGCGCCTGTTCGGCCCGCGCCGCCTCCGCCCGCTCCGCCTCCGCGGACGAACGCGCGCCGGGGTCCTTCCTCTCCTTGATGAAGGAATCAATAATCCAATACTGCATCACGTTCATCACGGTGGGGAAGATCAGCATGACGAACGTGATCTGCAGCGCGGCGCTGCCTTCGGTCCAGCGGAGGGCCCAGTCGCCGACCCAGGCGATCCAGGGGCAGAGGAGGAAGATGCCGAGGACGCAAAGCTTCATGCCGAGGAGGCCGAGGAAGTAGATGAGGCATTGCTTGAGCCACCAGGTCGTGCGCGGCTGGGGGTTGGGGTTGGAGCGGTTTGGAAGGGGGGAGTAGACGCCGGATTCGATGGAGATCAGTGGTCGGGCGAGAGGCGTCAGGGAGAAGGCGTAGTGGAAGACCTTCAGCCATAGAAGAAGGATAGGGATGCCGATGGTCGTCTGATTGAAGTTAGCATCTCGTCGCGTCGACCAATGAAGCAAAACTCACGTCAATCCCAAGGTTGAGGAGGTAGTATGAGCATGGATTCGGCGCGTCGCCGCTCCCATCATATTGCGCAAACCCATCGTCTCTCCGCATCAACCGCGGCGTGATGTCGGGCCCTGGCGTCGCCGCCGCAGTGGCCGCGTCCTTGATATCGAACTTGCCTGAGCTCAACATGCTCATCAGCACGTTGAGGACGTGCAGCATCATCGAGCCTACCACCTGCTTCGACGCGTCGAACGCCCAGATCTTCAACGGGCGTCGTGGCGTCTCCCGCCATCGTTTGTAGACTAACGAGGTAAGCGCCAGAAGGCCCAGGGAGCTTTGAACCAGAAGGGAGAAGTCGCCGAGAAGGTCACATTCGTGGTCGCCTGGTCTACCAGGGCCATGCGATCCGGGAAGAGAGGCATCCGACGAGGGAATCGCTATTCCTGTCGTCGTCGACGCGGTATCCGGTGATATCGAAGTCGCGGGGTCGGTGGACGTCGGGGTCGGCGACGGCGATTCACTTTGCGGAGGTTCCACCCCGTCGATCGACACCAGTACCGTGTCGAAGACCAGCGTGCTCCCTCCCGGTATCGCACCCACGGCTCGATCACCATACGCCATGGACGGGGGAATCGTCAGCCGTCGTCCCTCGCCGATACACATTCCCACGAGCCCTTCGTCCCATCCTTGGATGACCTGCCCTTGACCGAGCCGGAATCCGAAGGGCGTGCCGCGTTCGTAGCTGCTATCGAACTGCACTTTGGTGCCCCATATCGTCCCCCGATAGTGTACTTCGATCTGATCGCCCAGGACGGTCGGTCGGGAGCAGGTGATTCGGTCGGTAACATCGATTTCGAGGCCCGAGGCGAGTTTCTCGGCGTGGAGAAGGGGAGCGCTGAGGATCGCGAGAAGGGAATATGAAGGGAAGAGCCGCATGGCGGCGAGAAGTCCCCGCGTGGAACAGAAAGGATGGGCGTTGGCGATACGGCCACGGTGCTTGTTCGGTGGACTGGTTGTGTGGTGTGTCGGACGTCAGGGCGAAGGGGGAAAGTGGCGATACAAGAGCAAGGCCCGCCGGCGGGAAGTGTCAGACATACATTCAGGCCAGCAGTCCTTCTGAAGCGGGAAGACACTGGGAAGTACTCCGTAGGTAGGTAAAATCTAGCGACGTGAAAATGTATTGAATTGAATAAATATCGGGTACCGTATGGATGGACACAACCGAAGAATATCTTTGTCTTTATTGTCTGGTCAGTCTGGTGAGAAGAACTGGGCCCTGGGGGGCTGAAGGCTCCAGTATTCCTCCACATGAACCAGGCAACCAGCGCCTGTTTTGCATGCACCGTCTGATCACGGATGACGTCCGTGCATGTTACACTTCGGTATTAAACTATTGATGTATTATTTATTAATAGCCCTGCTTTCGTTGAGTGCGTGGTTCATACAGCACAGCCGATTCATAACTCATATTACAGGTTGGGTATCTGCCAATCCATCGGTAGCAATGGAATAATTCACCAATAGTCCTCCGTCGGATTTGATGGCACTCGTGCCAGTCATCAGATAACTCGCCCAAACACCATACCCGGTGCTCAACCCTCCCGACAGAATCGATCCAGGAAGATATCAATAACCTGTTATGAATACACCGATTAGCAACTAGCAGGACACCATAAAACATAAGAATTCCTACCTTTGCCCTCGTCTCTACGATGGTTATCTCCGTTTGCATTCGCTTCTGCACTTTGAGCCGCAGCCGCTTGGATTCCATCTTGATCACCACGCAACCGCTCAAAATACTGCTTGACATCCTCCGCACTCACAGCCTGGCCGCTCTCGGCGAACGGCTGCAGGAATGATTTGACCTGCTCCTTGAGTTTGTTGTACACCATGACGCCCTCTGCCGGGTGTTAGTCAAATGCTGCATACACCAGCTGAAGACCCGATGGAAACTCACCAATCGCTCTGACCCGATCAACGTTACTCAATGCAGCCTCGCCCATGTCGAGCATGCTTCGAGTCCCCGCACTTTGCCCACCGTCTTCATGTTCACCATCTTCGGAAATGGGAGGTTCGTACGTATCTTCCTCCTCCAACAGCCATGGATGCTTCGCCAATAAAGGAAAGCACCGCGGGCACTTGCACCATCGTTCCCGGAAATCGGCTTGTAGGAAAAGGGACACCTTCCCAGATGGTGCGGGAGGAAGGCTGTTTATTCTGCAAGGGTGGGAATCGGTTTTGTTGTCTTGTTGAATGTCCGCTTCAGCCACTGCGTCACTCCCGTTGGTCTCACTCTTGTCGTTCTCATCCTTGTCCACCGACCTAAACCGCTTGGAGGCGGTTCCAGTTTCGTCTCCATCATAATCATGTGCTTTTCGCTTCTGGGCCGATCCCTGAGATGATGGTTGACCATTTGCTGAAGACTCTTGATCGCCTTCTTTGAATTTAACTGCAGAACCCCTGAAGTAAACGGCCGGGAGAAAGCCTGGAGAACCCGCATACTGTTTGACCCAGGGGTTTGACTCGACACATTTGTAGCAAATGAACGATTCGAAATCTTCTTCTGCGGGGAAGCCCGGTGGTAGTGGGGGTTCCTCCTCATTGACTGTAGCACCATCCACCCGCCCTTCAGGGGCCGGTGCATTTCCTTCTGTAGTAGGCGCTAAGAGCTTATCTTGCTGCTCTTTATGTGTTTCCGCCCAGTTTCGAGGTAGCCCAACCAGACATTCCGGGTGCCACCAATCCTCCCCACATCCGCCAGACGCCTCGGATCCCAGGCCCAGACACTGGAACATGGTCCCTTTCTCTTGATGTGGGTCATATTCTTCGCCGCAGCCGCAGAACTGGTTCCGAAAATTGCGGTTATACGAGTTGCCTTCGCGCGGTGGCTCCGAGCGCACGTCTCCTTTCGTCCCGGTCACCGGATTGATTCGCAGCGTACAAGGTGTGGACTCGGGTAAGCGAGACGTTCCGCAGTCACAGACGAAGTCGCGCTTATTGAACAATTCGACGAGGGTGTGGTCGCCATGACACGATATCGAGCAGGAATAGCAGACTCCGGCCGCATTGTATGGATCGGATGAAGAAGACGGAGGAGGATTGCATGTCAAGCAGGAGAAGACGAGCTGTCGCAACGGGCCCAATGGTTTGGTGCAGGTATCGAACTGATAAGGCAACGCCTCACGTGCCTCTTCTTCGAGTTGCAGCTGGCTATTGATGAATCTTGACTGATTGTTAGCCAAAGAACAGACCAAAGCTATGGATTTGAACATACTCTTGAGCAGTTTGCGAGCTCTCCGACACCTGGGAGAAGCTATTCTGTCGTTCCCTCAATTGATGGGCGGCGACTGAGCCGGATGTTGCCATGGCGCACGAGTGGCGGAAAGCTTCAGCAAACAGTTCCAGGTGAATCCGGTGAGTCCAGTGAGTTTAGTGAATCGGTGAATCCAGTGAATCTAGTGTAAATCGGATATAGACGAGTTGAATGAATCGCAGTTTGTTGATGCACTCGAAATTCAGTTGGAGACTGGAAGCTGATGCAGTTGGATACTTGGATAAAGTGCTCATATCACGTGGTTGCATTCAGGGATAACGCGTGTTAGGCGCGTCTCGCGAAACCCAAGGAAAGCGCGAATGAAACGCGAGGAAGTCACTTTAGAGTTTTGAAGTCACTTTAGCCTTCGCGAAGAGCGGCCCCCTCTATTTGGGATTTTGCTTGAACACTCCACCTCATCCCTTAACTCTTATCGTCAACAAACTAAAACGGTCGATACTGAACCATTAAAACCCCTTGTTGATGAATCAAGTTCAATGAGGTATAATAGGAAGTTTTAGGGTCATTCGAAACCATAGCTAACAATGTTTAAGCTCCCCTTTACGGCCAAACATGTCCTCGGCGAACCGTGGCCTGTCTCCATCGGCCGCTCGAGGGAAACGGGCCCGCGAGGATGACGATAATATGATGTCTTCTCCGGGACTTCCACCGTCAAGTCGTAAGTGGTTTGAACCCTCGGATGTGATATAGCTGACCGTGTAGCCCCTGCATCATCCCCACCAATGCTCCCGGCCGACGATGACGATGATAATCTGATTGATGACGATGAAGATCTCATCGGCGACATTGACGACATGGATGAGATGGCCGAGGATGAGGCGGGTATCGATCTGTTTGCGGACACCTTCGAGCGCGACTACCGCACCCGTCGAGACGACGAAGCGTACAATGCCAAAGATATCGACGACCTGGGCGACTACGGCGATATGGACCTCGGCGCCCGTCGACAACTGGAAGCGCGTTTGAATCGGCGCGACAGAGAGCTAGCCCGCTCCCGGAACATCCCAGCCGGCTTCCTCGACCATGAGGAAGGCGATGCCATATTTGACCCGGCTCGGGGACCTAGAAGACGGCGCCACCGCTATGACGAAGACGAAGATGATGTGGATATGGGCGAAGATATCATGAATGAAGAGCTGACCCTCGAGGCTCTTCAAGACGTAAAGGCTGCAAGCGTCACCGATTGGGTGGCTCAACCTGCCGTACACCGCACGATTGCCCGAGAGTTCAAGTCGTTCTTGACCGAATACACCGACGAAACCGGGAGCTCAGTATACGGCACCCGCATTCGGACACTCGGTGAAGTCAACGCCGAGTCCCTGGAGGTCTCTTTCGACCACTTGGCGGAATCCAAGGCGACTCTTGCATATTTCCTTGCCAACACCCCGGCTGAAATCCTGAAGATCTTCGATCAGGTGGCCATGGACGTCACGCTTCTGCATTATCCCGACTACGAGCGGATTCACACGGAAATTCACGTTCGAATCACGGACTTGCCGGTGCGATATACCCTTCGTCAACTGCGTCAAACGCACCTAAACTGCCTAGTCCGTGTCAGCGGCGTGGTGACCCGTCGCAGTGGAGTGTTCCCACAGCTGAAATACATCAAGTTCGACTGTGTCAACTGCGGTGCGGTGTTAGGCCCCTTCCCGCAAGAATCCAATATCGAAGTGAAGATCTCCTTTTGTCAATACTGCCAAAAGAGAGGGCCCTTCACTCTGAACTCGGAGAAGACCGTGTATCGGAACTATCAGAAACTGACTCTCCAGGAGTCTCCTGGGACTGTCCCGGCCGGTCGGCTGCCTCGACACCGCGAGATCATCCTCCTCTGGGACTTAATTGATAGTGCCAAACCTGGAGAGGAAATCGAGGTCACCGGCACCTATCGGAACAACTACGATGCCTCGCTGAACAACAAAAACGGGTTCCCTGTCTTCGCAACGATTTTGGAAGCCAATCACGTCGTGAAGTCGCACGACCAGCTCGCAGGATTCCGATTGACGGAAGAAGATGAGCGGCAAATTCGCGCCTTGTCCAAAGACCCGAATATCATCGACAAGCTCATCAATTCCATTGCACCCAGCATCTACGGGCACACGGACATCAAGACCGCCGTGGCTCTCAGTCTGTTTGGTGGGGTCAGCAAGGAAGCCCAGGGAAAACATATCATTCGAGGTGACATCAACGTGCTTCTCTTGGGCGATCCGGGGACCGCGAAGTCGCAGGTGCTGAAATATGTCGAGAAGACCGCACATCGAGCCGTCTTCGCTACGGGCCAAGGAGCCTCCGCAGTGGGTTTGACGGCTTCGGTACGACGCGATCCCCTGACCTCCGAATGGACGCTCGAGGGTGGCGCCTTGGTTCTAGCGGACAAGGGCACCTGCCTGATCGACGAGTTCGACAAGATGAACGACCAAGATCGGACCAGTATCCACGAGGCGATGGAGCAGCAGACCATCTCCATCAGCAAAGCTGGCATCGTCACGACCCTGCAAGCGCGGTGCGCAATCGTCGCTGCCGCCAATCCAATCGGAGGTCGCTACAACAGCACCATTCCTTTCAGCCAGAACGTCGAGCTGACAGAGCCCATCCTGAGTCGTTTCGATATCCTCTGCGTGGTGCGGGACACCGTCGAGCCCGAGGAGGACGAGCGACTGGCGAATTTCGTGGTGAACAGCCATGGACGCGCACATGCCTCCATGACGAACCCCGACGGCATGGACGTGGAATCCCCCCCCGCGCACACCGAAGGACAGATACCGCAGGAACTGTTGCGGAAATACATCCTCTACGCCCGGGAAAGGTGCCGGCCGAAGTTGTACCAGATCGACCGGGACAAGATCGCCCGACTGTTCGCTGACATGCGACGCGAGTCCCTGGCGACAGGAGCATATCCCATCACCGTAAGTCTCAGTCATTTTCCTTCAATTATATCGTGCTAAGTAAACTCGATAGATCCGGCATTTGGAAGCGATCATGCGAACCTGCGAAGCGTTCTGCAAGATGCGGCTGTCGGAGTACTGCAACTCGCACGACATGGACCGCGCCATCGCCGTCGCCGTCGACAGCTTCGTCAACTCGCAGAAAGTCAGCTGCAAGCGCGCGTTGGCGCGGGCGTTTGCGAAGTATACCTTAAAACCCAACTCGCAACACCAGCCCCAGCGGTCCGGTGTCACGGCTAGTGCATAATCGCGGAAAGATGATGTGAACATATGGGGAACTACCTTTTCAGGCGCGGCGAAGCCTTGGGTATATTGTGCTATGAACGTTACCACGATGCTGGCGTTATGGTTGCAATTCGGTGTCAGGCGGGTTGAATGTAGGATCGCCCAGTGATGTCAGGAAGGTTACTTCAGAATTCATATAATCAACAGGCGATGAAAGGTAGACGTCCTTTGCCGCAAGCAAGCCAAACATCTGATTTTGCTGCGCGCGTCCTAGTGTTACCAAGTGTGATGATACGCCGAGGATCCGACGATGCTCCTGGATACGCTGCAACCTCTCCAATGGGAATATATACGGGAGCCCAAGCTCCATCTCCTCCGCGTGACTGATTTTGACGTCCCCCGCCCCAACGGAATTGGCCCATGCTCTGAAATTCAACCCCAGTACGGCCGAAAGCCCGAAAATCCCGTGCCTATCGCCGCCAACGGATCGCTCGTCGACTCTTCTTTCTTCCGCTGGCCGGAAAGCTATCATCGTCAGTCAGAGTTCAACACTTGCGATTTCGATGTCCACTTACTTCCATGGTGATCTGTCGATGCAGGTGAACCAGCCAGTCCACATAGTTCTGCGCCTCGTTGTTCCGGTCCTCGTACAGCAGCCGCGCGTACTCGTATTCCGCGCCGTCCAGCCCCTGTCGCGCGAGCTGCAGCGTCAACGCCTTGGACCCGCGCGTCGTCTCCAGGTACTGCAGGATGTTGCGCACCTGCGCGTTGAGGTGGGTATCCAGGACCGGCAGGGCAGCAAGGAACGCGTCCAGCGATTTGAGTGTGGTATTTCCCGGTCCGAACAGGTCTTCGAGGAGGTTCGGGGATACCTGCGCGTGCAGCCAGAGGAGGCAAATTTGGCCATTGTCGACGATGTAGACGCCGCCCTCTTCGACGCGGGAGAAGCTCGCGCGTACGGTGGCGGGCATGCGGAGGTGGCCGTTTTCGTTGGGGAAGCCGTCTTTCTCGTCGAGGTCGTGGAGGGAGATGACGCGGGGGTACAGGTACAGGGACATCTCCATGGCGCCCATCTGCTTCAGCAATTTCAGATCGTGAACGCGACGATCGGTGGGTTCGCGTCCGCCTTTCAGAGCGCGAGACTTGATCAGGCCGAGCATGTACATGCTGAACTCTTTCATCAGTTCGGGCAGGATCAATTGGCCGGGTGGATGGGATCCCGAGGATAGCTTTCGGTAGCTCGCCAGGATATCGACGGTCTTCTCGTTCAACGCGCTTCGAACGTCCTTGAGCGACTTCTCGGGTACTCGTGAGGCGGCCTCCTTGGCGATCACGTCCACGACGGCTTCTTGATCGACGAGCTTCATCGCCTCGATCGACCCCTCTGACACGCTCGCGACAATGTTGCTGCATCGTACCCGTCGCTGGCCGCTGGCCGTCGTATAAAGCAACGCGCTTTGGAAATGCGCATCGAGTTTCGGGTCCAGCTTGCCGTCGTAGCTGAACATGACGGCGAGCGCCTTATCCGAGTCGATGGCGCCGAACTCTAGATCCGCTCCGAACGTATGGTGGGTGAAATTGCCATGGTACGCGGATACTTGCAAGCCGTTCGAACAGCGAACTTTCATGAGGGCTTGGTATCCGGTTTCCCGTGTCACGGTATGTTTGATCTCCCGTGCCAATCGAAGGGAATCGCGAGGGGCATGGAAGTTGGGATAGTAGTAGATTTCACCTCCGGATTTCGACGAGACGAGACCTACGATGCGTTAAAAAAGGCCAAAGCCCAAAGCCTCCAAGACTTACCTAAAGTCGCGATATCAAGAAAGCCGCCACTGGGAGCCGCCATGAAGAAATCCACTCCGATGCCATGTTCCACCATTTTCGTGGCCGCTTTCGTCCACAGAGGATGCTCGGTGGTGAGCAGCTTCTTCTCTGCATCGGTCCCGTGCATCTTGGTATCATCGCGGAAAAAGAGCCGTCCTGGTCCCCATGTTGGCAGCTCGCCTATTGAGCAAACAATCTTCCCTCCAGTCGTAGATAACGCTTCCAGTGCGGCATTGAGTGTCGAGAGCAGCGCCGGTTCGGGGTTCTTGAGCCCGGAGAACATGTTCGGCAACTGCGTAAGCAATGCGGTGATGACGGTCCGCGACTCCTCGGGATCGACGAACATGCCTTCACTAAACGGAACGAACGGGTCCTCAATATCGGTCATGACCATCATTTGCGCCTTTTCCAACCCCGCGCTCAAATTATAGAAATGAATCTCCTTGTCGAACGTGACGATGCCAATTTGTGACCCCGGTGGCAGCCGTCCAGCCTCCTCATTGTCATTGTCCGAGTCAAATGGGCCGTATAGGGCGCTCATGATTCCCTCGCAGAAAGCATCCACGAACCCCTTGTTCACCGACTCTTCACACACATCGATCAAAAACAGCCATCGTAATGGCACCGGCTCCTTCCCCCAGTATTCCTTCGGAACCATAAACTCGACCGTTCCCAGCATTAGCTCCGGCCGTTGCGGTCGATCGACCCGTACACCGGAGGGGTCGGTCGGCGAGAAATATTCTGGCGGAACGTCATTCGGGAATGTACACATGTTGCACACGAACTTGCTCCCTCCTGAAAGGAAGGTCATGAAAGGATTGATGTAAGCTCGACATCGTCGACAGCGGGGAGGGCCCATGTCGCCGAAATCCAACACCGGTATGGGTTGCTCTCCATCTTGCAACCGCGCCAATGGTTGCACTATGAGGCCGAGAGGAAGGCTGGTAGCCGCAAGCGCTTCTTGTGTCGAGGGGATGCAATTGAGCGTCAATCGGGTGAATTTCGGCGAGGCATTGCCTTGATCGAAGGCAATGTACGGGACCGCCGCAGGAGGTGGTAAATGTCGCTCCACAGTCGCATACGCATGGTCCAGATAGTATTGGGTTGCAAAGTCCCGGGCTCGAGGGACGCTTGGGATCTGCTCCGGATCGACTCGTCCCTGCGCGGATGTGACGGCACTGCCTTGGAGAGGGGTATTGCTCCGCGCGGCATGCTGCGGTGCCGTCGCTTGGTCTTGAGGGGTGAATATCGGGTTCGCAGCGGCAGGGAATTGGTTCATCGCAGGAGTGATCTGTTGGTTAAGATATTGAGAGGGCGCAACCTGCCCTTGGGGCATCCCATTGAACGCTTGCGAGCTGCCTCCCGGCGTCTCGATATTGTGGTAGGCATGCCGATCTCGCTTTTTATGTGTCCTTGCCGGAGCCGCGCCTTCGGTCCCTAAACCGACGTGGCTCATCTGTTGTGTCAATCCCTCCATTCCGGCGGGTGGTGCGGCTCCTGGCGTTGATCCTGGTGGCGCGAAGTATCCCTGCTCCTGGTATGGCGGGTTCCCAGCTTGCGTTCCCGGCTGTGTGTGGGCGACAGAAGGGTCATATTGTTGCTGTTGCGGAGGAGCGCTCTGATATGAACCTGATTGATGATACCCCGAGGGTGCTGGTGCAATTGGCGGTCGGAACTGGGGCGCTTCGGGCTCGACTTTTGGGTCGTTTGGGTTTATGGAATGCTGCCCGAGGGCATGGAACATGGAGAAGTCCGACATGCTGGATAGTGTGAAGGGTCGACGAATCTATGCGCGTTGTCGAAAGGGAACGGTGGTCTCGTTCGAAGTAGGGTCGAGTCCGGGAGCGCCTAGGCATAGGCCTCCACAGAGAACTGCATTGGGGAAGCTGTAGATCACGTATCTATAAAGCGACTGGAAAGCAACCGATTTCTCGGAAAGATGTGGATGTTATTTGAGCTGCGATGTCCTGTTGACTTCTTGGTCTTACTTATTTCATTGTTGTAAGTTGAGGTTGATGCCCCCTGTCAAGTCGTCTGAACATCTGATCGCCAATTGGCTGGAATGAACGTAGATATTGGACTGAGTATGGGCGATGATCGCTTGAAGACATGGGATTTTTTACAGTTATGACCGTCTCCCTTCTGCATGTGCTGCAACTACCGGATTCTATTTGATATTCCCAGTGCGAAATAGGCTGATATCACGGGCGTCGAAGATATTCTACCCTACGCTACACGCACTTTAAGGCCTTGGAGGCTTGGACAGATGGCCCAAGGAGCTCATATGATGTCGAGAATGGTCTGTTTTGGTTCTTATCTAGAGACTATTCATACACTTCAATCTTCTCTCGAGTGTTGCCTTTCGACGGCATTTTCAGATCACTCTGACTGGTGTGCAGCGAGACGTTTATTTCTCGAAAAGGTAGGTCAAGTGACACTTGCCGCAGTACTGGCGGTCCTGCATGGCAGCCATGAAGATACCGGCACCACACTATAATAAAGAATTAGTTCAGTCCCCAAGAACGAAATCCAGGAACACGTACGGTATCGCTGGGGCACTCGCGTCGGAGACGCTCAATCTTGCCATCCCCATCCACCTTGTAGTACTTGAGGATCGCGAGCTTGACCTTCTTGCGCTTGTGCTTGATCTTCTTAGGAGTAGTGTAGACCTGAAAACGGATTAGCGAGCGGCTCAGGGAATACTATCGATAGGAATGAACAAACCTTCTTCTTTCGCTTCTTACCACCACCACGGAGGCGGAGGACGAGATGGAGGGTGCTCTCCTTCTGGATGTTGTAGTCGGAAAGAGTACGGCCATCCTCGAGCTGCTTTCCGGCGAAGATCAGGCGCTGCTGGTCCGGGGGGATTCCTTCCTTGTCTGGATCCAAATGTCAGTCATATACATTTTACAGAAGCGATGATAGAGACAAACCCTGGATCTTGGACTTGACATTGTCAATGGTATCACTGGACTCGACCTCAAGGGTGATGGTCTTGCCCGTGAGGGTCTTGACGAAAATCTGCATGGTGACCTCAACAATGCCCTAGGACTTTGTATCTTCAGTCACGATAATGTGAAAGTTGAGAGGGAGAGATGCGAAGTGGCGCGGAAATTCGAGTTGTGGGCAAGCGATAAGGCACCAAGGTGTCAAAGTGCAAATTAATTATTATTGGTCGTTGGGGAAGGCCCCTGCATTTCCCACGTGATGTCAGGTGATTGGGCAGTAAGGCTGATCGCCGATCCAAGCGTTTGGGTTGCCCGCCGCAACGGGCTGTTGACCAACTTTTGACGCCAGTTGATGACGCCCCCATGAGAAGTCCAGCTCAAAGACATTCGATCCTATTTATCACCATCTCTCTATTGTTCAGTATCTTTCTGAATCCAAAAAACATCTGCTACTCTCGATAATCCACCCAAACCTACATTCAACAGAGAAGTCGACCTTTACACACCGCATCAGGTCTCGACTTCGTCTATCAAACCGAGTTTTCGCACTTCTCCCGGGCATCAGCCCAACACCTTACATTCACTGGTTGTGATCGACAAAATCTATTGTACTGAGCGGTCTTTAAGGAAATCCGCCGCCCCGCGGGAGTTTGCCTGCACTGCGTGAGGTACGGACAGTCGAATCATTGAAATAGGATAGCCGCTAATATCGGTGATAGCCTCGGACCCAAGGAGATACTACTAACCCCCCAGGAACCAACAGGAACCGTATCTTTGAAAACCCATTCCGGACTCGACTTGCATCTCACACGATGTTGTCCACGCCAAACTCAAGCATTGAGCGTCGCCGCACGACCCACCGTCGGCAAAACTCCACGCCTCAACTTGAGTCGGCCAACGTTCGACCCCTTCCAGCCATCGTCCAGCGTCAAACCAACCAGGGTCACCGACGAGGGATGAGTCTCGACATCCCCCGGAACCCCTACAAGCGGACGAGGTCGCCGCCGTTGTCTTCGATGATCACGACGCCGACCCAGGAGCTGGAGTCGACGGTAAGTATAGCTAACCCCCACACAGGACAGGACCCTCAACAACATCCGACGCAGGTAGCGCAGTTGCAAAACATGCCTCAGCTGGGGCAACAGAACCAGCACCATCAATCCCTAGGACCGCGGGCGGCCTATTCCCCGGACCCAACTCAGTACAATGCGTCGTTGACGACGCACTCACAACCAGCCACCCCCCGATCGCCACTGAAATCGCCGGAGGAGCGGCTCCGCGAATTCCGTGAGCGCATCAACGAGTTCAGCGATCTGGGGATCATCCAAGTCAATATTCTCCCGACGCCCATGGCAACACCGCAGAAACAAACGAACACGGCGCCACACGGTGACAACTTAGATGTGGCGCCCATGCCATCAAGTTTTGGTGACGTGACGGAGATCAATCTCGACCCACCAGGGATGGAGCAGGTCTTCTCCATGAACGTGGACAATCCGGAGAGCGACCGAGAGAATGAGTCGTCGTATTATTCGTCCGATGCTTTCTCTCCAGAGCGATCGCCGACTGTTTCGCCCCAACTACGATCAACAGCCACGTTTGGCGGATTCCCCGTCACTCCCGCACCACCAATCTCATTCTCACCCTCTACCACACCGTACATGCCTTCGTCCCAAGCAGGCGATGATCTTGATGCACTCCTCTCGTCACCCCAATTTCACCCTGGATCTCCTTCCGCCGGAGTGCAGGTTGCCGGCATGTACCTCAACGCATCCATCGAAGACACGGGGATCTCCTCCGCCGAAGTGCAAGCATTTATCGGCGAGCAAGACCCCGTCAGCCACAAATGGACCTGCCTGTTCCCGCAGTGCCGCAAGACCTTCGGGCGCAAGGAAAACATCAAAGCCCATGTGCAGACCCATCTCGGCGACCGGCAGTTCCGCTGCAACGACTGCAACAAGTGCTTCGTCCGCCAGCACGACCTCAAGCGCCACGCCAAGATCCATTTCGGCGACAAGCCGCACAAGTGTCTCTGCGGGACCGCGTTTCAGCGCCAGGATGCGTTGACGCGGCATCGACAGCGCGGCATGTGCTCGGGAGCGTTTCCAAATGCGGTGCGGAAGACGGCGAGGAGAGGGCGACCGAAGAAGAAGAGACCCGAGTTGGAGCAGCGGGTGGAGAAAGCGCTCCGAGCGAGGATCATGGATAAGGAGGAGGAAACGGGCCTGGAGATCCACTCCAGCGGCCCGTATGCATCGTCCTTGTCGGGGGCATCGGAGGGTTCATATCCAATTAGCCCGGCCACCAGCCCGCCTCCCTTCGATGCCACGCAGTTCACCACTTTGGGTGGTGACACTCAGGAGGATGTGTCATTCAGGTACGTGGATCGGACGGTTCCCCTTAGTTCAGCCTACTGACCCTCGCAGCGACCTCAAGTTCAGCATCGACGAAATCGAATCCGAATCGTTCACCTCGTCCCCATCGGCCACCGGCGGCGCCAATCGCGATGGGCCAGCAAGTTTAACGGAGGAATTTCCCCTCCCGCCCTCGCTCGTCCAGGCAGACGTCGAACTCCCCGGTATCGTTAAATGGAACAGCCTGCCGCATGGATTGGATCCGAAAACCCCGCCCGCGTCGCCTCCGCTGGGTACTATCAGCCCCGCACAACTGGGCTCCCCGACCAAAAGCCTCCAAAGCTTCGACGCGGACGAGAAAATCCACTTCGGCCTCGCGCGAAGTCGCGTCAGTAGCGCGGGAGAAACACCGCCGACCAGCCCCATGGACTCGCAGATGATGGGCGGAGCGCAGGACCTGGAGTCGCGGGAGGAGGAATTGAAGTTAGCAGAGGATCTGAAGATGATCGGGCAGGACATGGAGGGGATGGGGTCCAGTCTCGGGGTCAATATGGGGCCGTCGGGGGTGTTTTGCGATGTCGACTTGTTCTGCGACGTCGGGATGGGGAATGCAGCGCCGGGGGAGTGGAGTGAGGAGAACTGGGGATGGTGATGGATCGCGTTCTTGGATAAGCGACTTTGGAAGGTTACGCCGTGTCTTTTGATCGGCTGGCATTCGATGGAGCAATTGGGAACGCTTTTCTTATATCTCCTTGCAGACTTGTTGGTTACGAGTGATGACGCTCTTCGATAGCTTGTGTTATGTAGTCAATATGACAGATTGTACGATGGACTCGAAGGGAACCACCATGGACTAAGTGGTGTAGAGAAACAGACCTAAAGACTCGACTATAAAAAAATGTGAGCCAATAGAAGGAAAGGATCTAATGTCCACCTACCACAATCGGAGCGACGAAACCGCCTGCATTCAATAAGGCGCATTAACTCCAACCAGAGGATTAGAGACATAATTAAGCTGTTAACAAAAAGAAAGAACTACGTAAACCAGATTCAAACTGGAACCTGCAAAAAAAGAGTGGCACACACAGGCAGAGAACAATCGGGGGGGTTTATGAATGTAGCTCTATCCGGTACCCACCCCGAGCCACAATAATTAGCCATGCGTGACCACGTTACTACAATTGACTTGATTAAGTTATATGTACCTTCCGAGTATCAACTACATTCATTCATTTAACCTTCTTTACGACTATAATTACAACCTTAATAACACACATCGATTTACTTAAGAAGATCTGGCACAACAAACCTCATTCCCGTCACATTCATCGGACGCGAATGACCATGGACACACAGCCTACCGTACCTATGGTAGCTTTGAGCATCCTCTTCTATCCCGCAGGAGTAGACGTCGCGTGTCCAATTCTCATGATCAACTCGAACGTGATGATCGGATAGATATGGACTGTGCCAACTCGCGCCATCATTGCAACTGCGAACTCTTCACCTCGGATTGACATCGCTTCATCATCTGATCATCCCTATCTCCTGAAGTCATCGGTTGCTGGCATGTTAATCACGCGAAGTGGCCTGAAATGCGTACTGAAACGTTGCGGTGGGCCACAACTCAAAAGAAATGTTTCGAAGAATGCGCGATGAGTGAAACGGGGAAATTGACAGTTTGAGACGTTCGGGATTTCCTAGTTCCGAGTTCACGATTCAATCTGGCGATAGGAGACTTGGAAGTCGTGCTCGAAGCATTATTATTGTCGGCGGCACTTTGAATGGTTGAACTCAAACAGAAAGACATCAACACTGGACAGACTCTGCGAATGCGTCATAAGTCTTAATAGCATTTGTTCGAACTTTGAAGAGAGGATGATCATGATGGAAAAGGGGAATCCTAGATCGACATAGTCCACGTCGATGTCTGCGTTACGCCGGTCCACTAGATACAGTAAGTCAAAATTGCTAACCCCATATCCTCTGCCGACATCTCCTTAAGAACCCCCAGGCTTACCTAGACGCAAGTCCTTGAAATCGAAGCCCTTCACGACCCCAGCAATGACCACGCTGTGGCCATCAGCAGTAACATCAGAGATATCCTGATCGATCTTTGACTCTTCCCCAGAAGTGTTGATGAATCCCGTCACAGCTGAACTATTGTTTGTTGCCTTGACACCTTTGATCTTCTGCCCTGTACGCTCATACACTGTTTTGGAAAGGGCTTCCTCACACATCTCTCTGAAGGTATTGTTGCCGGCTTGCTGTCTCCGAAGCTCTTGGAGAAGCTCCTGTTTGCTCTGCTCGGATTCCTCGTCCGGCTCGGTGCTTCCTCTAACTATGAGTTGTTGCAGATTGCGCTCAATTTCCACCCCTTCATTGCCTGCACTAATAAGCTCTTGCGCAAGGTCTGCTTCGTTTACCCTTAGCATGCTGTCTCTCTGCTCTTTCGCCAGGTCCTTTTGGCTAGTTACAGCTAAGCTACTCAATCAGTCAGCTATTGGCAGGCTGAAAGGCTGTCGGTAAACAAACAGAGTTGCCGTAGCCAGTGCGACGCTAAGAGTGCTTTTGCAGTCGCTAAGCTGCCCTTTGAATGTCTTGATCCTCTCCTGCCCAAATAGTCCAACCCTCCACCGAGAGACCCAAAACATCTTGTCGTCTTTGGAACGGTTCATCCAATGCTCGACTTGCAACTGAAATGCTTTGCATGCTCTGTCACAGTTCTCGACAGCAGGCCCGATTTGCTTACTCTGAATGGGTTGCGGTGAATCGGCTTGTACTTCCAGATCCTGCAACACACTCTCAACTGCGCGAAGGTCGGCGCTGATGAATTTGACGGTTCTTGGGGCGTCTTTAATGTTGTCGATGGTCTTGGCGAGAAATTGAACGCTCTGGAGAGCTGTGGCTGTAATGCCTACAACAGCCGCAGTGATGCTAAGAGGTTCCGGCATGACTAAACGAACACTGGAAAGGAATCGACTAGTTAATGGGTTCAACCAAGGGAAAGGAGAGGAGGTAGTGGTTAAAACACAAAGGAAACAATGAACCATATATGCGGGGCAGTAAAAGACTGCGGTTCAGTGAGGCGCAATTCGTGTGTTGTGACAAATCATCGCGCATATTGGCGTGACCACTTGAAGATGCCATTTGCCAAACCCTGAATTTGTTCGTTGATATAATTACCACGCAGTACAGTACCTCGAGAGTACTTATCAAGGCGAATATGAGATTGTATTGCTGAGCGTCCCAGACTTTTTCAATAATTGGTTATAATTAATAAAGCAATAGTAGCAATGGTAGCAATGGCAGCACTAGCACCCAATGTCCAGCGGACCCTTGCCCCACCAGAGCAGCTTCAGTTATGCCTTACCTACTACGCCTTACTGCGTCCAGCAAGGCAGTATCAGCAAAACGTCCGCAACAATGGCCAGACCTTTGCTGCCATCAACCATGGAATCATATACTATGCCAATGCGAGAATAACTCGGCTCTCGAGTAAGTATCTCGGTGTGGATGAGATGATTTGGCTATGGAACTTGCAGGGAGTAGGGACCGACTTTTATTTTTTGCAAGGCTCAAGGCTGAGAGGAATGACTGATCCACATGGATTGGGCTAGCTGCGGTACAGCCCGTCCGCCAGTATGGTAAGTCGGTAACACCTCCGTACAGAATCTACAGATTCAACAATTGGGGCCAGCCCGCCAGAGCCTTCTCTTTGCTCAGTTCCATTGGTCAGATAAAGGGATCTACACCGAAAAAGTGGGTAGCCACTAGCCACCCTTCTCCTTCTCCGTGTCGGCGTATTCACGAAATGATCTTGGCATCCAACTTGGTCTGCACTCTACAGGCTGCAACCGATGCATTTCTCCAGCAGCCGACAGCGGCAAGGCAAGCTCGTTCATTGGCGAGGCTGGCGGAATGCATTCGCCAGCTGAGAATGAACCTCACATGTGACCTGGGGGTAGGTATACTATGTAGATATGGACTCACTCCAGAATGTTTCCTTGCGCACGTACGCCGCAGTATTCGCATTTCGCAACGAGAGATCAATAACTACTAGCAGGGCGAAAGATTTAGCATCGTTACTCCAAGCTCATGGCTCAGCAACGTATCAGCGATGCGACCGCCAAGGACGGTTCGCTGGTTATCGCTGGTAATAATGAATTCCACGGATCTGTGAACGTCGGGGCCAGTAAAGGTGAGTGTACTTAACTGGCTGTGGGCTCGAAGCATCAGGAAGCTAAATGGCAAGTCTAGACTTGAACGATATACTCGGCTCCCTCCCTACCGCGAAGGACGCACCGTTCTACGCACACCAGCGACGACATGACCCGACCTGCCTTGACAATACCCGCGTCGGCCTCCGTGAAGATATAGACAACTGGGTAAAGGGAGAAAATTCGCCGAGCATCTTTTGGCTAAGCGGTTTGGCTGGCACGGGCAAGTCCACGGTGGCGCGAACAGTGTCTAGGTATTGGGCGAACCCGGCGAAGGAAACCCTTGGTGCTAGTTTCTTCTTCTCAAGAGGCGGCGGAGATGTCGGCCATGCCGGTAATTTTGTTACAAGCGTTGCAGTACAACTGGCAAACAAAGTACCGGATCTGAAACGAATCATTTGCAACGCGATTTCCGCCCAGAGCGACATTGCCAACCGGGATCTAAGTGAACAATGGCGCCATCTGGTCCTTAATCCATTGTCGCAGCTGGCGGGCAGCAGCAGCCAACCCCGATATATTCTTGTCGTTGATGCGCTTGATGAGTGCGAGGACGAGAACGACATCCAGACTATTTTACAATTGCTAGCGGAGGTTCGGTCCTTAGAGACGGTCCAGCTTCGAGTATTCTTAACCAGCCGACCTGACGTTCCGATCCGAAACGGCTTCATCCAAATCCCAAATGTTGTACACCGGGATTTTATACTCCACGAAATATCGTCGTCGATTGTCGATCATGATATCCGCATTTTCTTACGGCACAAGCTTGAAGACATTGCTCGTAGGTACTGTCTCCCTGCTGGTTGGCCTGACGAGCATATCATTGGTCAACTCGTTGACAGTGCAAATGAGCTATTCATCTGGGCGGCAACTGCATGTCGCTTTATCGAGGAGGGCGAATACTTTGCTGCAGATCGAATATCTATAATCCTCAAGCCTGACTCTGCGGATGACTCGGGAGACGGGTCGTCTTCAGATAGTTCCGCGACAGATAACAAGAATGGCGATCCTGTAGTAGCTCCACAACAGCACCTGGACAACATCTACATCACAATTCTCAAGAAGTCTATCCGAAAATACAGGGGGCGAGAAAGCAAGAAATGGCGCGAGCGACTTGGAACAACCATGGGGACCATTGCTGTCCTCTATTCTCCTCTATCCACCGACTCATTGGGGAAACTACTCCACGCTACGCTTGATACTACGCTCGACAGTACGCTACAACAACTAGACCAAACACTGAACGATCTTCATGCGATTCTGGACGTTCCAAAGAATTCGACTCAGCCGCTGCGTTTACATCATCCATCGTTCCGCGACTTCCTCCTTGACCCAAAGAGATGTACAGATTTGAAAATTGGGATTGACGAGAAGCAAGCACATAAATCACTCGCTACAAGCTGCATTAAGCTTATGTCTGGTGCTCTTAAGCAAGATATTCTTAGTGTGGACCGACCAGGAGCATTAGTGACTGATATTGAAACTAGTCTTACAGCGCAGCATCTCCCTCCTGAGGTTCGGTATGCATGTCTATATTGGATCCAGCATCTCCAGAGAAGCGAGGCCAAGCTTCAAGATGGCGACCAAGTACACCGTTTCCTACAAGAGCATTTCCTCCACTGGCTCGAAACTCTCGGATGGATGGGGCAGGTATCGGAAGGAATTCATACCATCGCGTCTTTAGAGTCGCTTGCTTCCGTTAGTTATACCTCCGGCATAGTATATAATCTCGCTAAGACTTCGACTAGATAAGTGACTGTCCTAGCCTCTCAGATATCATCTATGAGGCGAAGCGGTTCGTGGTCTACAATCGATACGCTATCGGGTTAGCTCCCCTTCAGACGTACTGCAGTGCCCTCGCATTCGCACCGACAATGAGCATAATAAGAAAGCAATTCGCAAATTGCATACCTAGATGGATACGGAGGTTACTACAGGTCGAAGAGAAATGGAATGCGGTGCTGCAGACGCTCGAGGGCCATTCGAGCGGGGTCTCGGCCGTGGCCTTCTCGCCGGACGGCAAGACGCTGGCGTCGGGCTCGCACGACGGGACGGTCA